CCCTGAAGGATTTTTTGCCTCATTTTCATTGTTTATTTTTCTTAAGGGGAGGGGAGGTCCTTGTGTAGAGATCTGGCATTGCTTGTTCCTGCTGTTACATATTTCTTTCAATTGCCTTTTGTTTTTTTGGTCTTCATCCACTCAGTATCATGCTCTATATTCAATCTGTACGCAAAGTTTAAGAGCTTGGCTGGCTTAAAATCTGCATTCTAGCGCTTTGACTTTTCAAGGAATTTCCTTCATTCCCTTCCTTTGTCTCTGGTTCTGCCTCTGAGGATGCTCTATATTCTATCGGTACGCAAAGTTTAAGAGCTTGGCTGGCTTAAAATCTGAATTCTAGCACTCTGACTTTTCAAGGAATTTCCTTCATTCCCTTCCTTTGTCTCTGGTTCTGCCTCTGAGGATGCTCTATATTCTATTGGTACGCAAAGTTTAAGAGCTTGGCAGGCTTAAAATCTGAATTCTAGCACTTTGACTTTTCAAGGCATTTCCTTCCTTTGTCTCTGATTCTGCCTCTGAGGATGCTCTATATTCTATCGGTACGCAAAGTTAAAGAGCTTGGCTGGCTTAAAATCTGAATTCTAGCACTTTGACTTTTCAAGGCCTTTTCCTTCCTTTGTCTCTGGTTCTGCCTCTGAGGATGCTCTATATTCTATTGGTACGCAAAGTTTAAGAGCTTGGCAGGCTTAAAATCTGAATTCTAGCACTTTGACTTTTCAAGGCATTTCCTTCCTTTGTCTCTGATTCTGCCTCTTAGGATGCTCTATATTCTATCGGTACGCAAAGTTTAAGAGCTTGGCAGGCTTAAAATCTAAATTCTAGCACTTTGACTTTTCAAGGCATTTCCTTCCTTTGTCTCTGGTTCTGCCTCTGAGGATGCTCTATATTCTATCGGTACGCAAAGGTAAAGAGCTTGGCAGGCTTAAAATCTGAATTCTAGCGCTTTGACTTTTCAAGGCTTTTCCTTCCTTTGTCTCTGGTTCTGCCTCTGAGGACACAAGCTATGCGGCATTATTCAGGCAAAGTGGGGAATTAGCTCAAATGGTAGAGCGCTCGCTTTGCATGTGAGAGGTAGTGAGATCGATGCCCGCATTCTCCAGTTGCAGGCCTTTCTTTTAAATGAATAGTGTTCAGTTTGAACTTTTTGTTTACCTGGATGTCATTGCCACAGCAGCATTTTGCAAATTTTTTAACGGCTTACCTGATTCTTCAAACATATCATACTTTGACATTGAAAGCACTCACAAATTTCCTTCGATAGCTCAGCTGGTAGAGCGGAGGACTGTAGTTGGTATCCGTTAGCAATCCTTAGGTCGCTGGTTCAATTCCGGCTCGAAGGACATGTGATTTTTTTCTTGTTGCTCTTAATTGATGCATTTTTCTCAAGTAGAATTCCGTAGGTTGTTTGTTCAGTTCTACTCTGAAGGATGATTTCCATTATTTTCTTTGCTTCTTTTTCTTCAGGGGAGAGGAGGTTCTGGCATAAAGACCTAGCATTGCTTGTTCTTGCTTTGACTATTTTCTTACAGTTGCCTTTTTGGTTTTTGCCTTCATCCGTCTTGTATTATGTTCTATATTCTGCCGGTACACAGAGCTGCCCTTATGCACGCATGGGGGATAAGCTCAAATGGTAGAGCGCTCGCTTAGCATGTGAGAGGTAGCGGGATTGATGCCCGCATTCTCCAATAAGTCTTTTTCTTCAAAGCGTTTGCTTGAACTAGTTGCTATAGCAATGCTGGAAAAAAATTTAACATGAACAACAAAGCTTACATCGATTGTTCAACTCCATTTTGTTTTTTGCATACTTGCATATTTGACAAAAACAACATGCACGATTCAAGAGAAATTCTTACACACAAATAGAAATTTTAAAAGTTGAACTCAATGAGAATTTTTATTGGCCTTTGCTTGCCTTACCTTGGCAATCACAAAAACTTCATTCTAGCACTTTGCCTTCTCATGGCATTTTCTTTCTTTCCCCTTAGGTCGCAGGTTCAATTCCAAGTCAAAGGACTTGTTGTTTTTTTGTTCCGGTGGCTTGGTACATTCCCATATTTCACTCATCCCACTACTTCTTCTCCCATTTCCCTCAAATAGCGTTTCTACGATTTCTGCTTCAGTTCTGCCCTGAAGGATTTTTTGCCTCATTTTCATTGTTTATTTTTCTTAAGGGGAGGGGAGGTCCTTGCGTAGAGATCTGGCATTGCTTGTTCCTGCTGTTACATATTTCTTTCAATTGCCTTTTGTTTTTTTGGTCTTCATCCACTCAGTATCATGCTCTATATTCAATCGGTACGCAAAGTTTAAGAGCTTGGCAGGCTTAAAATCTGCATTCTAGCGCCTCTAGCATTTCCTTCCTTTCCTTCCTTTGTCTCTGGTTCTGCCTCTGAGGATGCTCTATATTCTATCGGTACGCAAAGTTTAAGAGCTTGGCAGGCTTAAAATCTGAATACGAGCACTTTGACTTTTCAAGGCATTTCCTTCCATTGTCTCTGATTCTGCCTCTGAGGATGCTCTATATTCTATCGGTACGCAAAGTTTAAGAGCTTGGCAGGCTTAAAATCTAAATTCTAGCACTTTGACTTTTCAAGGCATTTCCTTCCTTTGTCTCTGATTCTGCCTCTTAGGATGCTCTATATTCTATCGGTACGCAAAGGTAAAGAGCTTGGCAGGCTTAAAATCTAAATTCTAGCACTTTGACTTTTCAAGGCATTTCCTTCCTTTGTCTCTGGTTCTGCCTCTGAGGATGCTCTATATTCTATCGGTACGCAAAGGTAAAGAGCTTGGCAGGCTTAAAATCTGAATTCTAGCGCTTTGACTTTTCAAGGCTTTTCCTTCCTTTTTCTCTGGTTCTGCCTCTGAGGACACAAGCTATACGGCATTATTCAGGCAAAGTGGGGAATTAGCTCAAATGGTAGAGCGCTCGCTTTGCATGTGAGAGGTATCGGGATCGATGCCCGCATTCTCCAGTTGCAGGCCTTTCTTTTAAATGAATAGTGTTCAGTTTGAACTTTTTGTTTACCTGGATGTCATTGCCACAGCAGCATTTTGCAAATTTTTTAACGGCTTACCTGATTCTTCAAACATATCCTACTTTGACATTGAGATCACTCACAAATTTCCTTCGATAGCTCAGCTGGTAGAGCGGAGGACTGTAGTTGGTATCCGTTAGCAATCCTTAGGTTGTTGGTTCAATTTCGGCTCGAAGGACATGTGATTTTTTTCTTGTTGCTCTTAATTGATGCATTTTTCTCAAGTAGAATTCCGTAGGTTGTTTGTTCAGTTCTACTCTGAAGGATGATTTCCATCATTTTCTTTGCTTCTTTTTCTTCAGGGGAGAGGAGGTTCTGGCATAAAGACCTAGCATTGCTTGCTCTTGCTTTGACTATTTTCTTACAGTTGCCTTTTTGGTTTTTGCCTTCATCCGTCTTGTATTATGTTCTATATTCTGCCGGTACACAGAGCTGCCCTTATGCACGCATGGGGGATTAGCTCAAATGGTAGAGCGCTCGCTTAGCATGTGAGAGGTAGCGGGATCGATGCCCGCATTCTCCAATAAGTCTTTTTCTTCAAAGCGTTTGCTTGAACTAGTTGCTATAGCAATGCTGGAAAAAAATTTAACATGAACAACAAAGCTTACATCGATTGTTCAACTCCATTTTGTTTTTTGCATACTTGCATATTTGACAAAAACAACATGCACGATTCAAGAGAAATTCTTACACACAACTAGAAATTTTAAAAGTTGAACTCAATGAGAATTTTTATTGGCCTTTGCTTGCCTTACCTTGGCAATCTCAAAAACTTCATTCTAGCACTTTGCCTTCTCATGGCATTTTCTTTCTTTCCCCTTAGGTCGCAGGTTCAATTCCAAGTCAAAGGACTTGTTGTTTTTTTGTTCCGGTGGCTTGGTACATTCCCATATTTCACTCATCCCACTACTTCTTCTCCCATTTCCCTCAAATAGCGTTTCTAGGATTGCTGCTTCATTTCTGCCCTGAAGGATTTTTTGCCTCATTTTCATTGTTTATTTTTCTTAAGGGGAGGGGAGGTCCTTGCGTAGAGATCTGGCATTGCTTGTTCCTGCTGTTACATATTTCTTTCAATTGCCTTTTGTTTTTTTGGTCTTCATCCACTCAGTATCATGCTCTATATTCAATCGGTACGCAAAGTTTAAGAGCTTGGCTGGCTTAAAATCTGCATTCTAGCGCTTTGACTTTTCAAGGAATTTCCTTCATTCCCTTCCTTTGTCTCTGGTTCTGCCTCTGAGGATGCTCTATATTCTATTGGTACGCAAAGTTTAAGAGCTTGGCTGGCTTAAAATCTGAATTCTAGCACTTTGACTTTTCAAGGCATTTCCTTCCTTTGTCTCTGATTCTGCCTCTGAGGATGCTCTATATTCTATTGGTACGCAAAGTTTAAGAGCTTGGCAGGCTTAAAATCTGAATTCTAGCACTTTGACTTTTCAAGGCATTTCCTTCCTTTGTCTCTGATTCTGCCTCTGAGGATGCTCCATATTCTATCGGTACGCAAAGGTAAAGAGCTTGGCAGGCTTAAAATCTGAATTCTAGCACTTTGACTTTTCAAGGCATTTCCTTCCTTTGTCTCTGATTCTGCCTCTGAGGATGCTCTATATTCTATCGGTACGCAAAGGTAAAGAGCTTGGCAGGCTTAAAATCTGAATTCTAGCGCTTTGACTTTTCAAGGCTTTTCCTTCCTTTGTCTCTGGTTCTGCCTCTGAGGACACAAGCTATACGGCATTATTAAGGCAAAGAGGGGAATTAGCTCAAATGGTAGAGCACTCGCTTTGCATGTGAGAGGTAGCGGGATCAATGCCCGCATTCTCCAGTTGCAGGCCTTTCTTTTAAATGAATAGTGTTCAGTTTGAACTTTTTGTTTACCTGGATGTCATTGCCACAGCAGCATTTTGCAAATTTTTTAACGGCTTACCTGATTCTTCAAACATATCCTACTTTGACATTGAGATCACTCACAAATTTCCTTCGATAGCTCAGCTGGTAGAGCGGAGGACTGTAGTTGGTATCCGTTAACAATCCTTAGGTTGCTGGTTCAATTTCGGCTCGAGGGACATGTGATTTTTTTCTTGTTGCTCTTAATTGATGCATTTTTCTCAAGTAGAATTCCGTAGGTTGTTTGTTCAGTTCTACTCTGAAGGATGATTTCCATCATTTTCTTTGCTTCTTTTTCTTCAGGGGAGAGGAGGTTCTGGCATAAAGACCTAGCATTGCTTGTTCTTGCTTTGACTATTTTCTTACAGTTGCCTTTTTGGTTTTTGCCTTCATCCGTCTTGTATTATGTTCTATATTCTGCCGGTACACAGAGCTGCCCTTATGCACACATGGGGGATTAGCTCAAATGGTAGAGCGCTCGCTTAGCATGTGAGAGGTAGCGGGATCGATGCCCGCATTCTCCAAAAAGTCTTTTTCTTCAAAGCGTTTGCTTGAATTAGTTGCTATAGCAATGCTGGAAAAAAATTTAACATGAACAACAAAGCTTACATCGATTGTTCAACTCCATTTTGTTTTTTGCATACTTGCATATTTGACAAAAACAACATGCACGATTCAAGAGAAATTCTTACACACAACTAGAAATTTTAAAAGTTGAACTCAATGAGAATTTTTATTGGCCTTTGCTTGCCTTACCTTGGCAATCACAAAAACTTCATTCTAGCACTTTGCCTTCTCATGGCATTTTCTTTCTTTCCCCTTAGGTCGCTGGTTCAATTCCAAGTCAAAGGACTTGTTGTTTTTTTGTTCCGGTGGCTTGGTACATTCCCATAGTTCATTCATCCCACTACTTCTTCTCCCATTTCCCTCAAATAGCGTTTCTAGGATTGCTGCTTCAGTTCTGCCCTGAAGGATTTTTTGCCTCATTTTCATTGTTTATTTTTCTTAAGGGGAGGGGAGGTCCTTGCGTAGAGATCTGGCATTGCTTGTTCCTGCTGTTACATATTTCTTTCAATTGCCTTTTGTTTTTTTGGTCTTCATCCACTCAATATCATGCTCTATATTCAATCGGTACGCAAAGTTTAAGAGCTTGGCAGGCTTAAAATCTGCATTCTAGCGCTTAGACTTTTCAAGAAATTTCCTTCATTCCCTTATTTTGTCTCTGGATCTGCCTCTGAGGATGCGCTATATTCTATCGGTACGCAAAGTTTAAAATCTGAATTCTAGCACTTTGACTTTTCAAGGCATTTCCTTCCTTTGTCTCTGATTCTGCCTCTGAGGATGCTCTATATTCTATTGGTACGCAAAGTTTAAGAGCTTGGCAGGCTTAAAATCTGAATTCTAGCACTTTGACTTTTCAAGGCATTTCCTTCCTTTGTCTCTGATTCTGCCTCTTAGGATGCTCTATATTCTATCGGTACGCAAAGGTAAAGAGCTTGGCAGGCTTAAAATCTAAATTCTAGCACTTTGACTTTTCAAGGCATTTCCTTCCTTTGTCTCTGGTTCTGCCTCTGAGGATGCTCTATATTCTATCGGTACGCAAAGGTAAAGAGCTTGGCAGGCTTAAAATCTAAATTCTAGCGCTTTGACTTTTCAAGGCATTTCCTTCCTTTGTCTCTGGTTCTGCCTCTGAGGATGCTCTATATTCTATCGGTACGCAAAGGTAAAGAGCTTGGCAGGCTTAAAATCTGAATTCTAGCACTTTGACTTTTCAAGGCATTTCCTTCCTTTGTCTCTGGTTCTGCCTCTGAGGATGCTCTATATTCTATCGGTACGCAAAGTTTAAGAGCTTGGCAGGCTTAAAATCTGAATTCTAGCACTTTGACTTTTCAAGGCATTTCCTTCCTTTGTCTCTGATTCTGCCTCTGAGGATGCTCTATATTCTATTGGTACGCAAAGTTTAAGAGCTTGGTAGGCTTAAAATCTGAATTCTAGCACTTTGACTTTTCAAGGCATTTCCTTCCTTTGTCTCTGATTCTGCCTCTTAGGATGCTCTATATTCTATCGGTACGCAAAGGTAAAGAGCTTGGCAGGCTTAAAATCTAAATTCTAGCACTTTGACTTTTCAAGGCATTTCCTTCCTTTGTCTCTGGTTCTGCCACTGAGGATGCTCTATATTCTATCGGTACGCAAAGGTAAAGAGCTTGGCAGGCTTAAAATCTGAATTCTAGCGCTTTCACTTTTCAAGGCTTTTCCTTCCTTTGTCTCTGGTTCTGCCTCTGAGGACACAAGCTATACGGCATTATTCAGGCAAAGTGGGGAATTATCTCAAATGGTAGAGCGCTCGCTTTGCATGTGAGAGGTAGCGGGATCGATGCCTGCAGTCTCCAGTTGCAGGCCCTTCTTTTAAATGAATAGTGTTCAGTTTGAACTTTTTGTTTACCTGGATGTCATTGCCACAGCAGCATTTTGCAAATTTTTTAACTGCTTACCTGATTCTTCAAAAATATCCTACTTTGACATTGAGAGCACTCACAAATTTCCTTCGATAGCTCAGCTGGTAGAGCGGAGGACTGTAGTTGGTATCCGTTAGCAATCCTTAGGTCGCTGGTTCAATTCCGGCTCGAAGGACATGTGATTTTTTTCTTGTTGCTCTTAATTGATGCATTTTTCTCAATTAGAATTCCGTAGGTTGTTTGTTCAGTTCTACTCTGAAGGATGATTTCCATCATTTTCTTTGCTTCTTTTTCTTCAGGGGAGAGGAGGTTCTGGCATAAAGACCTAGCATTGCTTGTTCTTGCTTTGACTATTTTCTTACAGTTGCCTTTTTGGTTTTTGCCTTCATCCGTCTTGTATTATGTTCTATATTCTGCCGGTACACAGAGCTGATCTTATGCACGCATGGGGGATTAGCTCAAATGGTAGAGCGCTTGCTTAGCATGTGAGAGGTAGCGGGATCGATGCCCGCATTTTCCAATAAGTCTTTTTCTTCAAAGCGTTTGCTTGAACTAGTTGCTATAGCAATGCTGGAAAAAAATTTAACATGAACAACAAAGCTTACATCGATTGTTCAACTCCATTTTGTTTTTTGCATACTTGCATATTTGACAAAAACAACATGCACGATTCAAGAGAAATTCTTACACACAAATAGAAATTTTAAAAGTTGAACTCAATGAGAATTTTTATTGGCCTTTGCTTGCCTTACCTTGGCAATCACAAAAACTTCATTCTAGCACTTTGCCTTCTCATGGCATTTTCTTTCTTTCCCCTTAGGTCGCAGGTTCAATTCCAAGTCAAAGGACTTGTTGTTTTTTTGTTCCGGTGGCTTGGTACATTCCCATATTTCACTCATCCCACTACTTCTTCTCCCATTTCCCTCAAATAGCGTTTCTACGATTTCTGCTTCAGTTCTGCCCTGAAGGATTTTTTGCCTCATTTTCATTGTTTATTTTTCTTAAGGGGAGGGGAGGTCCTTGCGTAGAGATCTGGCATTGCTTGTTCCTGCTGTTACATATTTCTTTCAATTGCCTTTTGTTTTTTTGGTCTTCATCCACTCAGTATCATGCTCTATATTCTAATCGGTACACAAAGTTTAAGAGCTTGGCTGGCTTAAAATCTGAATTCTAGCACTTTGACTTTTCAAGGCATTTCCTTCCTTTGTCTCTGGTTCTGCCTCTGAGGATGCTCTATATTCTATTGGTACGCAAAGTTTAAGAGCTTGGCTGGCTTAAAATCTGAATTCTAGCACTTTGACTTTTCAAGGCATTTCCTTCCTTTGTCTCTGATTCTGCCTCTGAGGATGCTCTATATTCTATTGGTACGCAAAGTTTAAGAGCTTGGCAGGCTTAAAATCTGAATTCTAGCACTTTGACTTTTCAAGGCATTTCCTTCCTTTGTCTCTGAGTCTGCCTCTGAGGATGCTCTATATTCTATTGGTACGCAAAGTTTAAGAGCTTGGCAGGCTTAAAATCTGAATTCTAGCACTTTGACTTTTCAAGGCATTTCCTTCCTTTGTCTCTGATTCTGCCTCTGAGGATGCTCTATATTCTATTGGTACGCAAAGTTTAAGAGCTTGGCTGGCTTAAAATCTGAATTCTAGCACTTTGACTTTTCAAGGCATTTCCTTCCTTTGTCTCTGGTTCTGCCTCTGAGGATGCTCTATATTCTATCGGTACGCAAAGGTAAAGAGCTTGGCAGGCTTAAAATCTGCATTCTAAGGCGCTTTGACTTTTCAAGGCATTTCCTTCCTTTGTCTCTGGTTCTGCCTCTGAGGATGCTCTATATTCTATCGGTACGCAAAGGTAAAGAGCTTGGCAGGCTTAAAATCTGAATTCTAGCGCTTTCACTTTTCAAGGCTTTTCCTTCCTTTGTCTCTGGTTCTGCCTCTTAGGACACAAGCTATACGGCATTATTCAGGCAAAGTGGGGAATTAACTCAAATGGTAGAGCGCTCGCTTTGAATGTGAGAGGTAGCGGGATCGATGCCCGCATTCTCCAGTTGCAGGCCCTTTTTTTAAATGAATAGTGTTCAGTTTGAACTTTTTGTTTACCTGGATGTCATTGGCACAGCAGCATTTTGCAAATTTTTTAACTGCTTACCTGATTCTTCAAAAATATCCTACTTTGACATTGAGTGCACTCACAAATTACCTTTGATAGCTCAGCTGGTAGAGCGGAGGACTGTAGTTTGTATCCGTTAGCAATCCTTAGGTCGCTGGTTCAATTCCGACTCGAAGGACATGTGATTCTTTTCTTGTTGCTCTTAATTGATGCATTTTTCTCAAGTAGAATTCCGTAGGTTGCTTGTTCAGTTCTACTCTGAAGGATGATTTCCATCATTTTCTTTGCTTCTTTTTCTTCAGGGGAGAGGAGGTTCTGGCATAAAGACCTAGCATTGCTTGTTCTTGCTTTGACTATTTTCTTACAGTTGCCTTTTTGGTTTTTGCCTTCAACCGTCTTGTATTATGTTCTATATTCTGCCGGTACACAGAGCTGTCCTTATGCACGCATGGGGGATTAGCTCAAATGGTAGAGCGCTCGCTTAGCATGTGAGAGGTAGCGGGATCGATGCCCGCATTCTCCAATAAGTCTTTTTCTTCAAAGCGTTTGCTTGAACTAGTTGACATTGCAATGCTGGAAAAAAATTTAACATGAACAACAAAGCTTACATCGATTGTTCAACTCCATTTTGTTTTTTGCATACTTGCATATTTGACAAAAACAACATGCACGATTCAAGAGAAATTCTTACACACAACTAGAAATTTTAAAAGTTGAACTCAATGAGAATTTTTATTGGCCTTTGCTTGCCTTACCTTGGCAATCACAAAAACTTCATTCTAGCACTTTGCCTTCTCATGGCATTTTCTTTCTTTCCCCTTAGGTCGCTGGTTCAATTCCAACTCAAAGGACTTGTTGTTTTTTTGTTCCGGTGGCTTGGTACATTCCCATAGTTCATTCATCCCACTACTTCTTCTCCCATTTCCCTCAAATAGCGTTTCTAGGATTGCTGCTTCAGTTCTGCCCTGAAGGATTTTTTGCCTTATTTTCATTGTTTATTTTTCTTAAGGGGAGGGGAGGTCCTTGCGTAGAGATCTGGCATTGCTTGTTCCTGCTGTTACATATTTCTTTCAATTGCCTTTTGTTTTTTTGGTCTTCATCCACTCAGTATCATGCTCTATATTCAATCTGTACGCAAAGTTTAAGAGCTTGGCTGGCTTAAAATCTGCATTCTAGCGCTTTGACTTTTCAAGGAATTTCCTTCATTCCCTTCCTTTGTCTCTGGTTCTGCCTCTGAGGATGCTCTATATTCTATTGGTACGCAAAGTTTAAGAGCTTGGCTGGCTTAAAATCTGAATTCTAGCACTCTGACTTTTCAAGGCATTTCCTTCCTTTGTCTCTGAGTCTGCCTCTGAGGATGCTCTATATTCTATTGGTACGCAAAGTTTAAGAGCTTGGCAGGCTTAAAATCTGAATTCTAGCACTTTGACTTTTCAAGGCATTTCCTTCCTTTGTCTCTGATTCTGCCTCTGAGGATGCTCTATATTCTATCGGTACGCAAAGGTAAAGAGCTTGGCAGGCTTAAAATCTGAATCCTAGCGCTTTGACTTTTCAAGGCTTTTCCTTCCTTTGTCTCTGGTTCTGCCTCTGAGGACACAAGCTATACAGCATTATTCAAGCAAAGTGGGGAATTAGCTCAAATGGTAGAGCGCTTGCTTTGCATGTGGGAGGTAGCGGGATCGATGCCCGCATTCTCCAGTTGCAGGCCTTTCTTTTAAATGAATAGTGTTCAGTTTGAACTTTTTGTTTACCTGGATGTCATTGCCACAGCAGCATTTTGCAAATTTTTTAACTGCTTACCTGATTCTTCAAAAATATCTTACTTTGACATTGAGTGCACTCACAAATTTCATTCGATAGCTCAGCTGGTAGAGCGGAGGAATGTAGTTGGTATCCGTTAGCAATATTTAGGTCGCTGATTCAATTCCGGCTCGAAGGACATGTGATTTTTTTCTTGTTGCTCTTAATTGATGCATTTTTCTCAAGTAGAATTCCGTAGGTTGTTTGTTCAGTTCTACTCTGAAGGATGACTTCCATCATTTTCTTTGCTTCTTTTTCTTCAGGGGAGAGGAGGTTCTGGCATAAAGACCTAGCATTGCTTGTTCTTGCTTTGACTATTTTCTTACAGTTGCCTTTTTGGTTTTTGCCTTCATCCGTCTTGTATTATGTTCTATATTCTGCCGGTACACAGAGCTGCCCTTATGCACGCAGGGGGGATTAGCTCAAATGGTAGAGGTAGCATGTGAGAGGTAGCGGGATCGATGCCCGCATTCTCCAATAAGTCTTTTTCTTCAAAGCGTTTGCTTGAACTAGTTGCTATAGCAATGCTGGAAAAAAATTTAACATGAACAACAAAGCTTACATCGATTGTTCAACTCCATTTTGTTTTTTGCATACTTGCATATTTGACAAAAACAACATGCACGATTCAAGAGAAATTCTTACACACAACTAGAAATTTTAAAAGTTGAACTCAATGAGAATTTTTATTGGCCTTTGCTTGCCTTACCTTGGCAATCACAAAAACTTCATTCTAGCACTTTGCCCTCTCATGGCATTTTCTTTCTTTCCCCTTAGGTCGCTGGTTCAATTCCAACTCAAAGGACTTGTTGTTTTTTTGTTCCGGTGGCTTGGTACATTCCCATATTTCACTCATCCCACTACTTCTTCTCCCATTTCCCTCAGATAGCGTTTCTAGGATTGCTGCTTCAGTTCTGCCCTGAAGGATTTTTTGCCTCATTTTCATTGTTTATTTTTCTTAAGGGGAGGGGAGGTCCTTGCGTAGAGATCTGGCATTGCTTGTTCCTGCTGTTACATATTTCTTTCAATTGCCTTTTGTTTTTTTGGTCTTCATCCACTCAGTATCATGCTCTATATTCAATCGGTACACAAAGTTTAAGAGCTTGGCTGGCTTAAAATCTGCATTCTAGCGCTTTGACTTTTCAAGGAATTTCCTTCATTCCCTTCCTTTGTCTCTGGTTCTGCCTCTGAGGATGCTCTATATTCTATTGGTACGCAAAGTTTAAGAGCTTGGCAGGCTTAAAATCTGAATTCTAGCACTCTGACTTTTCAAGGCATTTCCTTCCTTTGTCTCTGAGTCTGCCTCTGAGGATGCTCTATATTCTATTGGTACGCAAAGTTTAAGAGCTTGGCAGGCTTAAAATCTGAATTCTAGCACTTTGACTTTTCAAGGCATTTCCTTCCTTTGTCTCTGATTCTGCCTCTGAGGATGCTCTATATTCTATTGGTACGCAAAGTTTAAGAGCTTGGCTGGCTTAAAATCTGCATTCTAGCGCTTTGACTTTTCAAGGAATTTCCTTCATTCCCTTCCTTTGTCTCTGGTTCTGCCTCTGAGGATGCTCTATATTCTATCGGTACGCAAAGGTAAAGAGCTTGGCAGGCTTAAAATCTAAATTCTAGCACTTTGACTTTTCAAGGCATTTCCTTCCTTTGTCTCTGGTTCTGCCTCTGAGGATGCTTTATATTCTATCGGTACGCAAAGGTAAAGAGCTTGGCAGGCTTAAAATCTGAATTCTAGCGCTTTGACTTTTCAAGGCATTTCCTTCCTTTGTCTCTGATTCTGCCTCTGAGGATGCTCTATATTCTATTGGTACGCAAAGTTTAAGAGCTTGGCTGGCTTAAAATCTGCATTCTAGCGCTTTGACTTTTCAAGGAATTTCCTTCATTCCCTTCCTTTGTCTCTGGTTCTGCCTCTGAGGATGCTCTATATTCTATCGGTACGCAAAGGTTAAGAGCTTGGCAGGCTTAAAATCTAAATTCTAGCACTTTGACTTTTCAAGGCATTTCCTTCCTTTGTCTCTGGTTCTGCCTCTGAGGATGCTTTATATTCTATCGGTACGCAAAGGTAAAGAGCTTGGCAGGCTTAAAATCTGAATTCTAGCGCTTTGACTTTTCAAGGCTTTTCCTTCCTTTGTCTCTGGTTCTGCCTCTGAGGACACAAGCTATTCGGCATTATTCAGGCAAAGTGGGGAATTAGCTCAAATGGTAGAGCGCTCGCTTTGCATGTGAGAGGTAGCGGGATCGATGCCCGCATTCTCCAGTTGCAGGCCCTTCTTTTAAATGAATAGTGTTCAGTTTGAACTTTTTGTTTACCTGGATGTCATTGCCACAGCAGCATTTTGCAAATTTTTTAACTGCTTACCTGATTCTTCAAAAATATCTTACTTTGACATTGAGTGCACTCACAAATTTCATTCGATAGCTCAGTTGGTAGAGCGGAGGAATGTAGTTGGTATCCGTTAGCAATCCTTAGGTCGCCGGTTCAATTCCGGCTCGAAGGACATATGATTTTTTTCTTGTTGCTCTTAATTGATGCATTTTTCTCAAGTAGAATTCCATAGGTTGTTTGTTCAGTTCTACTCTGAAGGATGATTTCCATCATTTTCTTTGCTTCTTTTTCTTCAGGGGAGAGGAGGTTCTGGCATAAAGACCTAGCATTGCTTGTTCTTGCTTTGACTATTTTCTTACAGTTGCCTTTTTGGTTTTTGCCTTCATCCGTCTTGTATTATGTTCTATATTCTGCCGGTACACAGAGCTGCCCTTATGCACGCATGGGGGATTAGCTCAAATGGTAGAGCGCTCGCTTAGCATGTGAGAGGTAGCGGGATCGATGCCCGCATTCTCCAATAAGTCTTTTTCTTCAAAGCGTTTGCTTGAACTAGTTGCTATAGCAATGCTGGAAAAAAATTTAACATGAACAACAAAGCTTACATCGATTGTTCAACTCCATTTTGTTTTTTGCATACTTGCATATTTGACAAAAACAACATGCACGATTCAAGAGAAATTCTTACACACAACTAGAAATTTTAAAAGTTGAACTCAATGAGAATTTTTATTGGCCTTTGCTTGCCTTACCTTGGCAATCACAAAAACTTCATTCTAGCACTTTGCCTTCTCATGGCATTTTCTTTCTTTCCCCTTAGGTCGCTGGTTCAATTCCAACTCAAAGGACTTGTTGTTTTTTTGTTCCGGTGGCTTGGTACATTCCCATATTTCACTCATCCCACTACTTCTTCTCCCATTTCCCTCAAATAGCGTTTCTAGGATTGCTGCTTCAGTTCTGCCCTGAAGGATTTTTTGCCTCATTTTCATTGTTTATTTTTCTTAAGGGGAGGGGAGGTCCTTGCGTAGAGATCTGGCATTGCTTGTTCCTGCTGTTACATATTTCTTTCAATTGCCTTTTGTTTTTTTGGTCTTCATCCACTCAGTATCATGCTCTATATTCAATCGGTACGCAAAGTTTAAGAGCTTGGCTGGCTTAAAATCTGCATTCTAGCGCTTTGACTTTTCAAGGAATTTCCTTCATTCCCTTCCTTTGTCTCTGGTTCTGCCTCTGAGGATGCTCTATATTCTATTGGTACGCAAAGTTTAAGAGCTTGGCTGGCTTAAAATCTGAATTCTAGCACTCTGACTTTTCAAGGCATTTCCTTCCTTTGTCTCTGAGTCTGCCTCTGAGGATGCTCTATATTCTATTGGTACGCAAAGTTTAAGAGCTTGGCAGGCTTAAAATCTGAATTCTAGCACTTTGACTTTTCAAGGCATTTCCTTCCTTTGTCTCTGATTCTGCCTCTGAGGATGCTCTATATTCTATTGGTACGCAAAGTTTAAGAGCTTGGCTGGCTTAAAATCTGCATTCTAGCGCTTTGACTTTTCAAGGAATTTCCTTCATTCCCTTCCTTTGTCTCTGGTTCTGCCTCTGAGGATGCTCTATATTCTATCGGTACGCAAAGGTAAAGAGCTTGGCAGGCTTAAAATCTAAATTCTAGCACTTTGACTTTTCAAGGCATTTCCTTCCTTTGTCTCTGGTTCTGCCTCTGAGGATGCTTTATATTCTATCGGTACGCAAAGGTAAAGAGCTTGGCAGGCTTAAAATCTGAATTCTAGCGCTTTGACTTTTCAAGGCTTTTCCTTCCTTTGTCTCTGGTTCTGCCTCTGAGGACACAAGCTATTCGGCATTATTCAGGCAAAGTGGGGAATTAGCTGAAATGGTAGAGCGCTCGCTTTGCATGTGAGAGGTAGCGGGATCGATGCCCGCGTTCTCCAGTTGCAGGCCCTTCTTTTAAATGAATAGTGTTCAGTTTGAACTTTTTGTTTACCTGGATGTCATTGCCACAGCAGCATTTTGCAAATTTTTTAACTGCTTACCTGATTCTTCAAAAATATCCTACTTTGACATTGAGAACACTCACAAATTTCCTTCGATAGCTCAGCTGGTAGAGCGTAGGACTGTAGTTGGTATCCGTTAGCAATCCTTAGGTCGCTGGTTCAATTCCGGCTCGAAGGACATGTGATTTTTTTCTTGTTGCTCTTAATTGATGCATTTTTCTCAAGTAGAATTCAGTAGGTTGTTTGTTCAGTTCTACTCTGAAGGATGATTTCCATCATTTTCTTTGCTTCTTTTTCTTCAGGGGAGAGGAAGTTCTGGCATAAAGACCTAGCATTGTTTGTTCTTGCTTTGACTATTTTCTTACAGTTGCCTTTTTGGTTTTTGCCTTCATCCGTCTTGTATTATGTTTTATATTCTGCCGGTACACAGAGCTGGTATTATGCACGCATGGGGGATTAGCTCAAATGGTAGAGCGCTCGCTTAGCATGTGAGAGGTAGCGGGATCGATGCCCGCATTCTCCAATAAGTCTTTTTCTTCAAAGCGTTTGCTTGAACTAGTTGCTATAGCAATGCTGGAAAATTTTTTAACATGAACAACAAAGCTTACATCGATTGTTCAACTCCATTTTGTTTTTTGCATACTTGCATATTTGACAAAAACAACATGCACGATTCAAGAGAAATTCTTACACACAACTAGAAATTTTAAAAGTTGAACTCAATGAGAATTTTTATTGGCCTTTGCTTGCCTTACCTTGGCAATCACAAAAACTTCATTCTAGCACTTTGCCTTCTCATGGCATTTTCTTTCTTTCCCCTTAGGTCGCTGGTTCAATTCCAACTCAAAGGACTTGTTGTTTTTTTGTTCCGGTGGCTTGGTACATTCCCATATTTCACTCATCCCACTACTTCTTCTCCCATTTCCCTCAAATAGCGTTTCTAGGATTGCTGCTTCAGTTCTGCCCTGAAGGATTTTTTGCCTCATTTTCATTGTTTATTTTTCTTAAGGGGAGGGGAGGTCCTTGCGTAGAGATCTGGCATTGCTTGTTCCTGCTGTTACATATTCATTCATTATAGACTGTAAGGGGGAAACACCTTGGCAGCAAGCCTGAGAGGTAGAGAGGATGGTACCATTGACTTGGAGGGAGGGAGGGAAGACCAGAAGTTCTGTTTTAGACAGGTTCAGTTTAAGGAAATGAGCAGCCATCCAGCTGGAAATAGCAGAGAGGCAGTTAGACACACGAGTCAAGAGGGGTGGTGAGAAATCAGGAAAGGACAGATACATTTGCGTGTAATCCGCATAGAAATTATACTGGAACCCGAAGGAGCTGATGAGTTTACCAAGGGAGGCAGTGTAGATTGACAGCAATAGGGGACTAAGGACAGACCCTTGGGGACTCCAACAGAGAAGGGTTGGGGACAAGAGGCAAAGTCAGAGAAAGAAACTCTGAAAGATCGCTGGGAGAAGTAGGAGAGAGAGGTATCTCGTAGATCGAGATATGGAGGATGAGAAGAAGTCTTTCAATCTCGCATACACAACTCCCTCAAGGATCTTGGAGGCAAATGGCAGTAGCGAGATAGGAAGGTAGTTGAATTAGGGTCAAGGTTGGGCTTTTTCACAATCGGCATTATGGTTGCATATACAGAGCAAGAGAAGGAGACAAAGTGCGGATGAGATACGAGGGAATAGGATTAAGGGAACAGGTGGTGGGGCAGACGGAACGGAGCAGAGCAGAAACCTCTTCTACTGTAGCGGATACAAATGAACAAAGGACAGTTGAGGGAGTATGGTTAGGGGAAAAGTTGGTAGTGGATAGAGAGAGATGAGAGATCTCTTCCCTGATTGTAGAAATCTTCTCAGTGAAGTGAGTTGCAAAGTTTGTATTGGTCAAGTTGGTAGGAGGAGGATGCACAACAGGAAGAAGAACAGAGTTAAAAGCATGAAACAGTCATTTGGGCTCACGGGAGAATGTGGTTATAAGTGTATTGAAGTCGTTTTCTTATGAAGAGGAAAGATACCATGCCCAAAGATGCCAAGTGCCCTGATATAACATTGTCAAAAAAAATTGCATACAGATTAAGGAACAGCCCCCACACACAAACAGTTTTACATTTTACAAGGCTACTTAAAAATTACCTATTTTAGCAAACAAATATGGGGATTCAGTATGACTCACCGATATTGGAGTACTGTGACGTAGTGGTGGGCTTAACACATGGCTATATGGTGAACCTGAATCCCCATATTTGTTTGGTAAAATAGGTGATTTGGGCCTTTTAAACTGTATTTTGTGTGTGTGTGTGTGTGTGTGTATGTGCTGTTCCTAATTTGTATTTTGTATATGTTTTTGTCTTTACAGCAGCACCACTACTGAGAATAGCATGTTCTGGGTATGCCCACAATATATGTGGAACCAGGGGAAGGTCAGACCCCAAAGCATTATTAAAATGTCCTGTCTCTCAATGTCCATACAGGCAGCATAGGCCAGTGCTGAATATTATTCTAAAAAGGAAGCAATTAATTACAAAAAGTCATAGTAAGCAGTAATAATAAATAATGCATGTTACAGAACTTTCACTAGACCTAGGTTGGTTCTTACCTCCTGGAATGCACTAGGTGGCGCTATGAACATTGATTATTTAGGTAGCTATTTTTCTGTTAGGTAGCTTCAGTTCCAGGAATGTAATAAGCTCACATACGTGTACAGAGATTAGTATTACGCACTTGTATTTATAAAGCACCAATATATTTTTCCATGCTGGAATACAACTGGAATACACTACAGACAAAAAAGGTACAAATAACTAAACATTAATCACATAATATACTCATTGTGAGCTTATAATCTATTCTAGGGGAATATACTGCACTTTAATGCCAAGTGATTAGCAAGATGGATCTTGAGCATACAATGTAAATGTGATGTTAGAAACCGGAGACGAGGGGTTGCAGAGAAATTTGAAGTTTTTGGCAAAAGAGTTTGAAGGCAAATACTGCTTTATGCGATTCTTAAAGGACATTCCACTGCCCAAATGCAAACAAATAAAAGTCACTGTTTGGTAGATATACCCTCAATAAAAACATGAATGGATTTAATTATGCATTTTTCCATTTTGGGGTATATCTAAAAACAGCTTTTATATACTTCAGATTTCTTGTCTTACGCCTTTCCAATCCCTCCCCTTCTAACCCCACCCAGACTTGCTGCGTCTGTCCAATCACATACTTTCCAATGCAGCTCAATGAGAAGTCTTTGCAAGGCAGGCACTCTGGGCAATTGCTGCTTCTTGGGTTTAGCTTCACTGAGCCAAAAAAAAAACAGGAAGTAACAGGACTGATTGTCTGATTGACAGCTGGTGGGGTGTAACCAGGTTAATTTATAAATGTAACAATTTCTATTGAAATCTTTACTTTTTATCAAATGATACCTAGGACACACGCTGCACAAATAAAGCATTTCAACAAACTAAAGTGCTTAAATTGTTTGGAGTGTCCATTCAATGAAGTGGTTAGGAAGGATTGCTGGCTATCAGAGAGTCATACTATAATAAACAGTAAATTCATAACAAACCAATAATGCAGAGTTTAGACATTGAGAAACTCACTCAGTCTATCAAACAAATAAAATTGATCATCCATGTGAAAATTCTAACTTTTGATCAAATCACTAGGAGAGAGCGAGAGGAAGGTTTGAGAGAGAAGTTACTCTTGGAGAAAGAGCAATTAGGAGCAGAAAGCAGAGGAGAGGACATCTGAGATTTAGAGAAAACAGGGATAAAAATAGATAGTGCAGGTAATCTTGAGAACATCTTCCAGAGATGCTACCTCAGCATAAGGCTTTGAGCTGCAAGGCTTGCTAGCTGGGAGTTCTGGGAGCAATCTAAGTTTGCTTGCTGGGGCTCAGACTCAGCATTCGGCTTTTATTTATAAAAATAGTAATCTATGCATTCAACCCAAATTCTGTGTATGAGATCTCGTATATATAAACTTCAAAACGTAATAATCTAGGGGGACTCACAAAATGTTTAACGTGGCTATGCCATTTATATAATGTAACTTTTTATTTTATTTTCAAATTGAGCTTTTACGGTTCACTTTAATAGCCTTGTGAGTGTTCCAGTATTATTAACTTTTAAAGTTTGTTCCTCTCAGAGCTGCGTTGGGACATACATGTCTCTGCCTAAGATTAGTTGGTGTTACAATCCCAGAAAGCAACTCCTATTTGTGGCATCTGGAATCCTGGAAAGACCCGTGGAGGGAGGAGTATGTCCACTTTAACCCCTTAAGGACACATGACATGTGTAACATGTCATGATTCCCTTTTATTCCAGAAGTTTGGTCCTTAAGGGGTTAAAGATAATCATCCCCTTACATGTATGTTAGAAATAGAATTTCCTAAATATCAGCTTAATTAGCATTATCTGTAAAATCTTCTATATAGATTAAACATATTTAAAAAAATTAAAATTGATTTCACCAACCCAAATAATCACATGTAATAATGTCTATGTAACTTTAAAAACAAACAAACACATTTTTTTTTCTTCGTTAAAAAAGTACACAACATCAGTTTAATTAAGGAGGGTTAGAACTTGTTTTACAAATATTTTCCTTCTGATTGTGCTGTTTAGAACCTTTAATTGAATATAGTTTGACCTTTGAAATTGACAGGGAAATTCTTTCAGTTGGAAGAAAATTACAATTTGCAGCCACCCCTCACTTTTCAAGAAGCTGGTACCAAGGAAACAGAGTTACACAGGAGGAGTCTGGTCTGTTTAATGGGCCCCCTCTGATTGGAAGTCTGTGTACATAGAGTGAGAAGAAAAAAGGTTTCTACCTCCTACTAAGAAAGGACTCAGAATTGGCATTAATCATACTGGCAGTACGAGAAGACACAAGAGAAGGAAACAACATGCACAAACAACACAGACAACAACACTTAACAAAGTCCAACAGATTTGTAAGATGATCTTGCTTTTATCAGAGGTTTGGGGTCAACCGCCCTTGAATTAGATACAATACCCAACACAAGAAAGTCAGAGATTCAGAAAATGTCAGATTCAGAAAAAGTTTTCAGCAATAATTTGGACTGTGGCTCTAAGGTTGTGCAACTGGCCAGCAGAGGTGAATGGATTGCGGTGGAACAGATGTTAAAAGGCATCGACAAAGGGGATCTTGGTCCTTCGGAATACGAACAAGTGGGTGACGTGAAAAATGTTATAAATGTTACTGTGTCTTGTATACTATTGCTGATTGTCAGTGTTTTCTAGATTGGATTTTTGAGTTATGACTTGTTTAAATGTTTAATTTAAGATAGGTTGCGGGAGTCAAAATGCTTGCAAAAAGCTAATTAATCCATCTTCTGAGTGTGAATTAAAGGAATAAACAATGCGTGTGTTTTGTAATAAAATAAATGTGCTTTTTTCACTGAAGTTTTTTATGAGTTTTTTGCTGCACAGATTGCCTTTTTTCTCAACTATTTTGGGTTGATTCTTTAAATAGCAAATTGTAGTATGTTAAAGGGACATTCTAAACACCAAAACCACTTCATCTTAAAGGGACAATAAAGTACCGAAAAACAGTTCATCTTAATGAAGCGGTCTGGGTGTTCCTTCAATTCTGCATTGTAAAATACTATTTAGTTTTTTTAGAAAATGATAAGTTTACATTGCATGGTTAAATCTACCTCTAGTGGCTCTCTTCCTGACAACCAGTAGAGGGTCTTCTGTAGCACTAATCGAGCAAAACGGGGTCACATGACGTGGAAGCCCATGGAAAAGTATTGAATATAATGCATTTTCAATGGAAAGGATGAATGCATATGTGCACTGATAGGTCCACTACGAAGTAAATTGGATTGGACCATTACGGAGGAGGCTATGCCTCCTCAATGATGTCACAGGAGGCGGAGAGGTAAGCAGCACAGATGGAGCCTTGGTGCTGGGCAAAGGTAAGTAAAACTTTAATTTTATTAATTAATATTATACACTATTTTAGCCTAAAAATAGTGCAAAGTCTCCCATAAGACTCTTTTGGTTAAACTGCCCAAGAGCAACTTGCAACAACCTACTCTTTAACAAAGAAAGCCATGTGAGTGATGGAAGTAGTACTTTGAGAGGTATGGAAAGTTCCAATACTCTTCAGATGTGATATTCAGTTGCCTTTAACAGTATATTTTGAGATTGTGGAGGAAAATATATAGCAGTTAAAGGGACACTATAGTCACCATAACAACTTTAGCTTAATGAAGCAGTTTTGGTGTATAGAACATGCCCCTGCAGCCTCACTGCTCAATCCTCTGCCATTTAGGAGTTAAATCCCTTTGTTTATGAACCCTAGTCACACCTCCCTGCATGTGACTTGCACAGCCTTCCATAAACACTTCCTGTAAAGAGAGCCCTATTTAGGCTTTCTTTATTGCAAGTTCTGTTTAATTAAGATTTTCTTATCCCCTGCTATGTTAATAGCTTGCTAGACCCTGCAAGAGCCTCCTGTATGTGATTAAAGTTCAATTTAGAGATTGAGATACAATTATTTAAGGTAAATTACATCTGTTTGAAAGTGAAACCAGTTTTTTTTTCATGCAGGCTCTGTCAATCATAGCCAGGGGAGGTGTGGCTAGGGCTGCATAAACAGAAACAAAGTGATTTAACTCCTAAATGACAGTGAATTGAGCAGTGAAATTGCAGGGGAATGATCTATACACTAAAACTGCTTTATTTAGTGTTACTTTAACCTATGTTTTTTTCTGCCCATCATCAAATCAAAATTAATATTAATTTGTTTCTTTGTATCTCTTATGTTTTGAAAAAAATATATTATTTGCCCTTCTCATTGCCACCTAAAGGCCATTTAAGGTATTTACCAACCTTTATGTAATATTCTAACTCTGGAAACTTTCCCTTAAAACTAAAACCACAAAAGTTCAATTTTTTTTTGAAAAGTGAAAAACATAAAGCTGCAATATCACTTTTGTTGAATTTAATTTAATTTGTTCAAGCGCTTTAGTTGTGGGCAGAAATGTTACAGTGTTCTCCAAAAGGTCCACCTACCCTCTTACTCTTGTGAGTTTGTGTAGTGAATATTGAGGAATTATTCAAGAGAAATAGATTCAGATCATATTGCTGTCTGTGTTTTCTTCTGCTAAATAAGCGACGTTGGACCAGCACAAATGTGTTACAGTTTCTACATAACTATATCTTACTTCTAAACTGTAATCTCCAAAAGTCCACACCATTTCTTTATGGTTTCATTATGTATTATGATGGGATAGTAATGTTATAATCAAATAATGATCAGAATTGAATTGGCTCTCATGTCCAATTTTTTGCTATTTTTCATGGTTATTCATCAAACTGCATAAAAAAACAAAAACAACCCTAATTATATTGAAATGCATCCTTAGGAATCCTTTAAGGGAAAGCATTACAAAATAATTTATTGAAAAAATAAATGAATTCGAGAGTAGTTAAGGTTCTCAATAAGGAATAAACTAATTTGGAAAATATAATTGCAATAAGCACAGTGTTTTTTCTCCTCGGTAAAGTATCCCAGAATGCCTTTCAAATCATTTGTGATGTTTATTGAACTTTAAACTATTATTAGTATTTTTTAACTCCTCTCTTCAGCTCGTCTGGTTTACCTAAAGGCACCCAGACAACTTCATTTGAATGTCTATTAAACCTACAACTGAAAACATTCTGTTGTTTAACTGGAACGGTAATGTTTACATTGCAGGGTGAACATACCTCTAGTCACTAACAGGAGACAGCCACTAGAGGCGCTTCCACAGCTATAATGGAGTTAGACTCTCCTAGAGAGGATTTGATTGGCACAGTGTGGCACATACGCACTAGCCTCCCAATGCCTCCCTATGTGGAAGCATCAGATATACGAGGTCTATCAATGTAATATGGAATACGTATTAAAGCAGATACAAGAACCATTGTGTATAGAAAAACACACGTTAGTGCAAATACACTGGGCAGTTAAAGGCTCCTGACAAGGTGAGAAGCAAATTGTTATTTTGTTCACCTGATTACCTACTGTATTAAGGATATCTGCAGTAGGGTTAGCTCTGCTTCCCTATTTTTTCTTTTTTTTGTCTCCATTCTGAAGTCTCCTGTTGGATATGGCGATTTAAAGGACCCTATTACCAATATTTTTATTACCTCCTGAAAGTTGCAGGAGTAAGTGAGTGTTTTCATTTTTATCTTTAAGCGCTCCACCTTTGCACTGTTGTCTGCATGTATTTGCACTAACGTGTGTTTTTCTATACACTTGATTATAAGTAGGTTGAAGAGTTCCTACTTTTGGTGTGTAAGCTGCTATTTATTGTATTGTGTATTTTATAATATTCACATTGTTTAAGCGCCTTTGTCACAGCACATCTATTTTTTACAAGAACCATTGTACATAGGACAATGACGTCTCAGTCCCCTTCAAAGTATTCACCTTGGGACCTCTCCCAGTTCTCCCAGTGTCTCTTCCACTGTTCAAAACATTCTGCTAAATCCTTTGTTGGAATCACCATCAGCTTCTACTTCTCGCACTGTCAGTCGCCGATCTTTATTGACTGAAGCCCATACATGTTCACCTCATTCTCAGGTGTTCTGCTTGTTGCAGGCCTTACAGAACATGGATCACTTTCAACAGATTACCGACCATCATTGAAGCGTTTGTTCCACACTTTTATTTGTGCTGCACTCGTTGTAATGTCCCAGAAATGTTCCAAATAGTATCCGCGCAGTAATGTTCAAGCTTAAAGCAAAATTTGATGCAGATTCGTTGCTCTACTTGCTCAGTCATTTTGAATGTGATGACTACAGACACACACTACACATGCTCACTCAATGGTGTCTAGCGAGGCCCACTGACTAGTACAGTGGAGTCGTCATTGTTCACGCATGTGCATCCAATCCACTCTCCTTGGCCGCCAGGTTACATTGATGTCGCGTAAATCGTTCTCATTATATTAACAATGGCTGGACTTTTTCCCAGACAGACCTCATATTATTAATGTGGAAGAAAGGAGGAGCAATAAGGGGGGCTCTTCTTTGATTCTTGTACCAGGGTCCTGTGATTCCCCTGGAGTTAGGAATACATATTTGTATTCCAAAAGCTATAGTGTTCAATTAAAGTGGAAGTATCACTACTCTGGTAGTAACCATTCTGTCAGGAACGTTCGGGGATCCTACACGCAGAATGCAAATACTAGTAATCTATACTGGACCTTAGGATGGCTAGTCTAACACTACACACACAAAGAATAGTCAAAAAGTGAGCCGAGGTCAGGGGTACCAGAAATCAGGATCAACGATAATGCAATAGCCGAGGTTAAAGGAACACATAAGGAGGAATAGTCAAACAAAGCCAAAGTCAGAATACAAGAATACCAATACGGAATACTGCCTCTTGGGTCAAACAAGAACCACAACAGGGCAATGAGTCTCTTCCTGCATTCTCTTTAAGTACCGTGTTCACTTCGGTAGGTAACCACGCCCCCAAAATGTTCTCATTCGAACACCTTGGTGGGTCATGACGTCGGCACTCATTAGCCGCGATTTAAAAAAGGAGGCAGGTGACTGGCGTGAGAATCGCTAGGGTAAAGATGAAAGTTGGTAGGAGTGCCCTCAGTACCCTGCAATGAGATGCCAGCCCATAACATGCTCTTGACTGATACATAAGGTAACCTGACACATTCCTCTTTCCCTCAGCCACGTAAAAGCTATTGACCTGGTGAGTGGCAAAATGGAGGTGAGTAACACTTATTTCCTTGTCCAGTGTGACATCAATAAACCCATAATGCCCTGGGTGCACTCCTGCACATTGCAGAGAAATGTTGTACAAGTGCCTACATGCTAATACATTCCTTCCATGTGTCCAAGTATGACATTGTGGGGGTTACATTAATTTACATATTATGCCTTGTGTGTGCCAGAAATGCCTGTCATGCAATGAAAATTAAATAAGTAAGCAATTTTAGAAAAAAATGTTTTAATTAAAAATAGCACAACTCATAACTAACTTTTATCAGCTGACATGTTGTGGAAATATCTCAACTGTGACAGTTCTGATTGAAATATGTAAAGAGTAGATGAAACATTATTAAACCAAATACTATGTATTTTCCTACCTTCGCTGAGATGCTACCTTTCTACCTTTGTTTTTGCTTAATATGATTAAAGAGATGCTTTTAACCTCATAACTGTACTCATGGGATTAGTTTGAAATGCTACACTGGTATTACTGATTTTATTCAGAGATAACAATGTTTTTCATCACAACTTTCCAACCTTTCGGAGCTTTTCAACAACACTCAACATACAGAATATCAAAGCTAGAGCAATGATAAAGAATTATCTGTCTGAGAAAGAAATTAAAAACAAATTAGTGGCTAGCAACACACAACTGCAACTCCCACAATTCTTTGGCAGCCTAACAGACCTCCGTTCTGTAGTAGATGTTGTTATATCAAATTACCCCTCCCCCCCTTCACTTTAGTCTAAAGGCCCGACTTGACCAGTCTCCAGACCTCAGTCCAACAGAACTTGCAGGGATCAGTGGCAGATCCAGGGGGGAGCACGATGGCAAATGCTTCCCTGAACAGCAAGGGGTATGCAAGGGGTATGTTGCTAACTAAGGGCAGCCTTCCATTCTGTCCCGAATTGTCTCCATCCAAGTTATTTAAAAAAGTCAGATTATGCTTACATGCAGGAGAATAGGAGCATTAATGTGATGACAGGCATCCACATCAGCATCCATGTCTTATCAGAAGCTACATGTCTTTATAACTGTAGGTATTCGTCTCTGAGTGCCTATTTGTGCAGTTCTGCCCACCTTTTATAATTTACAAAAAAAAGAAGGTGAATTGGGGGCATATCCCATAGGAAAGCATTGCATTGGCTGAGATTGTCCATTCTTATGCTCTCCGCCAAGGAGGCAGGCAGAGGGCCAGAGCCAAATGCTGCCCTGGCCAATCAGCATCTCCGGATAGAGATACATTAAATCAATGCATCTCTATGAGTAAAGTTCAGTGTCTCCACGCAGAGGGTGGAGACACTGTATGTCAGTCACACTGTGCAGCACTGCCCCAGTAAAATCCAAAATAGGAAAGCATTGTGGCATTGATTTCCTAAGTGAGAGACCCCCACCCCCCTGTTGGATGACATCGTAGAAGGCGGATCGCCGACATGGCGCTGGAATTGAGTGAGTAAATAACAAAGGTTTTTTCTAACCCCTTACATGCTGGGGGACCAGAAGGTACTATAGTGTTAGGAATACAGGTTTGTATTCCTAACACTATGCAATCTATTTAAGTAACATTATAAAATTAAAACTGTATTTTCTTTGTGTGTGTGCTGTTCCCTAATCTGAATTTCACCTTCTGATTTAGGAAACTGGATCCGCATCTGGCAGGAAGTAACAATTTAGAAAGAATTCTGAATGTACTTGGACAGTTTTAAGCTATGTAATGGGTCATTATCTTGCCATTGAATGAATTACTGGTCAGCTAGCCATAATCGGGATGGCACAATCTGACGTAGTCTGCAATAGCTTTCATGGCTGAACTTTCAATGGCTGGGTCAGTCGCTTTCTATACAGCATACAGGGTTTGCTCTATACACAATCTATAGAAATCCATGGATTGGCAGACAGAAAAATAGATAGTAGAAATATGCATGGTGAAATAATATGGTTGGGCCAAATCTGATTCATCCAAATTATTTTTTTTTAGTTCTGGTGGTTAAATCCGTTTAGAAGAAGATTCAGGAAAATGATTCCGAGAAACAAAAATATTAAATTTAGCCGTGTGCTGATAGGTACATTCATTTTCTTGTCATTTGGTTTAGAGATCTTTATTTATATATTTATATATGACATGTTTATTACATATTTAATATATAAATATAGATTTTTTTTAACTGCTTCTCATTTTTTTAATCCCCTCTGTTCTTCACTTCTCACTTGATCTTTAAATACAATAATCATTTTGTGACTGTCCCCAGCCATAAATTATATTATTTTCTCACCAATTATCTCCTTTTTTGGTGGGATGGATAAAACTCCAAATCACCCAATAAAATAAACCAACTCATCCATTGTCTGTTTTGTTTTATTTCATTATTCGGGCGTATGGTGATTAGAAGTTACAGAATTCGGATGACCTGACAACTCCCCGACATTTTGACGAATCAATAAATTTGAAACTGAATGCACAAGTCTAACAAATAGATAGAAAATATCTATGTATAATAATGTTACCTGTGTGTATAATATTTTATCGTTGTTTATATTTATTATTATTATTTGATTTAACAGGTTTATAATGTGTTGTATAGATGGGTCATCACTCGTATATACTTTTACTATTCTTCACGTAACCTCACTGGGAGCGAATCTGATTATTGACCAAAGGTTTGCTGTCATGTAAACACTACACAACAACACTCCAACAAACTGAGACTGCAGGCTGCGCTGTCCCCCCCCCCTACTGGCTGGGAATGTGTCACACACAGAACGAGCGTTCCTGGGGTATACAATGATCGAGCCACACATTCTTGGGACAGAGAATCATTGTTTGGGGAGGTGATGGTTGAAACCAGATAGCCAGAGAGCAAAACTCACCCTTTCACTCATTGTAATCAGACCTGCAGGAAACAATGTTACTATCTGGAAGCCGTCCAAGCATTTACTGTAATGAAGTGTTCAGCACTTCTAGTAATTCACAGGAGTATTACAATGTATTCATTCCCTTGCCTGTGCCATTATAATACGTTATAACAGAGTTACTCACTAATGGTTCGATTGTCTGGGAATCAAAGAGAATTTCACTTTTCAGATTAAGAAAGCAGAATTAGAAAATGATCCTGGTATCGGGCTATTTCAGCCTATAACGTGTAATTCACTTTGAATTCTCGAAAAAGCACAGTTTACGGAAAAATTCTGTATGAGAAGTCTCATCTTAAAGGAATGCTCCGAGCACCATAACCACTACTGAACGCTGTTACCCCCACAATGTAAGCAAACTGTTTACCTTCTTACCTGGGATCCATCTGATTTTGCTCCCCATTTCTACTTTAGAGATGTACCCCTTAAACATTGTGGACAGAGGATGTTCTGTGAACTAAAAATATCATGACTTTCACCCTGTTTACCGAACTAGCATTTTGTGAAGAGGCAGCCATTAGCAGTGGGACCAGTCTAATATAGGTTCTGAGAACATTTCCTCTCCCTGGGGTGTGAGGGTAAAAGGACATAAGGTTCCCTGGAGTGATCGTTATCCCTGACTGTTTAAATAGTCTTTTTCATTCTTTGTTCTCCCAATGCAACTATTGTCTAAAATAGGAGCTATAAATTCTTTATTATCAATTTCTGATTTTTCCATAGGAGTCGGGTTTGACACCCTTAATGATTGCCGTGAAGGAAAACCGACTGTCAATTGTCGAGCGGTTCCTTGAGCTGGGAGTTAATCTCTCCGACAGATCGAGTGTAAGTAGGAATCCGTTAGTCGTGTATTTCTGGTGTTGCTTGTCCTAAAAGACAAATAAACCGAGAACCCCACCTATATTTGTTATTTATAATACGGGTTTTCGATAGGCTGTGTTCTGATCAGGAAATTGTTCCTACAGATGTATTTTTATAATTTTAACTGTATATAAAAATAGACTCTATGGTCTTTAGAATTCATTTTTTTACAGCCATTTAGATATTTTTTTCACAATATTGTCTTGACGACTTGAATGCACTCACTCACTTTATATTTGCACCTAATTTCTTATTTAAGGATGCCAGAACCAGTACTTTAACAAAAAACATTTTAAAGAGATAGGAAGGGCATTAAAGGAACACTCAACACACATAAAGCACTTTGGCCTCTTGTGATAGTTTATAAAAGCGCTGATTTCAGTAAAAATCAAAATTTTTATAACTGCGGCAGAAACACCTTGCTGAAACACCTTCATTAGTTTCACAGAGTTAACAGCTCATTGAGATTAATTTTAAAGCCATGATTACATGCGCACACTTACCTTTAGCTAACCTTAGCTACGCACACCTTTTTAACAAAATGTTTTCAAGGTACAAAGTTTATCTCAACCGATGAGAGATCACTGTGAGTTGTGCTGCTGACATGAATCTGCACCACAACCAATCTTTGTCCTTGTATTATCTTATAGTATCACAAAGCTGTGCTAACTGGAAAGGGTGCAGGTAAAAAGAAGGCAGTGATTGGCTGTGCATCAGAGTCATATCGGCAGCTCATATTAATCACTTATTGGCTGAGCTGCACACAGATAACCCTAATTTCTTTCAACCAGAAAAGAACATTTTGTAAACAGAGAAGGTGTAGACATTTTTTCTTTCTTTTAATGCAAGGTGGTGAGTGTAACGAACACCTGGCATTTCGTATACCCGTTCGTTCGTATATGATCCCGAAATGCTAGGGACTTAGTGATTATAGCCTGTTCACATGGAGCGCTGATTTGTCCGTTCCCGAAATCCGAGTTGTGCATAAGAGTAAATCCAGCAGTTTGTCAGTCACATACCCAAAAATCAGTTGAGATTTGATGAAGCATACAACAGGAATGTTTTATTATGTCCAGATGGCCCACTGTTATACACAGCAAGGATACAGTAAAACACGCCCAGAACACTCCCACAACACCCTTCTGAATTTCTGTGTCAGAATAACTAAGCATAAAACATAAAATATAAAAAATACATATAAGACATAGAGGAACCCCCACAAATATTATATCCCTGGATAGCCTTGATCTGCGTACCCAAGTTGTCTAAATAGCCCTCAGATCCCAGGAATACAGCCGAATTGCCACCGGGGTAAAGTTTTCACCGAATGCACATGAGGCGTATGCTCAAATCAGTTCCAGAGATTCAGTAGTAGCGGTCAGTCAATTTCCAGAGTTCCAAAATGAACTAAAAGATGAACAATTCCCCTGGCTCATAGGTAGCGTTTATTCACCTTCTTTGTGCAAACAAACCTACTGAACATCACTTTCCTGGCTTGTCGTGGAACGAAACAGGCGTTCGTGAAGTTTGGCCAGTGTTCGCGAGGTTGAGGTCGTTCCAGACACTCAACGCCCAAGTCCCGCTGCCTGCTTTCGTGTGACAAGATGGCTGCTGTTTTTTCCAGCACGTGTTGTTCGGTTATACGAACGGCGGCCACACAGGGAGCGAACACTTAAGTCTGTGGTTTCTTTGAACTAAATGAGCCAGGGTGGTGGTCGGTGTTCGGTAGATTTATCTACCGAACGCAGGGAAAGTAACTTAGGAAATACAGAATATAGTTTTGTCACAGTGAGGTTAAAAGGAGAATCTTATTTGAGATTGAGATTAAATTGATCCACAATCCATGTTTCCATGTTTCTTTTCTCTAATAGACTTGTGCATTCAGCTTCTTCCCAATTGCAAATCGGGAAATCGGCAGCTCATACAAATTTCTAACACCAAAACACCATATGGAGAAATCACAAATCAAAAAAAGATGATTGATGGATAGGACACAATCAGTAAATGTTGATTTTAATCTCAGATCGAATGAGAAGTGACCAACAGAGGTAGAAAAAGAGGAGCAGGAAAAAAAATCTATATATACTGTATATATTATATACTTAATAAATACATAAAATGCAAATATATAAATATACATATTTTATTGCTTCTACTTGTTTCGCTCTATTAGTTACATCTTATCAGTTGTCCTGCGAACCAAAGAGCACAAGAACTGGCCAGTCCATGTCCTGCAAAATATATACATAATATTTTTATTTTGCTTTATACTAGATGGCCAATTTTGGCACCATTTTGATGCTTTTGAATTTTTCCCCACGCAATTATTGCATGGACGAAATTGACATTAACAAATACCAAATTGCCTGGGGAAAAAAAACTATTTCAGAGTAAGTGAATTTGTATACCATGCACAAGGGTATTCTTTGAGATAATGTGAAACTTCTATAAACCAATGGGCTGGGTGACACTTCTTCTGCTATATCTTGACAGCAGAAATCCTCCCTCTGGTTGTGTTAATATGATCAGAATACAATGTGAATTGTGCTCAGTTACAGGATGTTTTACCTAATGTGGATTATACAAGAGGCAACTGATCAAGCCATCATAGCAACTTGATAGGAATTTATATAAACCAAAGCAAATTAACCAGCCACATCCTTGGAGATGGTATTTCAGTTGAGTTTTTGGCCCTTGGAAACTGTTATTCCCAAATGACCTCCCACTGTTCATAGATGGGACAATAAGAAAGCTATCATTGATGAAAACCTTAACTGTGTCCATTAACTCTCAATAGCTTGAGCTAACACCTTCACACAAAGCTTTACAAGTGTCCCTTAATAGCTGTGCATATCACAGACCAATTCTTTCTTCACAGTGCAAACATTCCGACTCTTGATACAATACCTGCTGTCTATGAATACGGACGTATTGTTTCGTGTTCTTTGGAACAAAGCTTAGTGCAACCGACTAACTTGTCTGCGTTTTTCATGAATGTTGTAAACAACCTCTTCGCGGGAAGCAATTTGATTCCATAAAACGTATACAGTGCCAGAGGAGTGGGCAACCCATTGCTCCAATGTTACTCAATCTCTGGTTATTGAAGAGTTACAGCTTAAAAGCCAGCTCAAACTTCACCCCACCCCTTTCTTTAACCGAGTTCTTTTATTAAAAAAATAATAATAAATAAATAAAATATCAGCGTAAACATTTATTTGATACAAGGGGATGGACGGTTAGCAAATATAATAAAAAGAGAGGATTATGGGGAATCAAGAAACAAAAGCAAATTATAGCACGGAAAAGACAAATTAAAAAATGACCCCAGTTTATATACTTTATTTTTTTTTTTAAATTTTACCGCTTGACTATATTTGATGAAAAATGCCAATTACTTTTCCATTCTCAATGTTCCGTTTAGTTAACTTCTCTGATCACTTAAGAATCAAACAAGTTATTTTGCATGTTGATTGCTGTCCAGGGATTCTTAATTACATACTTTTTGTATTTTTCTTTATTATTTTTTTGTTCACCACCTGCAGAGATAGTGTTAGAGAAAGATGTTCTTCATCCGGATTTGAAGTCTTTGCCTTTTTTTTTTTTTAATTCAGTAACTACCATCAAGAGTTAATCTCAGATCTGTCTAAACACTTATAAAGAGTTAACTTGCCTTAGAGTCAAAAGACTTCTCCCCCCCTCAATTATTCTTCCATATCAGCTGAATAAACATAATTTGAATAGAATTTTATTATTGAACCCATGCACCTTGGAATGGTGTTACATTGAAAGTATTAAAGGCTAGCAGTGATAGAGCAAGGGTAAGGGTAGTAGATACATGGAAAAGCCTTTAAGTTGAGGTAGTGAAAACAATAAAGCATTTCAAGAATGATGTACACGATGTGCCAGGGTCTCAGCGAAATACCTGGCAATGTTTGAATTTTCTATGCAAGCTTGACCAATCTTATTCATAGTAATTTGAGACTATTCAGAGCTGTAAAAACAGCATTTTTTAAACAATAACACGTTACTCTATAAGTAGAAAATGTTGTTACATTTAAAGCACTCAATGAACAGAAATAATTGATAACACAATACAATCTGCATGAGTTTGGAGATGTATAGTTTCTAATAGCAGCACATTCCATAATATATATTGATTTCCTGGTGTAATCGTCCTTGTGTTGGGTTATGTTACTATGTTAAGTTTTTTAATCCGTGTTCTGGGTCTGAAATGACTTGTTTGTTGGATGTGGGTTTATTGAATGTCTTACGTTAATATCTCTGATGTAAAATTCCGGTGGGACCAAAAAATGAGAGGTCAGTGAGAGGTGAGAATGCAGGAATTAGACATCATGAAGTGGGGTTAAACAAACAGACTCCATTGATCACTTCTTTCAGAGCATGTGGAGTGAAGTGGCCAGTGGTTAATGATTGTGGCTGAGTTCAGTGCTATGACAGCATTGGTACCAACCTTCAGGTCACCGAAGCCTGCTATCTCATTCTAACATTTCAGTCTTATTGTTAGCATAATTACTGGAATATCAGTGATCTAAGAATTCTTTTTTCAGGCAGTAGATGAGGCAGAGGAGGCAGTATGAAATCAATAAGTAGATAAAGCAGTTTCATTAGAATTCCATACATGTGTCTTCTCAACTTTTATCATGTTTAGATAGTTCCACTGTGAGTTCTTCAGTTCATCATATGCACCGTTGACTCTCTCTGGAGGAATATATTTCGATTCAGATTCAGTTTTGTAGTCAGGGCTGATGAAAGGATTTTTAACTACATAGACAAAGCTGCCTTTCCTCCCGCACCCCCCCCAAAAAAATGTGTTTTCACCTGCGTGTCTAGTAACCCTGCTTTAGAATTTCTTAACCATTCTAGCGTATCTTCTCCACCTTTAGCTACCCCCAAACAATATTAGCTTCCTTTTTTTATTTTAAATTCTTTATTTTACACTCGATAGGTGTGACAAGTGCACAGAAACATTAGGGCTTACGCAGAAGCCAACACAATATTAGCTTCTTGTGAATCAATCCCATTACAGTGTTTGTATTTTGTCTATTCTCAGCCCAACAGGAATCTGGTCTGGATTTCAAATATACACAGAAAAAAAGGGAATTGGGGACACACCCGGAAGTCGGAACATGCAATTCTTAGTAGTGTTGCGCTGTAAAGTCCGAAATTCATTCAAAATACGGGAACCACAAGCACACACAAAAAACACAGTTTTAATTATTACAAGGCTTCTTAAAATTACCTAATTTAGCAAACACATATGCAGATTCAGTTTCACCACGTGGCCATATTGTGTTAAACCCACCCCTTCATCAAAGTACCCTATACCTGAGGGTTCTACATTTATTTTACGATGTTAAATAAACATGTTAATTATTTTGGTCCAATATTTGCTATCCCATCGTCTATGGCTAAGTAGACATATGACATTTATTATATTGTGGATATTCTACAGCTGTTGTCCATACCATTGTATCTTCCGATGCTGATGGTTAAGATATTGATGAGCTCAATAAAATTCTTTGACTTACTTGTGATTCACCAGAATGAGTTGCAAGCACATTTTTTGTTTTTGTGTATTTTTGTAACATATTTTACAACTAGCGTATGATGTTTTAATAGACTTCACCAAAATGGCCATAGTCTAATCCATTTTACAGTGTGTAGGTTCAGATCTCTTATTACAAATACCTTACCTTCTAAAACAGTTTAATAAACAGATACCAGACACGTATATGACCTTTTTTTCTCTATTTATTATTGCAGGATAATCGTACGGTTTTACATGTGGCAGCTGCTAATTCTAAAGACGAAATTGTAAGACTTCTCTTAAATAAGAAGGCGGATCCAAATATTCCCGGAGGGGTACGTGATCTGTTACTTTCTATCCTCTGATAATTTGATTACATAGCTCATTCATTATTGGCTTGCAAAATCAGTAGATCAATAATGCTATATTTGGGTGAGGCTCCATCTTTTATAAAGGCAACAGTCGGAGGGCAATTTATACATGAATCCCCACCCCATCTCCCCTCCATCTTCTTTCTATTGCCAATCAAAATAAAACTGAAAAAGTTTGAGAAAATGTGTTAGCGAAGCTGTTCAAAACATGATACACCAAAATATTGGGCTTCCATCTGGAAACTTGAATTAATCAATAATTCTTAAATAATTCTTAATGGTCTATGGTCTTCCCTGTTTCACTCCCTGCACAGAAACCAGAAATACTGTAGAGACTAACTGCCAATTTTAAAACACTGTCTGACTAAAGGTACATATTTATGGCTGAAAGATCCTCTCAAGTAGAGTTGTTTTTTGCTATTTTTTTTTACTTATAATTAATTTTAAAATAATTAGTTTCCTTTCAAAACTTGATGAAATGATTATTATATTAAAAATTTGTTTTGAAGTGACAGTTGTCCTGTAATCAGAGGGTAAAAAAAAAAGGCACGGAGTAGGATAAATCAGTTTCTTGTGTTAAACCTTCCATATACGTTGATCAGCCACAACGTTAAATCCACTGACAGGTGACGTGAATCACAGTGACTATATTGTTACACTGGCACCTGTCAAGTGGTGGAATATATATGACAACAAGTGAACAGTCAGTTCTTGAATTTAATGGGCAAGCAAGAAGATCGGCAAGGAAAAATGGGCAAGTGAGAAGATCTGAGTGACTTTGACAAGGGCCAAATAGTGATGACTAGACAACTGGGTCAGAGTATCTCCAAAACGGCAAGTGGAGTAGGATGTTACCGGTATGCAGTGGTTAGTACCTATGAAAAGTGGTGCAAGGAAGGACAGCCAGTGATTGTGCCGGCGCCAGGGTTGTGGGATTCCAAGGCTTATTGGCTAGCCAGCCTGATCCATTTACACAGAAGAGCCACTGTTGGGAGTTATAATTGCTAGCCATGATAGAAAGGTGTCAGAACACACAGTGCATCGCATTTTGCCTGAGTAATAGGGCTGTGTAGCTGTAGACTGGTCAGAGTGCCATGATTACCCCTGTCCATCACCAAAAGTGCTTTCAATGGGGATGTGAGCATCATATCTGAAGCAAGGGAAGAAGGTTGCCTGGTCTGATGAATTACATTTTCTTTTAGATCAGGTGAATGCCCACGTGCGTGTGTATCAATCACTTGGTGAAGAGATGGCAGCAGAATACACTATGGCAAGAAGACAGGCCGGTGGAGGCAGTGTTATGCTCTGGCCAATGTTGTGCCAGGTCTCAGCATTCATGTGGACCTTTACTTTGACACATATCACCTACTTAGAGATTGTTGCAGACCCCTACACCCCTTCATGGCAGTGATGTTCCCTGATGGCAGTGGCCTTTTTCAGCAGGATAATACACCCTGCCACACTGCAAAATAATTTCAGGAATGGTTTGAGGAACATACAAAGAGTTCAAAGTGTTACTTAGGACTCCAAATTCCTCAGATCTCAATTCGATTGAGCACCTGTGAGATGTACTGTAACAACAAATCCAATCAATGGAGGCCTGACCTCGCAACCTGCAGGACTTAAAGGATTGCTGCTAATGTCTTGGTGCCAGATACCACAGCACACATTCAGAAGTCTTATGGAGTCCATGCCTTGTTGCATAAGAGTTGTTTTGGCAGCACGAGGGAGATACACAATATTAGGCAAGTCGTTTTAATGTTGAGGCTGATCAGTGTAGATAACTATAGTAAAAATATGAACTTTTTTGTAGGGTTATATACAATATATTAAACAAAATGTAATATTTTATTTAATAATTCTGGCTAATCAGTTTAGAAAAGGATGTTGTTAAGGGCATTTTGTAATAATCTCTTGTTTGTCTGTTTTTAGCCGAAGAATCAGCTTCCTGTCCATTATGCAGCTCTTCGTCCCAATGGTACTGTCAGTGTCATACAAACTCTGCTAAAAGCATCCCACAAGGACGCAAGACTTGTTCAGGACGAGGTAAAATGAGAAAATCTTACACACAATATATACAGTACCTGGAAATACGCATGTCCAAGTCAAATAGGCATCAGGTCCTTTTATCCTTTTATCCATGTGTCATGTTTAATCGTCATATTATATATCTTCTAGATTAACATGTATGTGCCATGTTTAATCCAAATGTTAGCTAACCAATTCATTAATAATGTATGTTCAACTTTTAATCTACATGTTAAATAAGCAATCAGTTAATAATTTATGTGCCACTTTTAATTTGCTTGTTAGATATTCAGTGGATCACTAAGGCATGTGCCACATTTCATTTGCATGTTCGATATTCAGTGGATTACTAAGGCATGTACCACTTTTAATTTACATGTTCGATATTCAGTGGATTACTAAGGCATGTGCCACATTTAATTTGCATGTTTGATATTCAGTGGATAACTAAGGCATGTGCCACATGTAATTTGCATGTTCGATATTCAGTGGATAACTAAGGCATGTGCCACATGTAATTTGCATGTTTGATATTCAGTGGATAACTAAGGCATGTGCCACATGTAATTTGCATGTTCGATATTCAGTGGATTACTAAGGCATGTGCCACATGTAATTTGCATGTTTGATATTCAGTGGATTACTAAGGCATGTGCCACATGTAATTTGCATGTTAGATAACCAATGGGATGTACATTAGGTACAGATGATACAGATTCTAAGCACCATCTGGTAGTCCAGTCTCCATTTAGTTAATTGTATATAAATGTTCTAAGTATTGACAGCTTTTTAGTGGAACATTTATCATAGTATGCTTGAGAAATGTCACAAATAGTGCCCGAAACAATGCCTATTAGATATGTTCTATTAAACAGCTGCCAAGACTTAGAATGCTGTGTGTCAGGACTGTTTTCCTTTATATAATACCTAAATGAAAAGCTGTGGCTATTTACTTGGTCTGGAGCACCGTGTTCTTCAAATGTCTTTTAGGTATTATGGAGTGCGAAGGTGAATCCAGCAGAGTGCAGTCCCCTATCAATTAGTTCATCGTTTCAATACTGATACACTGGCTTTAGTATAAAACCATATTAACAATGTAATCAGTTTATTGGCGATTAAATGACATTATGAACTATTTTAAAACTGGTACTTGATCCACGGACAGTTAATGACTCTTTTATTGTAATGTATTTAGAATGTGAGAATGAAATTAGGTGAAGCATATAAGCAGAGTCTGGAGAGGCATTCGATACTCATAGTATTAGAATATTATTTTCCAAATGGTTCTAAATAAGGAAATGATGCCATTAAGGGAGGGAATTGTTAATCTAACCCGTGACGTGAAGCCATTCTGGATAATTTCCATAAAGTTCCCATGACTCCAGCGAGTCTTCTCTTCTCAAATCATGCTGCCGATATCATGATGTAACAATGTGTGGTGGTCCAGAGAGAAATGAGAACTGGTTCATCTTGGGTAGAGACTGCTAACCTTAGCAATGGAAGCATGTGTGAACTACATCTCCCATGATGCTCAGCAGACAATTGGCATTGGTGAAAAACACATATCATTTAGTTAAATCTTTAGTGAAATTAGGAGTATGCACCTTGGAGACATAAGCTTGTTGGACAAATTTAAGTGAAATACAAATTTTGTGAAATACTCACATTGAGCGTGTTGGAATGTCACTAATATTCCAACACAGTCAAAGATATCATAAGGCAAAGTAGGAACTGTGGGAAAAAAGGCATTGTCTCACTGATCGCAAGACAATATCGATGAAGGCTCCCACGGCCTTGCATAACCCTTCATAGACATCAGTGTTGCACTCTTGCACATGTGTGAGAGCACAGCGCTGACGCGGACTCCTGGCAGGTGAAGCACCAGAAGCTGAAGAAAGTAGATATCATTGCCTACCGGGGCAGCATCAAATAAGTACATCTCACCTCGGCTTAAACCCTGGGCCACCGCACACCAAGAGGCAATGTCACCATCTGTAACAAACCACAGGGGTCGTGTTCAGTCCTGCAACTCAGGTGCAGTAAAAGGACAAGCATGATCCACAACGATGCTGAGGTTGAGGACAGGATTCTGTCAGGTCAGTGATGGCACGAGGGCTTTAATACAAATAACAGAAAAATCCAAGGCAACGGTATGCGATGAAGGGTCATTCAGAAATCAGAGTCAGATGGTTCAGAGGTCAGGGCAGTCAGCAATCGGCAAGATCCAGAGAGCTGGCAAAGTCAGGAAACCAACAAGGACAGGAAACACAAGGAAACAAATGCTAGGAGTTCTGAGGCAACAAAACAACCAAGCACTGACTGGAAGGTGTGCTCTGCTTAAATAGGAGTGACTCAATCACATAACCAGGTCTCACATGTTGGAGGGGTTACCTGAGGTCAATGTGACTGACTGTAGGACTCAGCCCCACCTTGGGGCACCTCCACCAACCTCTGACCTGCAGACCAATCTCCTCATGCAGCAGCATCTTGGAATGCTGGAACAATCACTGCAGGTTCCCCAGCTGTGAATTGAATCGAGGATTAGAAGATGCCCACTGGGGCGTATCAACCACAGACACTATGACCACTGTGGACTGACCTCCAGCGCTTCGCGTGGGCCCCTGGACAGGTGAGAACCGTCGGTAAATGGGACATCATCAGGGGTATTTGCATAATTTGACAAAGTTTGTTTAATGATCTATTATACAGGTGTAACCGTTCCATAGACTGTGTTTTATGTTCCATTTATTATTTTTAAATGTAAGTTACAGATAAACTTTAACACTGTTTTTATTATTCTTGTTATTGAAATTACTTATTAATACTTCTTATTGGACCCTGAGTTATGAGAATCATTTTATGTTTCATATGAGAACTGTTTTTTCCATGACCTCTAATAAAACAGACTCAATAACATACAATGTAAAATGAAACATGAGTACAATTATTATTATTATTTTATATTATTATTATTATATACTACATATATCTAACTATAATTTACAGGATGGCTGCATCCCATTATTTCTGGCTGTGGACTCTGGTAACCTCGGTATCTGTAAAGAACTCTTGTCAGTACAGCCAGATGTCCAGCTCAAAGCAACTAGCAAGGTAAGTTGTAAAACCTACTGTAATTACACATTTTCCATGACTTACAAACTTGCAGAGGTTTGTTCTCCTGTGTCTTTCCCTTTCAGTTATAACATCGGATCTCATTCCCTGCTACAGATAGTCCTGTTTTTCCAATAAATATATATAGTACCTTTTATCAGTCACCATCTTTCTTGTTCACTGATAGCTAAACTTTTCAAAATGTTCTCTCAGTCGGACAATTCTCTGGCCATTACCAGACAATTCTAGCCTCTCAGTGTAACTCGTGTTACACTGAGCATGACTCAAGCTATGAATGGCTACCAGATCTCCATCAGATACATTCATGTCAATAGGGAATCAGACTAATGATACAATAACTGCCCTTAGTTCAGATCAAAGGAGCTCTAACTCGGTGGGTGAATTATAGTTTGGGCATTGTGTGGGAGTTATTAGGTACACAGTAATCTATGCGTTTGCTATATGGAAAATGGATATGTTTTAAATGCTAAACTACTTGTTTTGTTAGTTATTCCAAATCCAGTCATAAAACAAGAAATAGAAATAGAATTATTAGTACTCCCAGTCCAGTTCCGATGAATTAGAATTTTGTGTGTGCTACATAGTAAAGACCAGGACAATGTATCGCATTGTAACATATACCAATACTGCCTGTCAATAACAGAAACACGGGGACACAGCACTCCACGCATGTTGTAGAAAAAGAGATGTGGAAGTTGCAAGGCTGCTGGTTGAATACGGAGCTCCCATTGATGGGCAGAATGTGAGTATGTCTTTTTTATTATTTATATAGCGCCAACAAATTCTGCAGCGCTGTACAATGGGAGGACTAACAAACGCGTAATTGTAACAGACGCGTTGAACACACAGGGACAGAGGGGGTCGAGGCTATGCTCAATGGGTTTACATACTAGATGGTATACATTTTAAATTTGCAACCTTGGGAACAGAGGAATGACTTGGCACTTGGCACTGAGGAAAACATGGCACCTGGAACTTGTATGTTGGCGCCCCCTACCAAATTGTTCCATGCCACAAACCCCCTTTTGTTAGGGACGTTACACACATTCACATTCATATACCCATGCACACATTCATATACACACACACCACTATTCAAATACATACATTCATACACAAACTTAAAACCATACACACTTATTAAAACATGTACACACATTTATTTACACACACACATTAAAATATGCACACATTCATATACACACACACCCCTATTCAAATACATACATTCATACACAAACTTAAAACCATACACACTTATTAAAATATGCACACATTCATATACACACATTAAAATATGCACACATTCATATACACGCACACTTATTAAAATATGCACACATTCATATACACACACTTCTAAAAATATGCACACATTTATATACACACACTTATTAAAATACGCACACGTTCATATACACACACACTTATTAAAATATGCACACATTCATATACACACACACTTATTAAAATATGCACACATTCATATATACACACACATTTATTTAAATATGCACACATTCATATACACACACACTTACTAAAATATGCAAACATGTATATACACACACTTATTAAAATATGCACACATTCATATACACGCACACTTATTAAAATATGCACACATTCATATATAGACACACTTATTAAAATATACATGCACACTTATTAAAATATGCACACATTCATATACACACACATTTATTAAAATATGCACACATTCATATACACACACTTCTAAAAATATGCACACATTTATATACACACACTTATTAAAATACGCACACGGTCATATACACACACACTTATTAAAATATGCACACATTCATATACACGCACACTTATTAAAATACGCACACATTCATATATACACACACATTTATTTAAATATGCACACATTCATATACACACACACTTATTAAGATATGCACATATTTATATACACACACACTTACTAAAATATGCAAACATGTATATACACACACTTATTAAAATATGCACACATTCATATACACGCACACTTATTAAAATATGCACACATTCATATATAGACACACTTATTAGAATATACATGCACACTTATTAAAATATGCACACATTCATATACACACACATTTATTAAAATATGCACACATTCATATACATGCACACTTATTAAAATATGCACACATTCATATACACACACATTAAAATATGCACACATTCATATACACACACTTCTAAAAATATGCACACATTTATATACACACACTTATTAAAATACGCACACGTTCATATACACACACACTTATTAAAATATGCACACATTCATATACACACACTTATTAAAATATGCACACATTCATATATACACACACATTTATTTAAATATGCACACATTCATATACACACACTTACTAAAATATGCAAACATGTATATACACACACTTATTAAAATATGCACACATTCATATACACGCACACTTATTAAAATATGCACACATTCATATACACACACATTTATTAAAATATGCACACATTAATATACACACACTTCTAAAAATATGCACACATTTATATACACACACTTATTAAAATACGCACACTGTCATATACACACACACTTATTAAAATATGCACACATTCATATACACACACACTTATTAAAATATGCACACATTCATATACACGCACACTTATTAAAATACGCAAACATTCATATATACACACACATTTATTTAAATATGCACACATTCATATACACACACACTTATTAAGATATGCACATATTTATATACACACACACTTACTAAAATATGCAAACATGTATATACACACACTTATTAAAATATGCACACATTCATATACACGCACACTTATTAAAATATGCACACATTCATATATAGACACATTTATTAAAATATACATGCACACTTATTAAAATATGCACACATTCATATACACACACATTTATTAAAATATGCACACATTCATATACACGCACACTTATTAAAATATGCACACATGTATATACACACACATTTATTAAAATATGCACACATTCATATACACGCACACTTATTAAAATATGCACACATTCATATACACACACACTTATTAAGATATGCACACATTCATATACACGCACACTTATTAAAATATGCACACATTCATATACACACACACTTATTAAAATACGCACACATTCATATACACACACACTTATTAAGATATGCACACATTCATATACACACTCACATTCATATACACACACACACTTATTAAGATATGCACACATTCATATACACACACACTTATTAAAATACGCACACATTCATATACACACACACATTCATATACACACACACACATTCAGATACATGCACAAATACATACACAATTTATTTAATTTATTTTTTATTACACAATGTAGTCTATCCAGCCTTCCTTTTCTTACCTTTGCCTGGAAAAGAACTGAAGTGGAGTCTCATCCTTGGAGTCCAGTGAGGAATTAATTGGCTAACTGCAGAGCCGACTGTGGTGGGAGGAGGGTGCTCTGTCACCCCCTGTTAATGCTTCTCTACTTGTAAAACAGATAGCTATAGAATGACTAGACACAAAGGGGGAGATTATCAGTGTCACAGTTTTGTGCCTTTTTGACATTTTACGACTTTTAGGCAAAGTTTATTAAATATGTCACTTTTGCTTCTCCCTGACCATCATTTTTAAATGTAATATCCATTTTTGGGAAATTTGCAACATATTTATCAATCTCTTTTTAGTTTTTTTTCCTCCTTAAAAGCGTTCTCTTTCACTTTACTCTTTTTTTTTACCTTTTCAAGGACGGATATTTCAGCAAACATAATTGTGGAATTTAGGAAGAGAATATACTTTTTTTACAGCAATTTATTCAATCTGAACAGATTAGAGACCAGAAATAAAATAAACTTTTTTTATATCTGTAAAGAGAAAATGGGCAACATAATTCTTGAAATTAATTTATTTTAAGTCAGGTTTCTTTAAAGGATCACTATAGGGTCAGGAACACAAACATGTATTACTGATCCTATAGTGTTAAAAACACCATCTAGACCCCCCTGGGCTCACCTTGCCTCCATAAATATAGTAAAATCTTACTTGTATTCAAGTCTGAAGCTGCTGCCTCTGCCCTGTCTGCTGACATCACCAGACGTGGTTGTCTGAGCCAATACCCAATGCTTCCCTGTAGGATTGGCTGAGACTGTCAAGAAGACAGATCAGGAGCAGAGCCAGCACAAGTCAAACACAGCCCTGGCCAAGCAGCATCTCCTCATAGAGATGCATTTAATCAATGCATCTCTATAAGGAAAGTTCAGTGTCTCCAAGTAGAGATGGAGACACTGAATAACAGTCACATTGTGCAGCACTGCCCCAGGAAGCACCTCTAGCAGCCATCTAAGGAGTGGGCCGTGGAGGTATCACTAGGCTGTAATGTAAACACTGCATTTTCTCTGAAAAGACAGTGTTTACTGAAAAAAGCCTGAAGGGATTGACTATACTCACTAGAACAAATACAATAAGCTGTAGTTGTTTTGGTGGCAATAGTGTCCCTTTAAGACATCTTTTCCTTGTGTTCTAAGCGCCATGCCAACCAAACATCTAGCAAACATACAGAATATTTCAAACAATATTTTACTCTTAAAATTTTTTGTTGGTGAATGAGCTGTGGGTTATATATATAATAGCCAAGCTGTGACTATAACAGAATCTTTTTTTACTAGTTCTGCTAACTTTTCCTAAATTTAGCGATTTGGCTTTTAAATCATTAGTTTTGTGTTCAGTGGGTAAATGGCATTGGTGTTATTAGAGTGTAGTGTACCGTATTGTATCTGGATGTCTGAAGCATTGTTATACAAAGCTATTCTTTTGCTGCATTGAGTGAGTGTGAGTTACTTACTATGTGTGTTAATTTGTTATATTTTATGGACTCACTAGAGCGACGGCCAGACCCCTTTACACATTGTAGCTGCCGAAGGAAATGAAACCTTGCTTAAATTCCTACATCAATGTAAAGCCAACCCGAACATAAGTGACCAGGTAAGTATTCAGAATGCTAAATCCTGCGCTTTGTGTTATGGGCCATCCGGATTTTTAGCAAGAAATGTGTCCAGTCTCAGATTTTGCTCCATTTTTGATGTGTTCGTGTTCCTGCAATCTTACTTTCACCTGTTGATTCATTCTGAATGCAATCACTGAACAACGTTGAAAAAATTGCAAATAAAAGAGTTGATATTGTATGTGTTAATGTCTAACAAACACATTTAAAAGCTTCTTAAAATAATCTGAAATAATATCTTACATAGATATTATAAATCCGTTTAATGTCGGAACATTTTCAATTTACAGTTAATATTAAAAAATAAAAATCTGTAGTTTTTTTTGAAATCCTCCCGTTGCTGTTTATTATATTTATTACAGATGGACCGGTGTCCTTTACACATTGCTGCAGAGAGAGGACACACCACTGTCGTTGAAATTCTCACGGAGAAGTTTCGTTCCAATGTTTTGGCTCGTACTAAAGTAAGTACATTTTATACTTGTGGTGATAAACTAACGTACTATAGGTATATAATATGAATAAAATAATTTAGATGCTTTCATAGAAATAAATAAATGTATAAGAGGCATAAAACAACTGTTGCAAAACAAAGCAAAAATTAACAATTTCTGGATTATATTTGAAGTGTGTAGGAATTTTATAAAGATCCTTTGTCACAATTATATCAGAAGAGGTAACACAGGGTTTCAAACACAAAACATTATTACAGGGAGACAATCCTCCATTGTATCAAGTAAGAAGAAATTGTTTGATCAGATAGTGACAGCCTTAAAGGGTCAGTCTAGGCACCATAACTACTACAGACCGCAGTAGCATTAACAATATTTTTGAATGGTTTAACACTTACCTGGTTCCCCAGGTTCCTCCAGTCAGGTCTTCTTTTTTTGATATCGCTAGTGTGTATATAGAAACATAGAATGTGACAGCAGATTAGAACCATCCGGCCCATCTAGTCTGCCCAATTTTCAAAATACTTTCATTAGTCCCTGGCCTTATCTTATAGTTAGGATAGCCTTATGCCTATCCCACGCATGCTTAAACTCCTTTACTGTGTTAACCTCTACCACTTCAGCTGGAAGGCTATTCCATGCATCCACTACCCTCTCAGTAAAGTAATACTTCCTGATATTATTTTTAAACCTTTGTCCCTCTAATTTAAGACTATGTCCTCTTGTTGTGGTAGTTTTTCTTCTTTTAAATATAGTCTCCTCCTTTACTGTGTTGATTCCCTTTATATATTTAAATGTTTCTATCATATCCCCCCTGTCTCGTCTTTCCTCCAAGCTATACATGTTAAGATCCTTTAACCTTTCCTGGTAAGTTTTATCCCGCAATCCATGAACCAGTTTAGTAGCCCTTCTCTTAACCCTCTCTAAGGTATCAATATCCTTCTGAAGATACGGTCTCCAGTACTGTGTACAATACTCCAAGTGAGGTCTCACCAGTGTTCTGTACAATGGCATGAGCACTTCCCTCTACCTACTATCCTCCCCCTGAGCTCCCACCCCTGGCAGGTGGGGGCCCTAAAAAACAATAAGGGGGGGACCTACTGTCCCCCCCCCCGGCCCCCACCCCTGAGCAGAGGGTGGGGGCCCTATATAAGAATGGGGGGGGAACTACTGTCCTCCCCCCCGGCCCCCACCCATGAGCGGTGGGTGGGGGCCCTAAAAAACAATATGGGGGGGACCTACTACAGGGGAGGAGGACAGTAAGTCTACTGTCCTCCCCCCTCTGGCCCCCACCCCTGAGCGGTGGGTGGGGACCCTAAAAAACAATAACGGGGGGACCTACTGTCCTCGCCCCATGGCCCCCACCCCTGAGCGGTGGGTGGGGGCCCTAAAAAAACAATAAGGGGAGGACCTACTACAGGGGGGGAGGACACCCCTGAGCGGTGGGTGGGGCCCTAAAAAACAATAAGGGGAGGACCTACTGTCCTCCCCCTGACCCCCACCCCGAGTGGTGGGTGGGGGCCCTAAAAAAACAATAAGGGGAGGACCTACTGTCCCCCCCCCAGCCCCCACCCCTGAGCGGCGGGTGGGGGCCCTAAATGAAAATTCACCCCCCCTCAATCAAGGTGACTAGAGGTCCCAAGCCCCTAGTCACCTCCCCACCCAAATAAAACTATCCCCTACCTAACCCCCTCACCCTAAAAATAGTGAGGGGGGAATAAAATAACTAACCTGTAAAGAAAAATTAAACTTACCATTTGATGTCTTCTTTTTTCTAAAATCTTCATTTTTCAGCTCAAAAAAAGGCCAAATAAAAAGCCATCATACCCGTCGAACTTAAAATGAAATAAAAAACCTGAGCGCAAAAAAAAATCCAGACGAAAAAGAAAAAACCCAACGCTAAAAAAATTAATCCATCTTCACCCATGGAGGGCTCCGCGCAGACTGAGCTCTGCAGGGCGGGGAAGGCTTATAAAGCCTTGCCCCGCCCTGCAATTAGGCTAAGAACACTCTGATTGGTTGGTTTAAGCCAATCAGAGTGCTCTTTGTCATTTTACACAGCGTGGGAAAATTCCAAAGAACTTTCCCACACTGTGTAAAATGACACAGAGCACTTTGATTGGTTAGATTTCAAGCCATCCAATGAGAGTGGTCTGTGTCATTTTACACAGCGTGGGAAAGTTCTTTGGAATTTTGATGGGGGACCAGGGGGGAGGACACCATTCTTATATAGGGCCCCCACCCACCGCTCAGGGGTGGGGGCCAGGGGGGAGGACAGTAGGTCCCCCCCCTTATACTTATTTAGGGCCCCCACCCGCCGCGCAGGGGTGGGGGCCGGGGGGGTGGACAATAGGTCCCCCCATTGTGATTTATTGCCCCCATCCACCGCGCATGGTTGGGTTCCAGGGGGGATTTATTGTATTATTGCCCCCACCCAGCGCGCAGGGGTGGGGGGCGGTTAGTAGGTTGTTGTTTTTTTAACAGTGAGCAGCCACAAGTATAGCGGGTAGGGACAGATCATTTACTAATACTAAGTAATCTTTACTTAGTATTAGTAAAGTTTGCTGAAAGACCAATTTAGATCTTTCAGCCTTTTGGAAGATAACTCCCTAATACCGTGGGAATTAGGGAGTTATCTACTTAGCGGCTGCAAGATGCAGCCGCGGCACAAATTGAATCGGAGTTTCATTAATTCAAATTAAATTCCGATACGAACAAAGTGCCGAATTGAGTTCTAAAACAAATGAACATACTGTTCTCATTCAGTTAGAACGCAATTCGGCAGTTTCGTCTAAAATGACAGGAAGCATCGCGAGATCACAGAGGAAAGTGAAGAATTATGGGAAAATTGCTCTGACCAGCGGAAATGAAGCACACTTTGCTCCTCCGCTGGTCAAAGCTAACCTAACAGGGTTATTTACTAAAGTCAGAATTCAGAGTGAATTTCAGCTTTAATGCCAGAGTTGCTGAATGGAAAGTATTGCTGATCTAGACACTTTTTTCAGTTCAGCTATCTTAACATTAAATATGAAATTTACTTTGAATTTACTTGGACCAGAGCCTGTGTTAACCCTCTAGTTACCAGAGCCCCGGATAGGTAACATGTAAATGAATGAAAAATCAAAACACAAGATTACTTTATAAATGATATAGTAATGATTAAATACACACATGCTCCCACAACCATAAGAAGTTAAGCTCATTCAAGTTGTTGGGGGGGACAAAAGTGTCCGGCTCCATCTGAGCTTCAAGAGTTAAACCATGTTGCTAAGGTTTAACCTCGAAGCTGGGGCTCCGTTGCCCTCATCTTCCTTCCTCTCTGTGCGGACACTTTCAGCCATGACCAGCTGCAAACTAACCGTTGTCATACTACGGCACAAAGAGAAAGGAAGCCAAGGTGGCAGCGGACTTGGTGCGTTAAACTCTTGCCCAATAGGAACAGACCTTGGATATCACATAATTGGGTTCATTTTGTTCATCTGCCTCCGTCTCATTGCTCATGCCAGTGTCTTAGTGTTTTATCCTTATGGTATTGTTTAACTAACCATGTGTCCGGCAGTCCCAGCAGTCCCCACTGCTTTCTTAACAGGTTTTATTTTGTTATCCTTTTACAGCATTTTATTCACTCTTTACAACTGATTGCTGTATTTTTGTATTTGTACGGCAGGATGGCAGTACCCTAATGCACATTGCTTCGCAGTGCGGGCATCCAGAAACAGCACTGGCATTTTTGAAGAAGGGGGTTCTGCTTCATATGCCCAACAAGGTAGTGTTTGATGGCGTAATGACAGACCAAGAGGGTTTCACTATAGACATGGATGAGTTTCCATGTAGCTAATATAGCTTTTCCTCTTTTAAAGACACAGGGTAACTGTAAAGCAAGAGAACAAGTTCTGTCTCTGATCTTGTTGGGGCCTACCTTTTAAGTGGTGATAGTGTCATAACTAATGCACAAAGAGGGACAATTTTAGGGGTGTGTGGTCAGGGGCGGGGTGGGTTGGTCTAAAATATTTTAGGTGATGTACTAATAGCTATTAATGCAACTAAAATATAATTTAAAACAAGAACAATGTTTTCTTATTTACACAGACTGATTTCCAAACACATCTATTGTAGTTTAAAGAGACACTGGGAGTATTATTGCTGTGGAGCTCTGTTATACACTCAGACACATTACTGGGAGTATTATTGCTGGGGAGCTCTGTTATACACTCAGACACATTACTGGGAGTATTATTGCTTTGGAGCTCTGTTATACAGACACATTACTGGGAGTATTATTGCTGTGGAGCTCTATTATACACATTACTGGGAGTATTATTGCTGTGGAGCTCTGTTATACACTCAGACACATTACTGGGAGTATTATTGCTGTGGAGCTCTGTTATACCCTCAGACACATTACTGGGAGTATTATTGCTGTGGAGCTCTGTTATACACTCAGACACATTATTGGGAGTATTATTGCTGTGGAACTCTGTTATACACTCAGACACATTACTGGGAGTATTATTGCTGCGGAGCTCTGTTATACACTCAGACACATTACTGGGAGTATTATTGCTGTGGAGCTCTGTTATGCACTCAGACACGTTACTGGGAGTATTATTGCTGTGGGGCTCTGTTATACACTCAGACACATTACTGGGAGTATAATTGCTGTGGAGCTCTGTTATACACTCAGACATTACTGGGAGTATTATTGCTGTGGAGCTCTGTTATACACTCAGACACATTACTGGGAATATTATTGCTGTGGAGCTCTGTTATACACTCAGACACATTACTGGGAATATTATTGCTGTGGAGCTCTGTTATACACTCAGACACATTACTGGGAGTATTATTGCTGTGGAGCTCTGTTATACACTCAGACACATTACTGGGAGTATTATTGCTGTGGAGCTCTGTTATGCACTCAGACACATTACTGGGAGTATTATTGCTGTGGAGCTCTGTTATACACTCAGACACATTACAGGGAGTATTATTGCTGTGGAGCTCTGTTATACACTCAGACACATTGCTGGGAGTATTATTGCTGTGGAGCTCTGGTATACACTCAGACACATTACTGGGAGTATTATTGCTGTGGAGCTCTGTTATACACTCAGACACATTACTGGGAGTATTATTGCTGTGGAGCTCTGTTATACACTCAGAAACACCAACAATACAGAGCTCCTAGAAAAGAGGGACATAAGGAGAGAAAATAGGGACACAGGGATTTTTCGCCAAAATAGGGACTATTCTTCCTAAATAGGGACACTTGGGAGGTATGTAACAATGCTAAGGGAGAAAATAGAATAATATGAGTGTTCTCTTACTATGTTGTTTTATGTCAAGTCAGGAGCAGTGTGTCTACATGCGGCGGCCAAGAGAGGACATACTGCTGTTGTCAAAGCTCTGTTACAAAAGGGCGCTAACGTGGACGCTCGAACCAAGGATAATTACACAGCCCTGCACATTGCCGCTGAGAACTGCAAGCCGCAAGTGGTGCAGACGTTGCTTGGCTTTGGGGCACAAGTGCAGCTGAAAGGAGGAAAGGCAAGTCTCATAGAGCTGCACAAAACGGTTTGAAATAAAAAACCCTAATTATGGTCAACACATTTTTTTTCCTGTGATGTTTATGAATCCTGCATTCTGTCAGGGAGGGGATTGAAAGTGCTGCTCGGCAGTGTGCAGAATTCACTCTTTCTGGGTCTATATCTTATATCAGAAATGCTTATAAATGATGAATGCTTTACTGATTCAAAGTGTTACACCATGTGCACACTAGATGGCGATAAATAACAACACTGTCGGTTTATCATACCCCTCTACCTTATAAACATTGAATTGCAAGAACTATTGTGTCTATATAAGTTGTACAGGAAAGTTGAATAATAATAATACATTGCATAAATACCAAGGTAGTAGTTTATTTGTAAATGAACCAAATTACAGGCAATCAGGGCCGGACTGGGGGTACAAAGCAGCCCTGGGAAAAAAATCTGTGCCAGCCCCATAAGTCACTGCGCCATATATTGTCGCGTGTAATATGTCTTGCCACCCCATATGATTGAGTAATTAATATATTATATATATAGATATATTGCCTTCTCTAATATAAAATATTGCTCCTTTCAGAGTAAAACGTTTAATTATACAGTAAGCATACTCACATGCAGACACAGACAATCTCACTAACACACACAAGCTCATTGATACACAGGCTTATAGACAAACAATCTCACTGACACACACAAGCTCATTGATACACAGGCTCAGAGACAAAATCTCAGTGATATACATAAGCTCATTGACATACAAACACAAGCTCACTCACTAGGCACACACACATCCTAGCAAGCGCACTCAGTAGCAGGCACACACACATGCAAGCAAGCGCACTCACTAGCAGGCGCACACACATACACAGCTTAATGTAGTGGTTCTGGTGTCTATACCCTGTCTCTGCAGGCTTTTCAATGTAAACACTGACTTTTCATATATATGCTTCCTAGTGGCAGACACTCAGACGGTCACTAGAGGTGCTTCCTGTGTCAGTGCGGATTGGCGGAGGTCATCAAGCTTGATGATCTCAGCCATAGAGGCAGGGCCAGTCGAGGAGAGACCAGCATGACGTGAGGGAAAAAAAGGTGAGTAAAAACACTATTGATAAAAACACAGACACACACATACCATGACAGACACACACACGCACACCTTGACACACACACACTATGACAGACCCACACCTTGACAGACACACATACACACCATGACACAGATACATACACACCATGACACAGACAGACACACATACACTCACACTGACACACATAATTGCTACCTGTGTGCAGACAGCTGTCTGGGCTGGCGGCCGCAGGGTGAGCTCTTCTTCTGGCGGCCGCAAGGTGAACTCTGAGGGCGGCCGCAGAGAGAGCTGGCTGTTCTGTCTCTGCTCCCCCCCCCCCTCGCATGCAGCTTAATGAGACCGCAGCCAGAATATGACGTCATATTCTGGCCGCGGTCTCATTCAGCAGCGCGCGAAGGCGGGAGAGCAGAGACAGTACAGCCAGCTCTCCCTGTGGCCGCCCTCAGAGCTCACCCTGCAGCCGCCAGAAGAAGAGCTCACCCTGCAGCCACCAGAAGAGCTCACCCTGCGGCCGCAGGTCAGCCAGCTGTCTGCCCGGCTCCAGGTGCCGACGACCCAAGGGGAAATTTTCCGGTATCCCGGTGGGCCAGTCCAGCCCTGCAGGCAATGCAATATAAGGTGCAAATTCATGCAGGCTAACCACTGAAAACAGGGACACTCCAAAAACCTTGCAAGAAACAAGTGCAAAAATAGCTGTATAAAAACCAAAGTTTAAAATACAGTGACAGGGCACCACAATCACAAATGGTGAGAAGGATATATTTATCAAAATGATGAGGAGTACATGGAACTATAAAAGAGAAAAATATAAAAGATCATAGCGCAAACTTTAATAGATATAAATGATCAAAAAAAAAAAAAAAAGAAAAACTCACAAACATAGTGGCACGATTGAAATAATCAATATGTGCAACTGCACTTTGAGTCCCCAGAAATGCCAGTCTCTTGTAAACACCTCTGAATATCAGAAGGGCTTCCTCCACTGACTATTGCTGTTTGAAAGTCAAGAGTCAGGTACTAAATTCACCGCTGGGCTAAAGTCCTTTTGGGGGTATAATGCTGCTCAACGCGTTTCGTCCTATTCGTGTAATCAATTCTTTACTCCTCTGCGTTTTAATACGCCGGGTAGCGTCTTTCAAATATGTTTGCGCATGCACCGAGGCGTATAGACGGGACGTAAAAACACCCCGTCGACACCTCACGTGCATGTGCGTTTCGCTTTGGAATGCAAACAAACTTAATTTATGTAAGTAGAGGCGGAAGATCACCGGCAAGTATCTAAAACCCGGACATATCACGCCCAATGCTAAACACACATTTAAATATTCACATATCAGGTGTGTATCTCAGTGAGCTAATAACCCAATTGTATGTGTGAAAAAGTAAAAATGTAAAAACCAGATTCCATGGTAAAACATACAGAAACAGTATAATCTTAAAGAGACAGTATGATTTTATACGCAGAATAATAAAGATACAAAAAATACGTTGCAAATATCATCTGTAAAAATACATATGTAAAGAAATGCATCAAAACCACGATGGGGAAAAGAGTACACATCAGTCAAATAATCCTAAATGATCTAAAGAGGAGGTAAAGACATAATGATAACAAATATAAATTATATCTAGAGGAGAAGTTAAAAAAGGAGAAAAAATATTAATTTGAATCAATCTTAAAATAGCAAAAAATATTAAGTCTACATAAGCAATAACAATAAGAAGCAATAAAAAAAGTCTATAATAAATATAAAACTTATACAAGTGGGAGCTAAACCCTAATGGAATCAATCCATAAAGTCCAAAATGTCCAAATCGGTGTTCAGGCCGGACGGCACTGAAGTTTTAAGTTTAAAAATCCATTCTGTTTCTTTCATTGCTAATGTTTTTTCTATGTCACCTCCCGTCCAGTGGGGGGTGACTACATCAATACCGATACAAGTAAATTACTCAAGTTTAAAATCTTTACAATGAATACAATGTCTCGGTACGCTGTGTTTAAGATTTGTTCTGTTGATTCCATTAAAATGCTCTAAAAGCCTTACATATAGTTTACGAACGGTGAGCCCTACATATTGTGTGCCACATTTACATTGTAGCAGATACACTACATTCTTGCTTTGACAGTTGATTAACTGCTTAATTCTAAAAACTTCTCAAACTACTTCTTCATTTGTAACCTGCCAGATAACTGATTTAAGTGTTTATTATAAATTTTAGAAGCAGAGATTATGCTGTCAGATGAGAATCATTTCACTCACCTGGCCAAGAAATGCGATACACGTTTTATGTATTTGTTGAATTTTTATTATCCTATTGTACATTCCATTCTTCGATAGGCTTTACTGCTTCCCTGAAAGACTCTCGGAGGTGTCTGCTATGGGTCAGATAGCTACATTGATAAAGCTCCAGTTTCTATATTGTAGGGTCACTGGTTTAATTCTTCGAAAGATCAGCTGAGCCATCTAACCTCCTTAGGGTGATACAGTGAATGCCACAATTCGGTTTTATACAGAAAGTACATTAAGGATATGAGCATTGTTAAAATATCCATACGTTTGTCTGACAGTACTGAGAATTATTGTCCGTGGAAGCACTTTGAGAACTGCTATGTTTCTCTAGGTTCAGGAGACACCCCTTCACATTGCGGCCCGTGTTAAGGATGGCGAGAAGGTGGTGGAGATGCTGCTGAAGAGTGGGGCAGATGTTAATGTGGAGCAGGAGGTAACATGGAGCTTTACATTAACATGCATGGAGCGGGGTGAATCCAGCTGGCGTTAGATGTTTAGAATGTTTGAGAAGGATATTAGAATTACATGACATCATACCAGCCGGGCTATTGACTAAAATGAGATTTGTAGAGAATTCAAAGGGAATTTAAATTTAAGACCAGACCAGCTAAAGTTGAAAAATTCTCCAAGTTTGCTATGCTTCCATTTTGCCTACTTTGGCTTTAAAGGAACACTAGAGTGCTAGGAATGCAAACATGTATTCTAATGCTATAGTGCCCTTGCCCCTAATTATATACTGCCCCTACGTTTAAAAAAAATAAAATAATAAAGTGAACATTTTTACTTACTTTTTTCCAATGCAGGGGCTGCCACGTCACAGCTCACCTCTCATAATATCATAGTGGAGGATCTCCTCCGGCGATGGTCAAATCCAATTGTCCTTATGGCTGCATTCCCCATAGGAAAGAACTGAATTTAATAAGTTCTTATGAGCTTTGACATCACGTGAGCAAATATTACTCACTGAGTGCAGCGGGAGTGCTTCTAATGGTTGTCAGGAAGACAGTGTATAGGGGTGGATTGAAACATGATATGTAAACATCGCAGCTTCTAAAATGATCTCAATTAAGTGATCTAGCTGACTATACTGTCCCTTTAAATTTGAAATTCAAGTTGAATTCCCAACAATTCTCACTGTTTATTCTAATATCTTCTGGGTTTTCTGATAATTGTGAGTAAAAATCAGTAAAGTCAAGAGTAGTTTTATTTATTTATTCTATTCACTATGTAACACCAGTAATGGTGGGAACAGACAGGGCTCACAATTTCAAGTCCTAAGCTACCAAACCAGGGGTGCCCAATAGGTAGATCCCCAGATGTTTTAAAACTACAGCTCCCATAATGCATTGCTTTTCTAAAAGGCATTCTAAGAGCATAAAAACCATCATTGGAGTTATAGTTTTACAACATCTGGGGATCTACATTTTGGGCACCCCTTTACTAGACATAAAATATATAAATCTTCTCACTCATAGCACACTCACCTGGACTGAGTTTCTGCTTGCCAGACTAAGCTTTGAATTGTCAATGGCTAGTGGCTGAGTGGAAATTGTGAGCCCTGGGAGCAGGTTCTCAGATACTCATTATTATTAATCAGTAATGGCAGAAGTAATTATTATTTATAAAGCAGTTTTTCGGATACTCACTATTAAACAGCAATTATTTTTGTTATTATTACTATTAATGTCTGACGTATGACCTAGAACCATGTCAAGACTATTTTATTTAAACTTTAAGTCTGGCAATGAATGGAATACTGTCATTTTAATCAACAGGATGGTGAGACAGCAATGCACGTAGCGGCTCGTCATGGGAACTTGAAGGTGCTCACTGCGCTGATTGAAGATGGAGGTGAACTCACTTGGCTGTCAAAGGTAACCTGAAGAATTAATATTTAATCATCTGCTACTGTAACAGGCCTGGTTTTCACACGCTGGAACATCTGCAGCTTTGCAAATTAATACACAACAATGCTTATCAGATGACCTTTAGATGGCTCCGCTGGCTGCATACACGAGTTGTTAGCAGCAACTGAGCACATTTTAAAAATGTGTGGGTTTTTTTGTGTGGAAAACAGCCCTCTGATATGCTCAGTCTGCTACTAGAACTGATTAGTGATGTCACCCATTCACTTTGCATTGGGAACTCTAAGCCTGGTGCCCCAGAATACAGACTCTGCCTTCTCTCAAACAAGGATACAAGGAAAGAGCCCGAGTAGTGGGTTAGGTTTAAGAATTCAGTACTCACCCAAGACACTGCTGCTCCTTCATGCTAATTGAGATATCGTTTCATTTATGTATTTTATTTTTAGCATTCTTGGGTTGTCATTCTTAGTAGCTTGATATTGCAATGTCATACATGTCAATTATTATTTTAATAAATATTACTAAATGACATGATTAAATGTAAAACTCCACTAATTTTACATATTGAGGTTCTGTGGGGTGACCATCACGCTTTTGCCATTAATAGAGTTTACTTATTTATGTCAGACTGTGTAAAATAATATCCATTCCTCATAACATTTCTAAACTGTTTGAGTTTAATTTATTAAACACCTGATTGTAGTGAATTAAAAAATTAATTGCAACATTTAGGCAAAATAGCTTAACTGTGAGTTTAGATTTTTTTTCCAAAACAGGTATTTTTGCCAATATTTTGCAGTTTGATTTTCAATTGATTACAGTTTGTGATAAATCATAGTAAGTAAAACATTTCATTTCTGCATCAGGAATTTAACCCAGACTACTTAATCCAGGCTACCTGGGTAAAAATGAAAACGGCCTTATGACTGCTAGCAGATTCCTTCCAAGTACATACATCCCAAGTGTCCAGTATTTAGGAGGGACAGTTCCTATTTTGGGCCCAAATTTCTCTCTCCCTCTTTCTCTCCCAATGTCCTCCTTCTCTAGGAGCTCCATGTTGTTGGTGTCTCTGAGTGTATAACAGAGCTCCACAGCAATAATACTCCCAGTAACGTCTCTGAGTGTATAACAGATCTCCACAGCAATAATACTCCCAGTAATGTGCCTGAGTGTATAACAGAGCTCCACAGCAATAATACTCCCAGTAATGTGTCTGAGTGTATAACAGAGCTCCACAGCAATAATACTCCCAGTAATGTGTCTGAGTGTATAACAGAGCCCCACAGCAGTAATACTCCCAGTAATGTGTCTGAGTGTATAACAGAGCTCCACGGCAATAATACTCCCAGTAATGTGTCTGAGTGTATAACAGAGCACCACAGCAATAATACCCCCAGTAATGTGTCTAAGTGTATAACAGAGCTCCACAGCAATAATACTCCCAGTAATGTGTCTGAGTGTATAACAGAGCTCCTCAGCAATGATACCCCCAGTAATGTGTCTGAGTGTATAACAGAGCTCCACAGCAATAATACTCCCAGTAATGTGTCTGAGTGTATAACAGAGCTCCACAGCAATAATATTCCCAGTAATGTGTCTGAGTGTATAATAGAGCTCCACAGCAATAATACTCCCAGTAATGTGTCTGAGTGTATAACAGAGCTCCACAGCAATAATACTCCCAGTAATGTGTCTGAGTGTAACAGAGCTCCACAGCAATAATACTCCCAGTAATGTGTCTGAGTGTATAACAGAGCTCCACAGCAATAATACTCCCAGTAATGTGTCTGAGTGTATAACAGAGCTCCACAGCAATAATACTCCCAGTAATGTGTCTGAGTATATAACAGAGCCCCACAGTAATAATACTCCCAGTAATGTGTCTGAGTGTATAACAGAGCTCCACAGCAATAATACTCCCAGTAATGTGTCTGAGTGTATAACAGAGCCCACAGCAATAATACTCCTAGTAATGTGTCTGAGTGTATAACAGAGCTCCACAGCAATAATACTCCCAGTAATGTGTCTGAGTGTATAACAGAGCTCCACAGCAATAATACTCCCAGTAATGTGTCTGAGTGTATAACAGAGCTCCACAGCAATAATACTCCCAGTAATGTGTCTTGTGTTTAAGATAACTCCACAGCAATACTACTCCCAGTAATGTGTTTTAGTGTTTAACATAACTCCACAGCAATAATACTCCTAGTAATGTGTCTGAGTATATAACAGAGCTCCACAGCAATAATACTCCCAGTAATGTGTCTGAGTATATAACAGAGCTCCACAACAATAATACTCCCAGTAATGTGTCTAAGTGTATAACAGAGCTCCACAGCAATAATACTCCCAGTAATGTGTCTGAGTGTATAGCAGAGCTCCACAGCAATAATACTCCCAGTTATGTGTCTGAGTGTATAACAGAGCTCCACAGCAATAACACTCCCAGTAATGTGTCTGAGTGTATAACAGAGCTCCACAGCAATAATACTCCCGGTAATGTGTCCGAGTGTATAACAGATCTCCACAGCAATAATACTCCCAGTAACATGTCTGAGCGTATAACAGAGCTCCACAGCAATAATAGTCCCAGTAATGTGTCTGAGTGTATAACAGAGCTTCACAGTAATAATACTCCAGTAATGTGTCTGAGTGTATAACAAAGCTCCACAGCAATAATACTCCCAGTAATGTGTCTGAGTGTATAACAGAGCTCCACAGCAATAATACTCCCAGTAATGTGTCTGAGTGTATAACAGAGCTCCACAGCAATAATACTCCCAGTAATGTGTCTTAGTGTATAACAGAGCTCCACAGCAATAATACTCCCAGTAATGTGTCTGAGTGTATAACAGAGCTCCACAGCAATAATACTCCCAGTAATGTGTCTGAGTGTATAACAGAGCTCCACAGCAATAATACTCCCAGTAATGTGTCTGAGTGTATAACAGAGCTCCACAGCAATAATACTCCCAGTAATGTGTCTGAGTGTATAACAGAGCTCCACAGCAATAATACTCCCAGTAATGTGTCTGAGTGTATAACAGAGCTCCACAGCAATAATACTCCCAGTAATGTGTCTGAGTGTATAACAGAGCTCCACAGCAATAATACTCCCAGTAATGTGTCTGAGTGTATAACAGAGCTCCACAGCAATAATACTCCCAGTAATGTGTCTGAGTGTATAACAGAGCTCCACAGCAATAATACTCCCAGTAATGTGTCTGAGTGTATAACAGAGCTCCACAGCAATAATACTCCCAGTAATGTGTCTGAGTGTATAACAGAGCTCCACAGCAATAATACTCCCAGTAATGTGTCTGAGTGTATAACAGAGCTCCACAGCAATAATACTCCCAGTAATGTGTCTGAGTGTATAACAGAGCTCCACAGCAATAATACTCCCAGTAATGTGTCTGAGTGTATAACAGAGCTCCACAGCAATAATACTCCCAGTAATGTGTCTGAGTGTATAACAGAGCTCCACAGCAATAATACTCCCAGTAATGTGTCTGAGTGTATAACAGAGCTCCACAGCAATAATACTCCCAGTAATGTGTCTGAGTGTATAACAGAGCTCCACAGCAATAATACTCCCAGTAATGTGTCTGAGTGTATAACAGAGCTCCACAGCAATAATACTCCCATGTTTTTTTTTTATTCTATATTTTGAAATTGTCATCGCATACAATTCGAAACAAAAAGTACATAGCATATCAAAAAAGGCCATACCATCTGACTGTCCAATAAAATATGATGCATGTTAGTCCATCGAAAGCCGCTGTATCACCTCATAATCTCTGATAAGCGATAGTAACCGTTGCATATCTGATGACAAGGCTTTTTAGAAATAATTAGAAATGTAGTATAACAGTGGTTTTAACGAGAGAGAGAGAGAGAGGGAGAGGGAGAGGGAGTGAATAATACTAGTAGGTAGGTACGTTCCAGCTGGTGGAACTACATGTACTGGCCCAACCAAGACACAAAAGAGCAAACATGTAGATAGAACGAAAAAGGGGAGGGGAAGGAGAGAATTTGAGAATAAAGGAATACCAGTGATGTTCCCTATGTGAGAGCTATCTACCATAGTTAGGGTAACCGTTCAAGGTACGTGGGAATACCTGTTACGTCCAGAGAGCTTTCCTTCCCTCCTGTTTCTGCCTGCCGAGGGTGGGGTTCGGGATTCTGTTTACTGGGTCAAAGGGAGTAATGTGTCTTTACATTTTAAAAATGTTCTAAATTACAGTTTAAATTTAGTTGCATGAATTGATATTAGTAAGTTATCTAAAATTTCTCAGAACAACCATGCCATTGGTCACATCCCTAAAATTATAGGGTTGTAACCAAAGGGTCCACTTTGTCAATTTGAAATGTTGAGAGGAATGCAAGTAAATAGATCAATGGCATAGCTTTACACTATAATTGTCGAATATATCCACAGTTTTTCTGTTGCTGATATTTTCCTTGCAAGAGCAATATAAGTGGTCTACTCCCCATGAAAGTGCAGATCAAAAGCTCTCTGAGCCTCCCTTCATTAAAGGGTCAGTTATGGAGATCTTTGACCTCGCCACCAGTCATGGTACAGAACAGAACATTCTTTATTCCAGTGCTCTGTTTGCCTGATGGTCAGTCTGAGCCTCATTGGTCGTATCGCTGGCATTGAAAATGTTAAACACATTGAATAAAGATGTTTTGGGGTTTGTTTGTTTTTTTGCAAATATACTTTACCATTTCACATAAGTCAAATAGGTTAGTAAGTGCAGTTTATAGAAATTGTGGCAGAAACAAATTTTAGAGGTGGATTCTTATCATCTTAACACTTAACCAATCACCACTGGTCCATGATCTGTTTATCTGTTGACGGGACACCTTATCTAGCACCATGTTCAACTACCAGTCCAAAGATATTCTAGAAATAGACAGATATTAGTTGATTTTATTGGTGTTACCTGATCTGTATCTTAATGATGTTCATGTTAAAAGCTGCAATTGTATTTTAACTTTTACACATTCTCTAGTCTAGAGAAAGCCCTCTCCACACCGCGGTTCGACAGTGCCAGCTACCTGTTGTACAAGTTATTCTCAATTACTTGGCCAATGAAAAGAGCCGAGCAGACGCTGTAGCCTGTGTTAACCAGGCCAACAAGGTGAGTGTGCATTTACCCTCAATTAGCCCTCTTATAGTCAATCAAAGTACGGGTGATTGAAAGGGTATAACATAGTGACATTAAACTGTAATTTAGCCATGAGTTGTGGTGCTCTTTATAAAGCATTGTGGTAGGAAAATGGCTACAGAATTTGTAGAATAAAATACAATGATTAAAGGCATGTTGACTGGTGGCTGCTTATGCAATGCATTGGGCAAAATGGTCATTGGAACTACACATCAATCTTACTTCTAAATCAGAATATAGAGAGCCAGATTCACATGGCAGGTGCTTGAAGGCAAAGATTTCTAAGGGGCTCTACGGTTTACAGTTCTGATAAGAGGGATGTTTAGGAGTATTGGATTTATGGCTAGAGTAGGGTTACATTTAATATCGGGGGACAGGTGTAGTTTAGTTTTTGAAAGAAGTAAAACTTAGGATTAAAGTAAGGTTTTTCAGGTCTAGGCTTTGTGTTTTGAAATGTGGGAAGAAGGAAAGGCTATGTTTAGGTTTTGGAACAGGGTTAGGAACAGGGCATTTAGGGTACATTCATGTGGAGTTTGAAGGGTTATCTGCAAAGCACTCATTCTCCTATGTCTTCTGTAGTCCAGTCAGTCTCCTACGATTGATATTAGAGCTGCAGGAGCTATTATACATTGTGCATCACTCAATGCCATCCCTGCTCCTCCTGCAAGGCATTTATTGTGTAAAGGCTGTTAATGGCAAGTTAACAGCTTTCATTAGCTTTCATTTGTCTTTTCCACCTTATTATTAAGTAGCCAGATAAAATAGGTCCATATATTATAGATATACTATAAATATTGATAACAAAAGGTCAATGTGAAGGAATAACCCCATCACTTTCAGCTTCTTTCGCGGAAACGTATTCTTGTTTAACCTTGTTTGTTTATTTTGGTTCGGTTCACGAACAAAGACCACCCCAGAGACGCATTAGAATGTGGGACGTTTAGTATCTTGTACGAAAACCGTAACAGAACTAATTAATAGAATGCTCCAGAATACCATCTGGTCTCCCGAACGCAGGCAGTGGGATTTGGTCGCATTTTACACTGATCCACTTTCATCTAACTTATGTGGTTTTCGTACAATAGCCCACGAACGGAGACCGGCTCTTGTCATAACTTCCCTGGAACTATTTTGGGCTTCAGCCTCGTGGCAGACCAGTTAAAGCTTCCCCCGGTGCCGATCCAAAACTACCAAATGGGTCTGGATGATTTTTGGATATATGGTTCGCCGAGATCCCAGCTATCCGGGGATGTGACTTTTGTGGGGTTTCCATGCATTTTGGGGGTACTTTTGGGGTGGTTATTTTATCTATGTGATTTTCTGTTCCTGAGAGATAATGTAAATATAAATGTGTATTCAGATAATTATCTCTTTTAGGCACAGAGGATCCTGGGAGGGATTTCCCTGTATTTCTGTGTTAGAAACCCCATGTTGGGATTTTTGCATAAAAGGTTGTGTGTGGCCCTGAATAGACTCGATTTCTCCCAGCATTAAGTCTTGGCTTATGTGTGGGGGGTTATGCGACACCTGTGGCAGTATACCTTGTGGATTATTGACGTTATTTTATTGGGAAAAGGGCATCCGTGGCAGTGATACTTTAGCCGACCGCCACAGTAAATATATTTGAGACTATGTATAAAGAGCAATACTAGAGCAAAGTGGAGTAATCACTGTAGAAACTAGCAGTACATATCTGCTGATGGGTTCCCATGGTGATTGCACCCCTTTTAGAATTCTGCTCCATTTGTGACATGTTGCTGTCTGTTCTTTAGGACGGAGAGACGCCCCTGCACTTGGCAGCCGCAGTGAAGAAAGATATGATCAGCTTGGAAGATGATGATGTTAAAGTTATCAGGATACTTATGGAATATGATGGTGACATCTCGTGCACGACAAGCCAGGTAATATGGGACAATATTTTATATATATATATATCCTCCTCCAAAAAATGAAGTATTTCATAAAGATAAAATGATTGTAAAATACTCACATTAAGTGTGTTGGAATTCATAGGATATCAGAACACCGGCTATTTTGCCTTAATACTTTCCTTCCACTTAACAAAACATGAAAAAATGCAGAACTGCCGCCGTAAAGTTTTATTTCCTGCAGCCATCCCTAGTGACATCTGCAAGGAAAAATGCATTGCCTATGGAGGCTGGCGAGCTTGTGGGATCCTCTGTAGATATCAGTGTTGTACATCTGCATATGCGTGAGAGTGCAGCATTGACGTTGGCTCCTGGTAGATGACTTTCCAGGACCCAAAGAGTCCCCTGGTAGGAGATGGTGGCTGCGGCGAGGGAACAGCTTCCGGTAAGTAAAACCTACCTTACTTTTGCATCTCTGATATCATCATTGGTGGTCGTTGTAAATTATTCAAAGACCCTAGAAGATGACAGAGCTGATTTAATATTGATCTTAGGTGACTGCCACCTCATACAGCCAGAAACACATTTAACATATTTTTTTTAGTAACTTGTATCTGTACACTAAAAACCACAGTAAAACACAATATGTTGGAATATGTTGTTGTGGAAGGGGGCGGGCCTGTTGCAGAAATTGCATCAGCGGTGCTGCTCAAAGGGCACCAGAAGAATTCATAGTTCAGCCTAGTATGAATACATGACAGCCCACCGAGGGTAGGACATGCAGTGAGCACTGTTTCAGTGCGTCTATTACTGCGCTACATGTTTGGGGGACAGTTTCCAGGTGTTCCCAAAAGCAGAACACCCAGGTACAAAGTCAGGACAGTTGGGACAGGACCCTCAAATCAGAACAGTTGGGAGGCATGTGATAATTCAAGTTGGAGACTGGTCGTAAAGGATTTAAGCTGGTTTACTAGTAAATTTGTGGTTAAATAATATATGTCATGTACTGTCCTAGATCACATTCTTGCAGACAGTGCAAATATTGCCCCTCGAATACGGCATCTCTCACTTCTCTCTGTTTACTTTATATCCCTCTGCTTTGTAAACGGTGTTCAAATTTGGCTCCAACATCTGTTTAACCCAAGACGGTACTGATACATTAAAGTCTTTTGGCTTTTCAAAACTGCCAAGTATGAGTCTGTTTCTGAAATTAGTGTTTATATGTATTTTGTTTTAAAAATAAACGTGAAGTGCTTTGAGTTGAACACTCAGGAATTTTCAATCGCAACCAACAAAGAATATAAAACAGCTACTCGCTAAGAATGCTATTAAATAATGCTCTTAGATTAACAAGATAACGCACACGATATTTTATTGGTTTTCCACTAAAGTGAGTTAATTGCAAGCTTTGATACCAGTTTATGTAGTAAGTTAATAAAATCTTTACAAGATAACATGCTGACATTTTTCTTTTATGGGTTTATTCACTAAGAGGACTATTCGCTAGACAACTGATAAAAATTCGAAGTCAATTAAATTAAAGTCCAAAGTGGCTGAACTGGAAGCATAAGTGACGTTGAGATTTTGCAAATGACCACAGAGAGGCATCATGTTCAGACTTTATATTAAGCTTTTATTCTTTTCAACCAAAGCATGGCCATAGTCCAAAAGGAGCAAGACAATACCTCCCAACATTGCTCCATCTGGAATCAGGATAGGACGGTCCTTCTGAGGTGGGGCACCAGTGACACACATCACATACCTGGAATGTGGGTAGGTCCACCCACTGAAGGAGCATGTAAACCTATATCCTCTTACCCAGCTCATTGCATAGAGGACCATGCAGACATAAAGTGCTCTCTGCAGGGTCTATCTGCACAGCTTGGGCACGTCCAAAGATGCGCGTATGCCATGCTGCGCAGGGACAGTTCCCTGGTGTCCCTGAATGCAGGATGCGAGGAACTAAATTGGAACAATCCCGCTGAAAGTGGGACAGTTGGCAGGCCTGCGAGATCCCAGCCATGGACTGCAGTTTCCAACTTGTGGGTCTGATCAGCATGTTGCTGCTCTGGTCTTGAAGTTGAAGTCTCTCTGAGAGCATATAGCTAAGTACCAAAATGATTGTCTAGAAACCAAACACTATAAAACCCCTCTCTAGTATTTTAAGGCAGCATTTTAGAGTGTTTTGTTGGGTTAGAGCATGTTCATTTCCAAGTTTTTGTGTAAGGTATGCCTCAGTAATCGACAATACAGAAGCCACCATTAAATTGTGTTGTCCAGTTGGTGACCTTATATAAGAGATACATGGTGATGGACCAGTTCATGGCCACTGCAAGTAAAGTGTCAGAATCTCTAGGTGAGCTTGGCAAAGACCCTTTCAGGGGTCGAAACGTTGCTGTATCTCACTTTTATAAATAAATAAAATTGATACTTGAAGTGCCTGGATCCTCTTTCTACCAATGAGAATCTCTAGGTGAGACCTTCATTTAGTTCCCATCTAGGGTAATTGCACAGTAATTATTATGGTAGTTGCATTGCATCTTTTTACATTTGTTAGTTTAAAATAAGATGGAAAATTATTTAAGATTTTATTACTGATACTATTTATTATTCCTTTTATATTGCAGTCTTTAGAAACCCCACTACATTACTGCGCCAGGATTGGGAATGAAGATGTCTTACTTGAAATAATCAAACATATAGACTCCAGCCGAATCCAACAGACGATAAACAAGCAGTCAGCGGTATGTGCTTCTCTGAGGCCCACTTACCAGGCCTCCTACGGGTAACGGAGATCTTAAAGGTTGACCAGCTTAACTTGTTTTATTGTTTAACAGTGGGATTTGGAACGAGGGCAATGCTGAACACTTATTAGACATTCTCCAAAACTGCCTTCAAAGATTTCTTCATATTCTCATTCTTATGGATTATATATGTGTGTTTATTCTAGAACGGGTGGTCTCCTCTTCTTGTGGCAGCTGAGAGAGGTCACACTGAGGTGGTAAAAATATTGTTGCAGAACCATGCCCGGGTAGATGTCTTTGATGAGGTAAGATATAGCTTTAATTTCCAGGGTTTTGCTCAAAAATTGTTGCAGTATGTAAAACAAACAGTGTTATTTACGAAACTAAAAGAATTTTCACAAATTAAATCAAAATTACAAAACTAAAGTAAAACCAGGTGATCTGGACAAACTCTACAAATTGTCTATAGTCATAGTGTGGTTATTTCTACCCCAGTTTTACCCCTCAGAATTAATTCATGAAATTTTCGAGTTTAGTCAATATACCTGTAAATTTAGTCTTCTTTCCTGTTGCTGCCTCCTACCTCGATCAGTACATGCACTGGTCCTTCGATATCCACCAGTACCATCATGTTTTGAGGATGTGATGCCAATGGTTCATGCGCAGCATACAGAATAAACCACTGTAGCTAAGAGCTCTGTGTATGGAGAAAAAGGCTACTCAACAAGCATGGATGCAACCAACTAAAACATTGGGAACGCGAATGTAAAATTTTTGTTTGTTTGCATTTTTTTTTAATATATAGATATTTAGACACCAGTTGTTCTCTTTTAGATCGACAGTGTCGTATTTGCTGTTGCTTTTAAGTTTAGGTTGTCCACTGAAATGGGAAATTGTCACATAACACATGGCTACCTACCCAACTGCTGCGTAAAGCAGGTTACCTTCCATTATATCCGCTGGATTGCTCAGCAGGGTATTTGAACTGCAGTTATAGTGGTATTATTCATTTTTGAATGTACAGTTAAGGTATATAAAAATAAATATTGCGGGAAGCTCTGCTGCAGCCTACTGGGGATGAGACTGAGGAGAGGCGGACGATCTCTTTGCTCCCACACCCTGGGACCGGTATCACAGCTAGCCTGCCCCCCCACTTGGACCGGTGGGGGTTATCCCGGATCATCACTGGCATACCTCTCACTTTGCACTTACCTTGGCTTCCTTGTTGAGATCGAGCTTCAATTTGAAAAAGGAGTACAGGGTCCACCTCAAACGCCTCACTGCGGGTACTTGGAGCATACCTTGCGAAAGCTTGATGAGATATTCCGGAGCTTCTGGGCACGACTACATGACCGGGTACAGCCTGCCATAAAGGTATAGCCCTTGTGGGAAGCAACCTGCTGAAGGGGCAATCAGTGCGTTAGTGCAGGGGCTGTAGTACGTATATAGGGGTATAGAGTGTGTGTAGTGTGTTTGTGTGTTAGTGCAGGGGCTGGTGTGTAAATAGTGTATTTGTGTGTTAGTGCAGGGGCTGTAGTGTGTATATATGGGGTATAGAGTGTGTGTAGTGTGTTTTGTGCTAGTGCAGGGACTGTAGTGTGTATTTAGTGTGTTTGTGTGTTACTGCAGGGGCTGGTGTGTATAGAGTTTATTTGTGTGTTAGTGCAGGGGCTGTCGTGTGTATATAGGGGAATAGAGTGTGTGTAGTGTGTTCTGTGTTAGTGCAGGGGCTGTAGTGTGTATAGAGTGTGTTTGTGCAGGGGCTGTAGTGTGTATATAGGGGTATAGAGTGTGTGTAGTGTGTTTTGTGCTAGTGCAGGGACTGTAGTGTGTATATAGTGTGTTTGTGTGTTACTGCAGGGGCTGGTGTGTATAGAGTGTATTTGTGTGTTAGTGCAGGGGCTGTAGTGTGTATATAGGGGTATAGAGTGTGTGTAGTGTGTTATGTGTTAGTGCAGGGGCTGTAGTGTGTATATAGTGTGTTTGTGCAGGGACTGTAGTGTGTATATAGGGGTATAGAGTGTGTGTAGTGTGTTTTTATGTTAGTGCAGGGGATGTGGTGTGTATATATGGGTTTAGAGTGTGTAGTGTGTTTGTGTATTAGTGCATGGGCTGTAGTGTGTATATATGGGTTTAGAGTGTGTATAGTGTGTTTGTGTGTTAGTGCTGGGGCTGTAGTGTGCATATATGGGTATAAAGTGTGTGTAGTTTGCTTGTGTGTTAGTGCAGGGGCTGTAGTGTGTAGATATGAGTATAACGTGTGTTTGTGTGTTAGTGCAGGAGCTGTAGTGTGTGTATATATATATGGGTTTAGACTGTATAGTGTGTTTGTGTGTTAGTGCTGGGGCTGTAGTGTGTATTTATTTGGGTTTAGAGTGTGTTTGTGTGTTAGTGCTGGGGCTGTAGTGTGCATATATGGGTATAAAGTGTGTGTAGTGTGTTTGTATGTTAGTGCAGGGGCTGCAGTGTCTATAGAGTGTGTTTGTGTGTTAGTGCAGGGGCTGTAGTGTGTATATAGAGGTATAGAGTGTGTGTAGTGTGTTTGTGTAAATATGTAAGGGGTTTGTGTATATAGTGGGTAGGATAGGGGCTTAAATAATTAATTTAATAATGAAAAAATAATAAAATAATTTTTTTTAAAAATCACATTTCCTCCCCTTTCCCCTTATTACCTTGCAGGGGGGAGAGGGAACACACAGGTGAGAGGGGGCACACCACAAGTTAAGCCCTGGTGGTCCAGTGAGAGGGGGCACACTGCAAGCTAATCCATGGTGGTCCAGTGAGAGGAGGCACACTGCAAGCTAATCCCTGGTGGTCCAGTGAGAGGGGGCACACTTCAAGATAATCCCTGGTGGTTCAGTGAGAGGCGGTGCACTGCAAGCTAATCCCTGGTGGTCCAGTGAGAGGGGGCACACCACAAGCTAATCCCTGGTGGTCCAGCCGGCAGGTTATTTGGTCTGTACCTCCGCAGGGTATATCGGCGCTCTTGAGAAGACAGGCTGGTTTCCCTGCATATACGGAGCGTGGCGGTCATTGTCCAATCTCCCCTCTACTGGCCTGTGAGGAGACAGAACTCCCTCTTAGGGCCGGTGCTACCCTGCATGGGCCAGCAGGGGAGATCTCTTGATGGCCATCATGGCCCCCTGGACATTTGCCTTTTTGTTCGATGTCCAGTCCGGGCCTGATGGGCAGTTTTGGTGAAGCATTAAGTACCGAAACAACTTTAGCTTAATGAAGCAGTTTTGATGTAATGATTATGACTGCAGCAGGCTTCTGTTTTCATTATCATGTTACTTTTCCCATAATCTGTCAATCAAAATACTTTGACTGATAGATACACATACCTGTCTCTGATCCCTTCTTGTGTTTTGCCGCTGTCAGTTTGTTACGTTGTTATGGTTGCATATTTATCCTGTAAACCATTGGATACTTTAAAGGCGTTTGGGTTGCTTTTGTGCAATTAGGTATTTATTTAAATATCTTTCTCTCTACCTGCCTTATGCTGTTGGCTCTAAAAACTTGGACCTAGAATAGATCTTTAAATATAAACCCACCATGTTTTTTTTAATTACAAAAGTATATTTCATTTGTAGGGGCAGAAGATAACTCTTTGCCTGAGGTTCTTGATCAATCATGTTGCTATTTTGTAATTGAATACAGCACGGCAAAGCAGCACTGCACCTTGCGGCAGAGAACGGCCAGGACAGGATAGCTGATGTTCTGCTGTGGCACAAAGCATTTGTAAATGCAAAAACTAAGCTTGGCCTAACGTCCCTTCACCTCTGTGCCCAGAATGGATTTAACCACCTTGTGAAGTTGCTTGTGGAAACCCACCTCGCCAGCATTGATGCCATGACCTTGGTAAGATATTATTCAATCTGTGGTTTTTGAGTTCATGCATATTTTTACCATTACTTTTTGCATGACTATTATTTAATAAATTTGCTTATACCTTATCATTCTTTCTTGCCATTATATTTGGATGTATTACAGTCTTTTGGGTGTTTTTTTATATATTTTCATTCCATTTAACAAATGATGAATTTATACGGTCAAAGTGAAATGTTGCGTAATGAAAACGCATCAGGTGTCATTAAATTTGCATGCGCTGTGCAGAACAAATACAGGACCATTTTCTCATAATATAGCCTTACAGTGGGGCTCTCTGCATGGGCTGGCCTGAAAGAGCATTAACTTGCTCACTTTGAGGGGAGAATGCTTGTCATTGGTAATGACTCAACAACCCTCCTCTCTGGCCCAGCCCTTTCTTTGTGTCAGTGTGTAAATGTGCGTATCTAAGTGCATTTGTGTTTATGTGTCAGTGTGTAACTAAGTGTGTGTGTGTCAGTGTGCATGTGTGTCTGTGTAAATATGTAAGTGGCAGTGTATGTGTATAAGTGCATACATCCCAACAATCAAACACCAACACTACATGCAAACACATGCAATCAAACAAAAACATAACATACAAACAAATCCCTGCAGTCAAAAGCCAAAATTCGAACACCAATACTACACAAAACTACAAGTCAACACTACATACAAACACACCCCAGCATTAAAATCCAAACATATTATAGAAGTACACCACTGCAATCCAATGGCAACGATACATACATATACACCTCTACATGCGCACACACACACATACTGCATACAAAATCATGATTAAATTTAAACGCACATACACAACCCTGCAAGGATGGACAAATGATAGAACCACAGCTGCAACAGCATTGTGAGTGTTGTACAACAGATGGGGTCTATCTTTAGACCACCATTGCACTGGGGGTATGGGCATTTCTTACACTAGGGCCCTCTCTACATTAGTTCAGCCACTGCAGTAAGGCCTATTTATCTGAGAAAGTAACTGTATCAGAGTTAGATATTTTTGGTGACATCACTGAGGCCCTCACATCTATGTAAGTTTTAATATCATTATTGTGTAAGTGTGTATACCTGTTGTACCCAGATAACAAGGCTATGCGTGTTTCTTGGGACGAGACTCCGGAACACATGTATTTAGAAACATTCGTCTGTGATGATATTTTAATATTTACACTGTGATAATGTTGCCTTATAGAATGTATTCAAATTGACCAACGTATGGAACGTAATCTGATGGATTCTGAATAATTCACTCTTTTATTTCCCTTCCTTTAGACCATGCGAACACCCCTTCACCTGGCTGCCCTGAATGGTCAACTCGATGTATGTAACAGTCTTTTAACGATGAAGGCCGATGTCGACGCGGCTGATATTGTAAGTGATACAAATTAGGCAAATTATTTCATACTTAGCGTAATTTTTCTTTCCTGATCATTATACATGGTGCAGTTACTATGGGTTAGCTCCTCCCCTAAAGGCAGAAAGGACAGGAAAATAAACTCTGAAATTGGTATAAATAGATCCTCCCTCTTCCCATCAGGCATTCTTTGTAACAAGCTTCTCAACTCTCCTAGTAAATGGATAGGAACGTCATTTTCTTATTCCTGGTCAAACATGGCAGCATTTACTAATGGGTAATATTAAATGAGTATACATAGTGGGAGAGACAGAGTTAAAATACCGCTAATAGTTTTAAAAACCATTATTGATCTGCACAAACTAAAAGCCGAACAAGTAACCAACAGGATATTGTCATAATATCTGCTCAGACAAGTCATAGTACCCCAGAGGCTACTGGTCATTAACAAACTAAAAATGGTAAAAGTGGGTAAGGGCTGCGCTGAAAGCTAAAATACAGTAATCTATGACCGTAAAGACCAGACCAAATGGTCTAAATGAATAGACAACAACAAATAGACCTATATAACTGATAAAAAGTCTCACTTAAAACAACAGAAAAAAAGGATAAAAGAGTCCATCCAAGTGATAAAATGTTCAATAGGATAAAAATAAATAGAACGTCTCACTGATATAGCTGGATAGAGTATGTGTACAGTCCTCAGGAGTTGATCCGTCCGGGTTGTAAATAATCCGTATATGTGAAGACAAGAATAAAAACACGACAAATTGCTAATAGTGAAGTATTGTAAATCCAAGGATAAAATGAATAAAAGGAAGATAATACACTCACATTTGGAGGAGCTTAGGCCAGCTCTAGGATGGAGGGCGTTTAGCGGTATGATCCCCCCTAAGGGATATACTGAAGAGGTGTGCCCGTCAGTCCGGCCTTGGTTATGTCGTATGCCACAATATATAAAAAACGGCAATAGTGCTCTCAGTTTGAAAAAACCCCCAAATAAAATAAATTAAAATAAAATATATCCTGATTCAAGAAATCCTAGGTGGGGATTATTCCACCAGTGCTGTGTTAATAGAGCAGTATCCTCTGCTCTACACTTGTGAGTATATTTTATTTTTATTTATTTTTTTATAAACTGAGAGCACTATTGATGATGGTACATGCTGGAGATTCAGAGTGTGGAGACACTCTCACAGTTGATGGTACATGCTGGACATTCAGAGTGGGAAGACACTCTCACAGTTGATGGTACATGCTGGACATTCAGAGTGTGAGGACACTCTGCCTTGATGTTCCTTGTCTCGGTGTCTTTGTCTTATTCTCCTAGACTCTCCCTTTCACAGATAATACATTCTACATATATACCACCAAAATGGGCATGTAAGCATTACAGGTCAATGCTATTGATACAATATGCTTGTTGACGATTCATTATTAGGTCATCCAATGTTCCATGGACACTCAGAAATAGAGAAGAGCTTACAACACTTATTGTCATCTGTTCATGTCACTCAAGATTAACCACACCCCAGTGTGAAATGCATGTAAGAAATAGTTCCAAAATATAGAATATTTTACAAGGAACAAGCCTCCATGATTGATATTGACAAATCTAGAGTAATACAAGACAAATCCCTATAAGAGATGAGACGTCTTCCTTGCATCTGTTTTGCTATGGAGAATAATAAAATAGATTAGAGGTGAACCTCCTTAAAACAAAAACGACATGGTCTAGGAATTACAAACATATTTACGCAAAAGCAAAACTTAATGCCCTTCCCTAAAATCGAGGAAATACTCAATAGAGGGCACTTTCAAATCAGAACCTTTTTAAAGGCATAACAAGCCATGAAATTCCAAACACTGATGAATGAAAATAGTCATACCCTGTTATCAAACATGGAGGGGAAACTAGACTGAAAATCCCACCATTCTCTGGAAGTATGAATTTATTACATTCAGAATTATCACTGCTTCATCTGTGAGCTACTTACCTGCAGTTACAGGAAACACAAATAATCTACCTGTAAGAAAAGGCAGAGCCTAGTAGAGACATAGGAGAAACTTTAAGGGTTACTCCAACCACCATGATCACTTCTGCTTTTAGACGTGGTCATGGTGGTTGGAGTCTGTATGGGCAGCGATTCTGTTTGAATATCAGAGTAATCTACACGTCTGTGCCAGGGGCTAGTTTACCCCTCGGCTGCCTAATGTTAATTCTGTGCCAAAAAAGTTACAGATGTAATGAGCTTCTTCTTTGCTATATGGGATATATAATGAGCGAAATTTATGTCATCTTGTCGAATACATCAAAAGCAAACATCAGGAGTTTTTACAACTGAAATGACTAGATTTGTTTTTAATGTATCCAGCTAGAATATTTATGCAGTATTTCTAAGATATGCCATTGCATCATAAGCAGTGCATCAAATGAACACATTTTTTGTTATGTTAAATAAAGACTTTTTTTTATGTCTTCAACTATCCCTGCGCTTGACTTTGCCCAAATTCCATATAACCTTTACATTTTAAACATTTGAAGATAAACTCTTGTACAGCAGAAAATATATTTAATTATTGAAAAATAGTTTACTGGAATGACATATAATCATTAATTGTCCATTTACCAATGTATTTGCTCCAGCAGTGTGTTTATCTCAGATATTTTTAGACTAACTGTGTTAGTGCCATCTCTGCTGGAAGGTTACTGCTTGCATCTGCAAATCTTTCAGCAAAAAAATAATTGAATATACCGGTAATAATAATAATGATAATATATATATATATAAATATATTCTAGTGTTCTCCTTAACTCATTAAGTGCTGTAGGTGTGCCCATTGCATTAAGCACGCATTGGGTATTGAAAAGGTTAAAACTAGCCCTGAGCGTTTCACTTTGTAGTTAGTGTTTAAGGCATGCTCATCACGTGGTGCCCTATACATGCCATGTCGTTTATTCTTGTTGGATGACGCATTTCACTTGCATAATGTTTGTCCTCATACATTTCAGCAGACACGGTTTTCGCTCGTGTGAGTCTTTAAAGCGCAGGCTGCCGTCTGTTTCAGGCTCTATTTCTTCCTGTATTATTGAAACTTCAGAACAGCAGCCGCCGGCAGGAAGTTTCCCATCGGTTCACTCCCTTTCCTCTCTGTGAGGATCTGTGTCTGATGACAGCTCACTTGATCTTAACATGAAATGTTGAGCGCATTTCCTCAATGTCTGTGATTTCAAGTGTGCAAGTCTCAGTGGAATGTATGAACAATGTAACAGGCTGTTTGGAATCTTCAACTACTGACACATTGGATCATAGTATATCGGTGACCATCAGCGGACGTTTATTCACTGTGTTTGTGAAAATTCACTTTTAGCTCAAGTTTTACTGGCCTGGATAATTTTTCATAATCCCCAATTTTTCCTGAAATTTGCAATTCCCTCGTCGTCAGTTGTCCATAATTATCATTTTAGTGATTGAGCATCTTTATAGATCATTGCTCCCCATTTTGCTGCATGATATAAAATCTAATTAACATACAATTATAGCTATTGTGTTTGGTTTTCATTATTTTATTCTGCTATTGGATTACTCTTAAACTTAAACCAGTTAAAAAGCGCACTTACTGCATAAACTAAAAGTATTTTTATATTTGGATTTGTTTTGTTTATGTGTTCTGAAATATATACATTGATTTTATTGTAAATTTTCTCCCTTGAGATGAATCAGAATTTAAAATTATCTGCTGTAGAATTCAGATAATGTCATATAATACATTGCCAACCTTCACTGTCCTTTCTAAAAAGTTTATTTTGTGGTCCTTTGCCTGTATATTGAACACGCCTTCTGATTTTCTTACTCGAAGTGTAATGATATTCATTTTCAATGACTCTTTTCTGATTGGCCCAAAGTTTTGATTGACGTTCAGTACTTTACTGACAAAATAACAAAAACACTATAATCTTGCTTATTGTATGATTTTTGTTCCAAACTCACCCCAATTCACTGTTTAGGAAATAAATCACCTAATACTATTGACTACAGAGCTGTAAATCTGATTGTCATGATAGTGAGAGGATTGAAGGTGAGATATATGTTATATTAATAAGTGTATATATATATTTCCATATTTCCTTAGGAAGGCCAAACTCCCCTCCACTTGGCAGCAGAAAATGATCATTCGGAAGTTGTGAAACTATTCCTGAAACACAAGCCTGAGTTGGTGATGTCTGCTAACATGGGCGGCTCCACGTGTGCGCACATTGCAGCCACGAAGGGCAGTGTCGCAGTAATCAAGGAACTACTCAGATTTAACAAGATTGGAGTAACCACAACACGCAACAAGGTGAGAACATTCTGCGCCCTATATATACATATCAGTGTTCTATCCAATCCCACACGGTAAGATAGAACTCTCATTCCACCTTTAATGGTTATCTTTTTATCCCACTCCTTATGTATTATATGCTACTCTGTGAGCCTAGAGTCAGGTGATGTACTTGTGCATGCGCACAAGCCTCACTGGAGCAAGCCCAACAGGCGCCATGACACATAAAATAACAAAAATGGAAAAATAAAAATGTGATACAGTGATTCTATTAAATTAAGCCTGAGAATTAATATCACTGTATCACATTTTAATTTTTTTGTTCTTGTCTTTGTATGTATGTAGTTCCTCCATCATCAAATCTGTTATTTTGTACAGATATTTATCTGTTTATCCATCTCGAGACCTATCTTTTTAAGTTCCTTTTTGGTTGTCAATTCTTCTCGGTTTATAGTATATGTTTCCATTTAAAAACTATGAGATCTAGTATGATCGTCCTTCCTGGAGGCCCCTTTGATGCATGCCGTGTGCTGGTGTAATTAGCTTCTGCAAAACATTTCCGCATTTTCTCCATTGTTCTGGGTCTGAGCTACAAGGTTCTGAGTGTTAGCTTTGGTGTAAACTGGAGTTCTTCATTTCCCTTCCGGAGTTCTTTACGGCCGCTCGCCTGGTGTATAATCCACTTACTAGAGGAAAGAACGTATTTGTCCCTTTGTAATGTGATTCATATATGTAGACATTTAGGTGTAAAGATGCACTATGAAGTTAACCCCTTCACCACCAAGTTTTATTTTAAATAAAGAAAGAAATATGTATTTTGTTTGGAAGATCAGATACACAACTAGCACTATAACATAAAGAAAATCAGCAATTTAGTGATAACATAAAAATGTGACTGTCGAAAATGTGCCATTTTTATTCATTCATTCATCCTTTACAGAAATATTCAGAGAGTGTAAGGAGAGGTTGCCACATTAAAGGAACACTATAGTGTTGGGATACAAATCTGTATTCCTAACACTTTAGTATCATTGACCCTAACTGAATAGTCCCCACCCCACCACCACCACCTCCGAGCATGAAAGGATTAGAATCCTTTTTACACTTACCTTTTTTACGAGGCCAAAGATCTAAATCTAGATCTATGCTTTTTAACTCCTGAGTTTAAAAAAAAATTTTGATCAGGTTTTGCATCAAGTATTCATTTTAATGTGTACCAATATCTCATTGTCTCATTATGATGGCTTTTTACTTGACAACAGAAGGTAGAAGAAAGAAGATCATAAAACAGGGCTCTCTTGATCCTCTCTTGCTGTATGGCATGGTCTCACCGACCCTAGATATGTTTGCTGTTATAAGGCTGTTGGTATAATGGTTCTAAAAGTTTTATTGTTTGTGGCCGTAACTTAACACTTTAACGATGTCTTTTACCCGCATCGAGAAAACTTACACAGAAGAAAATCGTACAGTGAAAGTGTTGAGTTACCCCATAAGTTTTTATTTTTATTTTTAACCTGGATGACTTTCACAAAATAATTGTGAATTGAAAAAAACTCAATTGCCAAAGTTTTTGTTACAGACACAATGGGCTATAGATCTATATGTATGTGGAATAGTGTGAGTTCCGAAGCAGAAACCTGGAATGTTATGTTCCTTGGAACAATTCTAACCGCAGTGTTCCAATTATCTGTTTGGATGGCTGCTGTTCGCATGAACGACCATCTTGGTCTCACGAACGCAGGCAGCAGTGTATGGTCGTCAAGGTCATGGAACTATTTTTAGACACTGAAACTCCTGAACACCACTGGTCTTCCAGAATCACCTGCGTTCGGTTCTACACCACTTAGAAGGGCACTGTTCGGTGGAATTGTTCCCACGAACAAGGTGAACAAACTCCAGGGTAAGAACATTGACTATGTTCGGTAGTTTGTTTGGTTTTTAAACTACCGAACTAGACCAACCGCAAGCCCTGATTCTCTGGAACTGTTTTGGGCATGGGACCATGTGTGCGGTTGGTCAAATTATTATATTATTTTTGGATATGTTGGTCACCCATATCGGGGCTATCAAGGGATGTAACTTTTGTGGAGGTTTTGTGTGTTTAATGGTATTTTGGGTCTTTTGTAAAAATGTATGTTTTCTGTACCTGGAGATAATTGTGTTTAGTACAGTCCCTGACACAATTATCTCCCAGGCACAGAGGAGGGATTATCTTGTTTTATGTGGGAGTATCCCGGACATAAGAACCAATGTAATTGTGTGTATGTTTTTACTGTAGTCTACTCTCAGGTCCAGGGGGGAGTGCCCCTTGCATGGGGAACTGCATATAAGGCCATTTGTGGCTGACAATAAATAAGTTCCAGTTTACCCTCAACACAAAGCCTTGTCTCGTGCTTGTAGGGGAAAGCTATACCAGCTATAATCCCTGCTCTTGGGATTGTTCTTTGGATTGCTAAAATCACTAGCTTTTGTATTCTCTTAGTGTATCCACCCATCAGTGTGTCAGATGTAACTCAAAACTGGGTAAACAAAGTTTGGCAAATGGAGCTTCGCAAGAGTACCCTTTGGAATTGCCTCTATGTATGAAATATTTAAAATAAAACACTCCTCAAGCTATTTGAGGTTAAATTGTGTGGATATTCAGATAACTTTCTGATCAACGGGTCTACACAGTAATAACACGATCAAATCTATCTACACTATTGAGAGATCATGAAACTAAATCCAAGCCAAATGGAAATCGGAGTTACTCTCGTTAAATAATTCGGGCTTGTAAGAAGGCCTAGAGAAAATAGCAGCAATAGAAATGCTACCTCTAAAAAGGATTTAGAATATATTCACTTAATTTTTTATTATGCGTCAAAATGTATTTCTGGGCTCAGAGAAGCCAGGGCTCCGTTAAGAGAACTTCCTGAAAAAGGACGCACAATGGACTTGGGATGAATCAATAAACAAAGTCTTCAAAGACATTAACAATCCAATTGTGCACACGTCAAAACTGGATTACAATATCTGACTTCAAGAAAGAGGTTATAATAGAGGATGATGCCACTTAGTTTAAGTTAGAGAGAGTGCTAATGGAGGTAGGCAGGCTTTCAAATAGCTTGTGCTTTAAGATAAACCGTCTTCTAGTCTCAGCTCTACCACAAATGCAGAAAATTTTCTTACAACATATGATGTAACTATAGTATATATTCCTGGTAAAAGAAACACAGTAGCTGATAGGCTTTCAAGAACATTCAAACCAGGATAAAATGAAACGGAGGAAAAGGACTTGAAAAGTAATGATCAAGCTGCATGTGGGCAATTTCAGGTTGCATTGTGCAAAAGATGTGTAATAGATTGAAGAAACAGTAAATAATTGTGCAGTGTTCAAGGAGAGTCAAAAAGCAAATCAAAAGAAATCCAGTGAAATGCCTCTGACCTACAGGAATCAGGACACATTTCTCCTAGTGGTGGACTTTTACTGTCATTATTAAACTTTTTAACGGGCACAAATACTATTTATATGGTGACTGTCATCAGCGATATGTTGGTAAAACATGGGATTTGTAATGGGTTGGTTACAGATAATGGGCTACCATACTCTCTATAGAATTTACAAACATCTTAAAGGAATGGGATTTCAAACACACATTATGCATTGTCACAATCACAAGACAGCTGAAAAATGTGTACAAACTGCTAAAAGAAATTGGACATAAGTAGCCCAAACCAATCAATATCCGTAGCCACTGCGTTTTAAATGACCGGAAGATTCCAATAGATGGAATTCCATCCACCTTTTGCACAGTTTTAAATGAAAAGATGATTGAAATCGGTTTTGTCTCCAAGCCCAACAAAACTGCTTTATAACGTCCAGGTATGTGGAAAGGTGCAACAATGTTTACAATCTTTGATAAAACAAACAAAAGATCTATGATTGAGAATCTAGATTGCTGATGCATTGTGATGATGAAGATAGTGTCTAAAGGAAGGTGGGAACTTATAGTGAACAGAGTACATCTGCAGCATGACAAAAGTAGAGATGCAGAATTTTACGCACAACTAGAAAGTTCCTCAAAGTTTTTCAAATTTGAACCAAAGTTTAGCTGGTGTGTCAGATGCAGGCATAGAGAAAACTAACCAGAACCAGAAAAATGGAAGAAAACTCAGAACAAGACATTCTTCTCACATGACGTATTGGGTGCAACATTATCCACCCATCAAATTCTCCAGATATAGAGAATCAAACCATTGGGGACAAATGATACTGCATAATTACCTACTAATTTTATAACATGACAGGAGGCTTCCTATTTTGCATTAACTCTCTTTACTAAACTCCACAGCAGTAAAGAAAAACATAAAGAGTAACAAATAAATCACTGAGCAGCATAGTATATAAGGGTCATGCTGCCTGTACACTTCCTCTTTCTTTACTGCTCCATCGCAGACAGGTCAGAATATCTGCTCCTCTGGAGCTTTATACATTTATACATTTATACATTTATTGTCATTATCTATTTGTTCCATTCTATTGTTATTATCACTATTATTACTTTAATTTATTCCCTTTTATTTCTGTTCTGTACTGGGCTGTGGGACTAGGGGCTCTCTGTGGGTTTCTATACTCTTATCTGCCCCTCTGTTTATTTTGGGACCTTCCCTGGGCCTCCCCTCAGTCTCCCCAGGTCCCCCCACTGCCCCCCTAACCTGGAGTGCCCTCCTGGGCTCCCTCCTTGCGGCCGGAATCGTTCGCGGCCGTTTTCGCGCCGGCCGGCTTCCGCCCGCGGCCGGCCTCAAAATTTAGTCCCCGGCTTGCGGCCTACACTCGCGGCCGCCATTTTGGATCGCGGACATCGCAAGATTCCCGCGGCCACCTTAGTTTTGCCTCGTGCATCTCATTAGGGACTCAGGGTGGCTGTGCTAACTTGCTGTTACCTCTGCATTGCTGTTTTTCACACCTTTTGTGTCTCACACTGTGACTGAAGGATTACCTGCTCAGCACTCCATCTAGCTGCTATCACTCTGCTACTCAGCCTCTGTGCCTCATCTGCTTCTATCAAGCTATATCCCGTGGCTGGGTCAGTCAGGTCAGTGCTGCTGCCTGTTTATTACTGTGACCTGCACTTAAGGGTCCCAACCCTGTGCAACCGGGGTGAGCCCCCACTATAAATACGCTGCTTACTGGGAGACTAGCTGTTGCAGTTCTCTCTAACTGGGTGAGCCCCAGTTTATAAGGTCACTACTATACCCTGCTGGGGTTATTCTGGGCTTGGTCCCACCATACTATCAAATCTGACCCTACGCCTATTATCAAGACCTGGGTGCCCGTTTATTGCTGTGCCTTTCAGTGACGTATCAGCCTACCCTAACATGGAAGTTTCCCAGAACGTCCCTGTGGACTTCCAGGCTATGATTAACGCAGCTGTCGCTGCCTCTGTGGTGAAGGCACTCTCCAAGGCCCGAGCTCCGGCTCCTGACGTACCAAAAACCCGCAGACGTACACGCCACGAATCAGATTCCGACTTGTCCGACTATCAGACAAGGGATGACTCCCGCCCTAAAAAGCGCCATGACAAAGGCGAGGATTATGCACCAAACCGCCTAAGGGTAAGGCACCTGCCAAGTGCAAATCTGCCAAACTACACACCCCGGCCCCGCGTCAGGAGTACTCTTCAGATGAAGAGCAGGGCCCTGCCCAGTCCATGTCAGTGCTGGATGAATGGCAAGCTGACGCTTGTGAGTCGGATTACGACGCATGGGGCTCGGACGAGAAATCTGTCTCCGCTTTCATGCGGGAGACCCTCCTGGGTGCTGCCCAGACTGGAGGTGTTGAGGACACTGCGGACGCAGAACCTCCTCTAGAATCAGACACCATTTTGGACCCCTCAGGTCAGGCGATGTTCGACCCCGCAACATAGGCACCCCAGATCGGGTGACTGGTCACCTCCAGAACACCTTTCCAGGTTTATGCACCTGTGGCTCCGCAAACCTCTGGAGAAGGAGGTCCGCAGCCGACTCAGGTCTGAATGCCCACGCCCTTCCCTGCCGGATAAGGTCGCTCAGACCCCTGAATTTGACAAGGTCATGTCGACCTTCATGATGCGCAGTGGTAGAGACCCTCGCCGAGGGGTAGAGAAAGGCCTATGGGGCGCCCAGGATAACCTGCTGGATTCCGTAGGCCCCCTGGCTCGCATTATGTATCTGGCAGATGATGCCTACGCCAAAGCCGACTCCTTCTCTGCCGAGGACATCAGGGAATGGGCACATGACGTTCGTGAATGGGCACAACGGTGTTTTGTTTCATTGGAAACACTAATGTTACGCTCTCTTCGGAGAGACGAAAAGCAGCGTTATACCGTATTAACGGTAAATTGGCAGACCTTGGCACAAAGGAGATTGGGCCCCAGGCACAAGGAAAACTATTTGGCAAACCGTTCCTCAAGGAACTCAATAAACACGTAAACGTGTTCACCTCCCTTAATAAGGCGCAATCCTCTATGCGCAGAGTTTTCAGGAGCAACCCTACCAGAGGGGTTTTTGGAAGGGCTGGCCGGCAGCGGGGCCGTGCCGCCAGCCGCTTTTGGCCTTCAGGCCCCAGCACCCAACCAACACCGTCCTACCCGACAAGGGACTATCGGCAGCAACCCTTTTCCAGAGGCTCGGATAGAGGTCGTGGACCCCGCGGACGCGGGCGTTCCCGCTTTGCTGCAGGTAAGGACCCATATTCCTCCACTGTTACCATGCACCCGCACTGCGGGCCGTATTTCCCTTTCTTTCCAGAATTGGGCCGCCCTATGCTCAGACACATGGATCCTACAAACAGTACAGGGATATATCATAGACCTAGTGGGGACCCCCTTTCAGGTTCAGCCCCCTCGCCCCATCCACATGTCGTCCTCCGACCACAACCTCGTCAACGCGGAGCTACGCGAGCCCCGAGACAAAGGGGCCATCCAGCCGGCCCATGACGAGGGTGGTTACTTCAGCAACATCTTCCTGGTTCGGAAAAAGTCAGGAGAATACCGACCGGTCATCAATCTACGCGCCCTCAACGCACATGTGGTCTATCGCCACTTCAAGATGGAGGACATCCACCTCCTGCGAGACCTTCTTCGAAGCAACGACTGGTTCACCAGGCTCGATTTGAAAGATGCATATCTGTCAGTCCCGGTGCACCCGGACTGTCGAGCACTCCTACGTTTCCTCTGGCACGGACGCCCTGGGCAATTCACTTGCCTCCCTTTCGGGCTCAGCTCAGCCCCATGGTGCTTCACCAAGCTTCTAAAACCAGTGGTGGCCCACCTGAGATCCAGGGGCAGTCGATACATCATCTACTTAGACGACCTTCTCCTTTTCTGCTCCGACGAACACAGACTACGCCAACACACTCACTTGGCAGTGTCCCTACTGGAATCTCTGGGTTTCGTGGTAAACCAACCCAAATCGGAACTGACCCCTACTCAGACGATACAATTCCTCGGCTTCGAGATCGACTCGACGACATGCACTCTGAGACTACCAGCCTCAAAGATCACAGCCATTCGCAAGGAGATTCGCAGGGTTCTCCGTCTCGACTCCATTCCACTACGCAACCTGGACAGGATTGTAGGTCTCCTCTCTGCTCCCATTCAAGCCATATTTCCAGGTCCCCTCCACTACAGGGCCATGCAACGTCTCAAGGTGAAATACCTACGCCACAGACCTACTTACGACCAACCCGTCCCGGTGACGACGGAGGTTCGCGAAGAACTATCATGGTGGCTGGACAGCATGCAAGCCTGGAACGGCAAGGCCATATTCGGAGACACTCCAGACTTCGTATTGGAATCAGACGCCAGCCTGTGGGGATGGGGTGCCACCAACGGAACCATCTCCACGGGAGGAACATGGACGGCACAGGAGCTCTCCATGCACATCAATTGTCTCGAACTCCTGGCGGGATCCTTTGCGACCCGCAGCCTGGCCCGGGAAAGATCCAACTGCTGCATCCTCCTGCGCATGGACAATGTCTCCGCAGTCCAGTACATCAACCATCTGGGAGGCGCTCGCTCACGCCTACTGTCGGATATCACAAGGGACATCTTCGACTATTGCCCCTCGCAACAATCACCAGACCCCGGAGTTCTTCAGCTGGCTCCCGGACCCGGAGAGCAAGGCGACAGACGCATTTCTCCAACAATGGCCGACGACAGGAGCCTACGCCTTTCCCCCATTCTCCATGATTGCGAGAACACTACACCAGATGCGGACGCAACAGATCAAACTGGTTGTCATAACGCCCTTGTGGCAGAACCAACCATGGACCTCCTGGCCTCCTCCTACAGGGACCCTCTCCTCATTCCATCCTTCCCGGACCTGCTCACGGATCCCAAAGGGTATCTCCACCCACTACTCCTGGAAGACCGGCTACCCCTGGTGGCTTGGTCTCTTTCCGGGGTTCCTGGCGAGTCAGCGGACTATCGCAGACTGCTAGGGACCTCTTATGGGACTCATGGGCCCCGGGAACTAGACGCTGTTACCTTTCAGCTTGGGCCTCCGGGTCTACTTGGTGCATGGAACGGGACTCCGATCCCTTTACTGCACCTATTCCCATGATTCTTAATTTTCTTTCCTCCTTGTTTTCATCTGGCCGCTCTTACCGTTCGGTCAACGTCGTTTGCTCCGCGATTTCAGCGGCTCACACCCCCGTCGGGGATCTCCCGGTCGGCAAAGACCCTCTGGTCTGCCGTCTACTCCGTGGTATGCGGCTCCGCCGCCCCCCGGCCCCCAGATACCCTCACCTATGGGATGTGGGACTGGTTCTCCGTTTTTTCAGGGATTGGCTTCCGAATGACCGCCTCTCCCTACGCCAACTATCCGCTAAGTGCGCTTTTCTCCTTTGTCTAGTATCTTTCCGACGGGTTTCGGATGTTAGGGCCTTCGACGTGGACGCTTTCGAGGTGGCCCCGGAAGGGGTCACGTTCCACATTTCCCGCCGCACTAGGTCGGGTTCGACTTCGGTCTTCTACCCCCTTTTTCCCCCGACGACCCGCAACTCTGTGTCGTGTCCACCCTTCGCAGGTATGTTTCCGTTACCTCCTCACTCCGATCCTCTACGTTGGGCCAACTCCTAGTCTCCTACGTGCGCCCTCACGCCCCAGTCTCGGTCACCACACTGGCCCGATGAATCCGCTGGATCCTTTCCCTCGCAGGTATAGATCCCGCGTTCGGCGCCCACTCCGTTCGCGGTGCGACGGCTTCATCAGCCTTCCTGGCAGGGGCGTCCCTCTCGGATATTCTCCGAACGGCGGACTGGTCTAGGGAATCCACTTTCCGTACATTTTATTTTCGCACTCCCCCTTCTGCTGGGATGTCACTTCTTCAGCGTTAAAATTGCAAAATAGGAAGCCTCCTGTCATGTTATAAAATTGAAGATTATGCTAGCTTTAGTGTACTAATAATCTTAATTTTAATAAGGACAGGAGGCGAGTATTTTCCCTCCCTTTTGTTCCCTACCCTGACTCCTCGGGGGAGTGGATCTTAAGGTGATGGATTTTGGGATTCATATTAGTAGTTCCACTATCTTCTGGACATATTCGGTATCCCTTCCATCTCTATCCCCAGTGTTTCCACCTAGACGGACAGTTTAGTTGTACAACATGCTTACACCTAACACATATTTAGCCTATGGCCAGCTTACAATCTGTCTGTACTGTTTAATTTACACCACTCTGTTAAAGCCCACAGGCATGAACAGTTACGGTTCAGTACCTAACCGATTTTATACTCTCCTTTCAGTGTAACCCTCTACAGGACCTCCACTGGTCGATGGTTCGTTAACCTCACAACTCCGTAAGATGGGATGACGGCTTCGTTTGGTCTTTCCTCCTATCTCGTTACCAGGAGTCTCCTCAAGTTCCGCTCGCCAGAGACCGCAGTTACTGTTTCGTTGAGTTTCTGGATGTTCGAGCTCTATCTGGACTTGGATGTCGCTTTAAGAAAGAGGAAGTGTACAGGCAGCATGACCCTTATATACTATGCTGCTCAGTGATTTATTTGTTACTCTTTATGTTTTTCTTTACTGCTGTGGAGTTTAGTAAAGAGAGTTAATGCAAAATACTCGCCTCCTGTCCTTATTAAAATTAAGATTATTAGTACACTAAAGCTAGCATAATCTTCAATTTGCCTCTAATTTTGCATAGCCATCAGCTTTATTATATTGTTTTGTTTATAAACAAGGGGGACAAGACAAAGGGTGTTATGGTATAGCGTTATCCATGTTTGTTAACGTCTCAGATCTAACAGGACTTTCTGCCTTTCCCCCCTATAAATGGGGGCCTGCAGCTGTGAGACTCTATTTTAGTTTGTTTTTTTTGGCCACTTTTGTAGGTTTAGGTTTCCATAAATAAAAAGATCGGATTTGTAACGCTTGTTCAAAGTCTATGTGGCAGCTCAGACCACCCAAATCAGAGTCTCTTCCTTCTGACCATAGGTCCCTTTCTAAGTCCAGGTTCCCAGATTAATAGCGCTGCTAACCATTTCATCAATTAGTAGAATTTTTATTTTGCAAGTGTGTTGTGAACTCACTATAATGCTGCTTTTATTGAATAAATCCTGAACAGTGAAAGTACAAAACAATTCCCTCTGCCCTACTGTCATTTTTGGCATGCAAAAAAAATCAATTACACTTGGAAAAAAGAACTTGATCTGAGCTCAGCTATTGTTCTTAGTACAAGTCAAGGTCATACATTGCTTTTAGTGAATGGAAATATTATTTTATTAATAGCACCTCACTCTCTCCTTGATGTTGCAGACTAATGACTCCACGCCAATGCATCTGGCTGCCGCGGGCGGTCATTCAGAGGTGGTCAAGGTCCTATTGGAAACTGGTGCGTCCGCATCGGATGAGAACGGGGTGAGTTAAAAAAAAAAAAAAGCATGGATCTCTGATCCAACTTTTTTAATATTAAAGAGAAACTGACACTTTTTTGAAAGATGTTTTGAGGATGCTAAAAAAATGGATATTAGTAAACAGTAAAATATTTGCTCACTAAGTTTACCCATATTTCTTTGGGGTTTTTTGTTGTTTTTTTGACAGGAAAGAATGACCGCAATCCATCTGGCAGCTAAGAATGGACACATTAATGTACTCGAAGTCTTAAAAGGCAGTGTCTCATTACGCATTACCAGCACCAAGGTGAGGTCTTCCCATGGGCATTTTAACTGGGTCATCCAGAAGTGGTGTCATAAGATAGCCTTTAATGGTGGTACTATAATGGTACTCTATAACTATAACAAAGGCATAGCAGACTAACATTTAGGAGTTACTGTTCTTTAACTTGGTTATGCATACACCTGGGAAATCTCAAATTCAGGAATTATTATTATTATTATTATTTTTATATAGCGCCAACCGATTCTTTAGTGCTTAACAATATTATAAGAGGAGGGATTTAACTATAAATAGGACAATTACAAGAAAACTTACAGGTTGAAGAGGACCCTGCTTACAGTCTATAGGAGGTGGGGTCTAAAACACCTTAGGACAGGAAATAGCAATCAAATAATGTGGGAGTGAAGCAGAGCTGGAGGAGAGAGTAAAGTGCTGCCCTTTAGGTGAGAGCGAAAGACAGGTATGTGAGGTAGAGGTTAGTGTGGGAGGCCATAAGCTTTCTTAAAGAGATGGGTTTTAAGGCACTTCTTAAACGACTGAAGACTAGGGGAGAGTCTGATGGCAGTAGGCAGGCTATTCCATAGGAAGGGAGCCGCCTGAGAGAAGTCCTGCAATCGCGAGTTGGCCGTACGGGTGCGAACAATGGACAGAAAAAGGTCACGGACAGAGCGGAGAGACAGAGAAGGGGCATACCTATGGATCTGTGAGGAGATATAAGAGGGGCTAAGATTATTCAGTGCTTTATAGGTGTGGATTAGTACCTTGAATTGACTCCTATAGGATACAGGGAGCCAATGTAAGGACTGACAGAGGGGTGAGGTGTGAGAGGACCGACTATAGGGGAAAATCAGTCTGGCGGCAGCATTCATTACAGACTGTAGCGGGGCAATACGGTTCTTGGGAAGACCAATTAGGAGAGGGTTACAATAATCCATGCAGGAAATTACTAGAGCATGGACAAGCTCCTTAGTAGCATCTTGCTGAAGAAGGGGGCGGATGTGGCCTATGTTTTTAAGATGGAATCTACATGATTTGGTAACATGCTGGATGTGAGGCTCAAAGGTGAGGCCAGAATCAAGTATGACACCAAGACAGTGCGCTTGCAAGGATGAACTGATGTGGATACAACTAATTTGAAGGGAGAGTGAAAGAGGAGGATCAGTATTAGGAGGAGGAAAGAAAAGGAGCTCAGTTTTAGAGAGATTTAGTTTCAGAAAGCGGGAGGACATCCAGTCAGAGATGGAAGAAAGGCAAGCAGTGGCATGTTGCAGGATGGCAGGGGAGAGGTCCGGGGAGGAGAGATATATCTAGGTGTCATCAGCGTAAAGGTGGTAGTGGAATCCAAATGAGGTAATAAGTTTGCCATGTAAGGCAGTATAAAGAGAAAATAGAAGAGGACCAATGGACCAAGTCTTGGGGGACTCTAACAGAGACAGGACGATGGAGGAGGTATCATTAGAAAAGGAGACACTGAATGAGCATTGGTAGAGATAAGACGAAAACCATGAGAGGACAGAGTCACAGAGACCGAGTGATTGAAGAGTTTGAAGAAGGAGAGCATGATCAACGGTGTCAAAAGCAGCAGAGAGGTCAAGAAGAATTAGTATGGAGTAGTGGATTTAGCTGCGATTAGGTCATTAGTAACTTTGAAGAGAGCAGTCTCAATAGAGTGGAGGGGGCGGAAGCCAGATTGAAGAGGGTCAAAAAGAGAGTTTGAATTAAGGAAGTGAGACATAAGGGTAAAGACAACTGTGGCGGAACCAACCTCGCCACTGGCCACTGGAGGAGCCTGGTCACCCGCCTCCTGCCACTGGACTATGGCCCCATGTTTAACACTGTACTTTTTCCCTGCATAAAGGCTGGTTCGTGCCTTTCTGTGGACTGCTAAAGCCATGCTACCCCAGATAGCTATGCCATGGAGCCTAGCCCTATACTGAAAGACTCTGTGAAAGACTTTGGCTGAATGGCGATTGAACTGTATGTATGTGATCTGAGCGCCATCCGGTAATAATGTGCGCTCAGATCTAAGCTATCTGGGAATAGGTAGAATGTGTATGTTCTATGTGATAAATGTAACAGTATGTATTTTTATGTCTTTTATTGTCCTTTGTCTGCCATGTGGTTAATGGAGTTTTGCCTCTGTCCTTGGAGATAATTGGATTACTTCCCAATTATCTCCAGGACAGAGAGGAAGGATTGTGATGCATTGTGGGATTGTAAACTTGTGATTGGTCAATGTCCAATATGTTTCCCAATCTTCCATTTGGTCCACTAGGGGAGTGTCCACCAGGTTGGAGACCTGCATAAAAGCCAGGCAAGTAGCCCTAGTAAATCATTTCTGCTTGACCCTCAAACGAAGTGTCGTCTCGTTCTTGGGGGGAATTGGATTGTATGCTGTTACAGTGCGAATGCCAGGAGTGTAAACTGTTCGTATTGTTTTTCCTGTTCGGCTGTTTACAGCATTCGTGTGTTTCCTGTTCAGGAGTTTGGAGCATTCCCCTGGTTCCAGTTTGGGAGATTGGTGAATTCATGTGTTTGCAGTTCGGGAGTTTGAGTATTCATGTGTTTGCAATTCGGGAGATTGGTGATTGCAGTAGCTGCCTGTACATCTGAAAAGGGGAATATCGCCTAAACGGTTTTTAACATCTTGTGTGCAAAACGGTCCGTTACAATTGGTGGCAAGCGACGGGATTATTCCCACAGCCCAGAAGGACAGCTACAAGGTAACACTATTCCCTGGATTTACAAATTGAGGGTAACGCTAGTATATGTACAGCGCCCCTATCTACAAAGGAACTCAGAAAATGAGTTCAAAAAGTTTCAAGATAGATTGTTCTGTTACGTATCCCTGAGGTCTGGAGCAGTGTCAGAGGAGGACATGTTGAGGTACAGAGAGATTGCAAGAGCCGGATTGTGGGACGAAGCCCTAGAGAAAGTACAGTATTCGCGAGGGGATCGGCGCTGCAGCAGAATGCAGCGAATCCTGGCTTGAATGGCAGAGCGGATGCCCCTCCTGAGAAAACAGACCGAAGAAGCGTGGGTGACTAGACTCGAGATTCTAGTATATGCAGAACTGGCGCTCGACGATGCATACCAGGCGATACAGTGGTAAGCAGCTCAGTGTCCCCCCGAGATGGCAGAGTATGAGTTCCCAGAGGGCGGAGATTACGCTGGCCCTGGCCTATTTTGGAATAATATTGATGATGAGGACTTTGGGAAAGCTACCAACTCCCGTTTTTGGGACCTGTGTTACGACCGAGAAGACATGCTGGGTCTCCCTAGCGCTGTTGATCTCGAGGCAGACCTACGGTATCTGGTCGCCAAGGAATGTGACCTGGAGTGGGATTACCTGCGACTCATCAATGAGGCCCGGGAAGAGACAACCGGTCCTCTTCCCCAACAGCAACCGGCAGTACCCGAGGACCTCCTAGACTGGTCCTGCAAGGATCCCCAGCAGCAGTATGTATCCCAGGGAGCTGAAGGTGCCATCCTTCCTCCCCAGCGGCAGTGTGTGTCCTTAGGAGAGGAGACAGTTGGTCCCTCTCCCCAGCGGTCAAGTGAGTCCCAGGGAGCCGAAGGTGCCGTCCTTCCTCTCCTGCGGCAGCATGTATCCCAGGGAGCTGAAGGTGTCGTCCTTCCTCCCCAGTGGCAGTGTGTGTTCTTAGGAGAGGAGACAGGTGGTCCCTCTCCCCAGCAGTCAAGTGAGTCCCATGGAGCTGAAGGTGCCGTCCTTCCTCCCCAGCGGCAGTGTGAGTCCCAGGGAGCCGAAGGTGCCGTCCTTCCTCCCCAGCAGCAGTGTGTCCAGCAGTGTGTCCGCTCCCCCGCAGCGGGACAATATATTGAAAGGGGGGACAGTTGGTCCCCCTCTCCACCAGCAGAGAGAGTGTAAGGTAGAGGAGCTTGTTACCCCCTCTCCCCAGCGGCAGCATAGCCCACCCAGGGGAGACACTAAGCTCCCCACCAGCGCAGATGGGACCATGGTCTCTGTATCCCAAGCTACAGGGAGTACGGACAGTCGGTCCTGCTCCCCAGCGGCATAGTATTCTACCGGGAGGGGAGACCCTCGTTCCCCCTCCCCAGCGGCAGCCTAGCCCACCAAGGGGAGATGATAAGCCCCACACTGGTGCAGATGGGACCGTGGTCTCTGTGCCCAAACCACAGGGGGTAGGGATGGTCGGTCCTGTCCCCCAGCAGCAGGGCTGTTTATCCAAAGGGGAGACAGCCTGTCTTCCCCTCCAGCAGCAACACCAGGTCCAGAGCAAGGAGCCTACTACCCCTTCTCCTAGCGCTGGCACCAGGGCAGAGTACCGCTGGTCTCTGCCCACTCAGCAACCCACCGATCTGGAGGGCTAGTAAACCACAGAGCCGTGGTGGAGCCCCTGGACATGGACAAGCTACCCACTACCCCAGGTGCAGTAACCAAATTTTGTGGGTGGGCCACTCTGTTGATTATGTGTTGTGGGTGGGTTGCTGGACTAACCAGGGCACTGCCCGACAGGAGGTCAGATGCCCTGTTAGTCTGATTGGTAAAGGGGAGAAATGTGGCGGAACCAACCTCGCCACTGGCCACTGGAGGAGCCTGGTCACCCGCCTCCTGCCACTGGACTATGGCCCCATGTTTAACACTGTTCTTTTTCCTTGCAGAAAGGCTGGTTCGTGCCTTTCTGCGGACTGTTAAAGCCATGCTACCCCAGATAGCTATGCCATGGAGCCCAGCCGTATACTGAAAGACTCTATGAAAGACTTTGGCTCCATGGCGATTGAACTGTATGTATGTGATCTGAGCGCCATACGGTAATAATGTTGTATAGGGAGAGGTATTAGCAGTAGAAAGAGGGAAGTGCTCATGCCATTGTACAGAACACTGGTGAGACCTCACTTGGAGTATTGTACACAGTACTGGAGACCATATCTTCAGAAGGATATTGATACTTTAGAGAGGGTTCAGAAAGGGCTACTAAACTGGTTCATGGATTGTGGGATAAAACTTACCAGGAAAGGTTAAAGGATCTTAACATGTATAGCTTGGAGGAAAGACGAGACGGGGGGATATGATAGAAACGTTTAAATATATAAAGGGAATCAACACAGTAAAGGAGGAGACTATATTTAAAAGAAGAAAAACTACCACAAGAGGACATACTGTATTTTCTGGCATATAAGATGACTTTTTAACCCTGGAAAATCTTCTCCAAAGTCGGGGGTCGTCTTATACGCCGGGTATAGGGTCTATATGGCTTCCGTGGGCGCCCTGCGCCCCCATCGCCGACCCTTCTAATGCTGCTATAGAGAGTGCTCAGACGGCTGCCGCACTGCCTCTCTTCTCACCTCCCCTTCCCTGTGCAGAGTGGGTGGCCGAGCTCCTCTTCGTCCTGTCAGTCCGGCCGGGACAGGTACTGAATTCAGTACCGCACGGTACCCGGCCGGACTGAAAGGAGGATGAAGAGGAGCTCGGCCACCCACTCTGCACAGGGAAGGGGAGGTGAGAAGAATGTAGGGAGGATTGGGGGGGGAGTAAAAAGAATGGGGGGGAGTAAAAAAAATGGAGGAGGGGAGTAAAAAGAATGGAGGGGGGATTAAAAAGAATGGAGGGGGGGAGTAAAAAGAATATATCGCAATTAGCCTCCTGTGTGCTAGACCAGCAGGCATGGATTATATGCCCAAACAGCCTGGCACATACCTGGGCTTTAAATGCTATTTCAGATTATGATTATTTAATGTCTTGCTGTGTAGCTCTGTCTGCTCACTGTACATCATGGCTAATTTTTATTTGGTGTGCATTGGAAGAGGGATATTCTTATACGGCGAGTATATCCCAAACTCTATATTTTAACTGGAAAAGTTGGGGGTCGTCTTATACGCCGGAAAATACGGTAGTCTTAAATTAGAGGGACAAAGGTTTAAAAATAATATCAGGAAGTATTACTTTACTGAGAGGGTAGTGGATGCATGGAATAGCCTTCCAGCTGAAGTGGTAGAGGTTAACACAGTAAAGGAGTTTAAGCATGCGTGGGATAGGCATAAGGCTATCCTAACTATAAGATAAGGCCAGGGACTAATGAAAGTATTTAGAAAATTGGGCAGACTAGATGGGCCGAATGGTTCTTATATGCCGTCACATTCTATGTTTCTATTATTATTATTATTATTATTTTATTATTTATATAGCGCCAACAAATTCCATAGCGCTGTATGTGCGCTCAGATCTAAGCTATCTGGGGATAGGTAGAATGTGTATGTTCTATGTGATAAATGTAACAGTATGTATTTTTATGTATTTTATTGTTCTTTGTCTGCCATGTGGTTAATGGAGTTTTGCCTCTGTCCTTGGAGATAATTGGATTACTTCCCAATTATCTCCAGGACAGAGAGGAGGGATTGTGATGCATTGTGGGATTGTAAGCTTGTGATTGGTCAATGTCCAATATGTTTCCCAGTCTTCCATTTGGTCCCCTAGGGGAGTGTCCACCAGGTGGGAGACCTGCATAAAAGCCGAGCAGGTAGCCCCAGTAAATCAGTTCTGCTTGACCCTCAAACGAAGTGTCGTCTCGTTCTTGGGGGGAATTGGATTGTATGCTGTTACAGTGCGACTGCCAGGAGTGTAAACTGTTCGTATGGTTTTTCCTGTTCGGCTGTTTACAGCATTCATGTGTTTCCTGTTCGGGAGTTTGGAGCATTCCCCTGGTTCCAGTTCGGGAGATTGGTGAATTCATGTGTTTGCAGTTCGGGAGTTTGAGCATTCATGTGTTTGCAATTCTTTTTTTTTTAACCTCTTGTGTGCAAAACGGTCCGTTACAACAAGTCTTTCCAGAAGCTTTGAAGAAAAAGGGAGCAGGGATATGGGGACGATAGTTAGAGGAAGAGGACGGGTCAAGAGATGGTTTCTTCACCATAGGTACTACAGTGGCATGTTTAAGTTTAGCAGGGTCAATGCCAGAAGAGAGAGAGAAGTTGAAGATGTTAAGGTGTTAAGGAAGGCACAAGACAAGGGGGAGAGATATCTGATAAGGTGAGATGGGACAGGATCAAGCTGGAAAGTGGTCGGGCGAAAGGAAAGGAGAAGTTTTCAGTAGCCAGGGAGAAAGTCTGAAGGGTAGGAAAGGCATGAGCTACGTGTGGTTGAGAAGGAGAAAAGGCAGGGTGGGGAGAATTCTTTCCTTAGCTGTTCAATCTTGTCGGTAAAGGAGCGGGGCTGCAGTGTTCAAGGCAGAGGTGAGGGTAGTGTTATATGTGGAGATGGCCAGTGAGGGACAGGAGAGGAAAGGGATGGATAGGATTTGTGAATAAATATCAGCTGACAGCTGCTGGAGATCAATAGAATTAAGTAGACATGTGCAATTAGTTTTGGTCCGAATTTAAATTCGGACGAATTTCGGCAATTCGGACATTTGGAGCCAAATTTCCGAAGTGCCAAATTGCTGTAATGCCGAACCTAATTGTCAAAGTGCCAAATTTCAGAAGTGCTTAGGATTTCTGAAAAGTGTCAAAACAGGAGAGGGAGGGAAAATTAAGGAATCTAACCCTACTCCTACCCCTAACCATACCCCTAATCCTAACCCTACCCCTAACCATACGCCAACCCTTACCCTACCCCTAACCCTTGCAGAGTGTGCATTCATTTTTCCAATCTGGTGTATGGACTGTGAAACCTTTAAAAGTATTAGAATGAATTTTGTGATAATTGTCATTACCTTCTTTTCCTCATCAGACTGGGTTTACAGCTCTCCACGTCGCAGCTCAATATGGCCAGATGGATTTTGTACGAGAAATTTTGACCAAAGTTTCAGCATCAGTGCTAAGTGAACCTCCCAAAATGGCCCCAGACTCACTCCTTCTGAAAGAACAATGGACTGAAGTAAGGGTGGATCAATAATACGGTTTTATTTGACATTTTTAGGATACCATAATACTGAAAACTGCGGCACCACTTTCCTGCAAATAGCACATGTAATGAACGCCATGTATTTAATATACCTAATTCGTTTGTATGCTCATGAAATGGTAGGGACTTAGTGATTATAGCCCGTTCGCATAGAACATTGATTTGTACGTTCCCAAAATCCAAGTAGTTAGTAAAAGTAAATCCAGCGGTTCGTTGGTCACATACCCAAACATCAGTCGAGACTTGATGAAGGGCACAACAGGAATGTTTTATTATGGCAGGATGGCCAACTTTATACACAGGCCCCCAGCAGGGGGTCTCGAGTCAAAGTATAGCAGAACACTCCCACAACACGTCCTGGAGTCTCTGTGTCTGGGAGATAATTTAGTGTACTTTGCTTAAACTAATTATCTCCCAGGCACTGGAGTACCAAATCAGAAAACATAATATATTAAAAATACACATATAGAAACCCCCACAAATATTATATCCCCAGCCTGGATCTGAGTGCCCAAGTTGTCCAACTAGCACTTAGATCCCACTAACACAGCTGAATCGCCACCAGGGTAAGGTTTTGACCGAGCACACAGGTGGCGCCTGCCCAAATTAGTTCCATAGAATCAGTGGTAGCAGTCGGTCACTTTTGGGAGTTCCAAAATGAACAAAAAGATGAACGGTTTCCCTGGCTCATAGGTAGCATTTGTTCACCTTGTTTGTGCGAACAAACCTAACGAACAGCGTTCTCCTGGTTTGTCTGGGAAAGAAGCAGGTGTTTGTGAAGTTTAGCCGGTGTTCGCGAGGTCGAGTGTCAAACTTATAGTTCCAGACACTCAAAGACCAAGTCCTGCTGCCTGCTTTCGTGCAACAAAATGGCTGCCGTTTTCTCCAGCACCTGCTGTTCGGCCACACAGGGAGAGCACTTAAGTCTGTGGTTTCTTTGAAGTTAATGAGCCAGGGGGGTGGTCTGTGTTCAGTAGATTTATCTACCGAATGCAGGGAAAGTAACTTTGGAATAAAATATATAGTTTTGTCACAGCACATAACAGAATTAATAAATAATGAAACACCATTGAAAGCTGTCTGCCGGCACATTCAGTCCATGTCAATGAGTACGATACGACTTGATCTAGTTTGCATGTAGACAACATGCTATTAGTAACATTTTGATAGCTAACTTAGTGGGATTTTTAACATACTCCAATAATTAAAGGAACATTCCAAGTATTATAATTTCTACAGCCAGTCGGAGTGATTATGGTGCCAAAATCGCCCTAGCACTTTGCCAAGGTAAGATGTCAAAAGGTTTAGTATGACAATTTACCTGGGACCCACTAGATCCCACCAGGTGCCATGCCATATTAGCCACATCTAGGATGCTCCAGCAGAAGAGGTCAGTTCTATAGAGGGTAGGTCCATTTAGGACTGCACTCATGCTGAGAGTGTTGGTTGAGTGCTCTCAGGCATTAGGAGTGGCCTTACATCTGCCATACTTTATGCTACAGAGTACAAAGCATTAATAATCACAGCTCCATTATTTACAATTTTTATCTCATGATCTCTCATAAATACTCTTCCTTTCAGTGAAGAAGCTCATCGCCGGTGGTCTAGTGGAGACAGAGGGGGGAATATATACATAAATAAATCCTGGTTAAGTCAATATACAGCCTTCAGTCAGTTTTTGTTACATACAAGAAAGGAGAACCTTTGGCAATTTACTTTTTATTAGAAAGTATAGATTTTATGCATATAAATAAAAAACATTCTCTACATCATGTAAAGTCCAATCTAATCCTAAACAGTTCCTTACTTTGCATCTTTTCCCTTTAAGTCAGGATACACACCGTTACATCTGGCTTCACAATCAGGTCATGAAAGTCTAGTTCGTCTTTTATTGAATTATCCCGGAGTTCAAGTCGATGTGGCCACCAGCCAGCAGGTAACAAACGATATATTAAATTAATACTTACTCACAAAAGCTTCTGAATTATTGTATTTCATGTTTTTATTTATTTATTTCTTCAGGGTTAACTGAGGATCAAAAGATCTGGGGATTTGGTCAAGTATGACGTCACACAGAAGGGTTATAATAAGAAGTGTTATATGTTAGGCAGCGTTCTAGTTAAAGGTTCTAGTGCAGTAATTTACCTTAATCTGTTCTTGGCATTAAATTGGTTTGGTTATTTTGTGGTGGCTGCAACATTTGGAAGACTTCTTGCCCATCTTTAAATTACTTCAAGTGTTCACACACTCTTGTCTATCAAGTGCCATACTTGAGAAATCATCCATTTATCAATCCATTGGACGTGTATTTGGATAATAAGGTTAATCACGTTTAATTCAAAATAAATTCAGTGCATTCAGACCCCTTTGTTTTTCAAATTTTTTAATGATGCATCCTAAATCTACAATTGTTTAAATTATTTTTTTTTACATCAATCTTCACTCAATACTCCATATTTTCTAAAACTTTGCAAGTATATTAAATAGCAAAAAACTAAAGCATGCATTGACAAAAGTATTCAGACCTATAACTCAGTACTTAGTTGCAATACCTTTGGCAAATATTTTTTGGAATGATACGACAATCTTTTAACAACTGGATTTGGGTAGTTTCTGCCATTAATCTCTGTATATCCTCTCAAACTCTGTCAGTTTGGATGAAGACCATCAGTGGACAACCACTCTTAGATCTGTCCACAGTTGTTAGATTTGGTACAAGTCCAAGCTCTGGGTATGCCGCTCAAGGACATGACCCTAAGTCACTCTTGTGTTGTCTTGGCTTGTACATCAGAAAAGAGAATATTGTTTCTGAAAGTCCTTCGGGTGATTTTTGGCAAATTCCAAGTGGGCTTTCATGCTGCAGTGAAGAGAGGTTTCCATCTGGCCAGTCTGCTATAAAGGCTAAATCAATGGAGCATTACAGTGATGGTTATCCTTCTGTTATCCTTCTGTACGTATCGCCCATTTCCACACGATCTCTAGAACTCACCAAGACTATCACTTGGGTCCTTGGTCACCCCTTTTACCACGGTCTTTCTCCCTGATTGCTCAGTTTGCCAGCTCTAGAAAGAGTCCTGGAGCTCACTGTGCTCTTGGGAACCTTCAACACAGCTGAAATTATTTTTTTAGCCTTCCCCAGATCTGTGCCTGGACACAATCCTGTCTGACTTCATGGCTTGGTAATTGCTAGAATTTGCATTTACAGCTAGATAGGGGTGTCCCTTTAAAAATCATGTCCAATCAGTTGAATTTACCACAGATGGACTTCAAACTGTAGAAACAGCTCAAGGATGATTGAGAGAAATTAGATTCATCTAAAGTAAATTTTAGGTGTCACACAGGGTCTGTTTAGGTACATCAATGTGATATTTCAGTTTTTTATTTTTTTATTTGTTTGTTTGGTTTTTTTTTTACAAATTTTCACACAAGTTTCCAAAATCCAGAATTTTGCTTTGTTATTTTGGGGATATTGAATGTAAATTGATGTGGAAAAAAATATTTAACCAATTGTAGTATAAGGCAACATTAAAATGTGAAATGAATGGGGTCTGAATACTTTCTGAATGCACTGTAAGTCGTCTGTGATAGAATTCTATGGTTTATTGGTCGAACAAATGCTGGAAAAATTAGGATAACCAAAAAATGCTAAATATTATTTGTTAACCAGTCGTATATATCAAGTAAACATAAGGGAGTAATGTGTACAGCCACCTTTTTAATGGCCATTGTGCATTTTTTGTATATATTACATTTTGCATATGTTGTAGAACAACATTTAAAATTGTAATTATGATACTTTTGTACACAACAAGCAAACTATAATCTTTACATTCTTTTTCCTTACTTATTTTCATTGAATAATTTTCATATGATCTATGTATTGATACTTTATAGTGGGCTTAGTGAACAGCTAACCCTTTTCTGTAAGACTGGCAATATTCAATTATTTTCAAAAACTCACCTCTAGTGGCTGTCAACCATTCAGCTAATAGTGGATTTCCCATTTGGCGTAATCACACACAGTGTGATGATGCTGAATGCCAACATTGAATTCCGTGCTTCTCATTGAGAAGAATTGGACTGGTGGATAACTGCAATTTCCACACGTGCACTGTGTGTCCTCGGTGTTTCTCAATAACAAGCATCTGATTGAACAAACGTCATCATGACTGATGACTTCACCGTAGGAAGATCGGGCTGCAGTAAGAAGTCTGTCCCGTCACTGAAAGTGTAAAAGCATTTTTACGTATCTTCTTTTTAAAGTGGGGGCATATATCTAAACGTAAAAATGAATAAAGGTACAGATTTAAGTAAACATCTTTTATTACGTTTTTTTTTATGCCTGACATTAATACCAAAATAGATTAGTAAAGCCTGTCCACGACAAAGTTGTTATTAAATCTTGTAATCTTTAATTCTCACATTGTAACAAAGTTCTATCTGCTTTAGTTCCAATATATTTAACATTTCCTTTTTCTCCATAGGGTTCCACGCCAATGCACCTCGCAGCCAAGAATGGTCACACTGCAGTTGTTGGTCTCCTGTTAAGTAAATCCACCTCCCAGCTGCACATGAAAGACAAACAAGGGAGAACGTGCCTCCACCTGGCGGGTTCCAATGGCCACAATGAAACCATGAGAGCTCTGATTGGTCAAGGAGCTGAGATAAATGTGACCGATAAGGTGCAGACTTGCTTTTACAAACCACACATTAACACTTTACATACTGGGGATAAGGAAATCAAGTCATGATTTATTCCATGACTCTGCAGGTGCTTTCATGGTGTGACCGAACTGTGTACATCTTAATAATATACACCACATTGTTCTCCAAGGGTACGGTCCATGGTAAAATGCCTTCAGTAAACCAGTCTTTGAACTGCTTATAGTAGAGCTAACAGTAAACCTGGAAGAATTGTTGGTACTTTATTGGAGAACTGAAGGTACAATAGTAAGTCAGTAACAGTAAATAGTAATTTAGCATTAGTGGTTATGTGCTAGAAGACTGTAGTCGCTATGTGCCAGAAGGCTGTAGTCATTAGTGGTTGTGCCTGAAGGCTGTAGTCGCTATGTGCCAGAAGGCTGTAGTCACTATGTGCCGGAAGGCTGTAGTCGTTATGTGCCTGAAGGCTGTAGTCGCTATGTGCCTAAAGACTGTAGTCGCTATGTGCCAGAAGGCTGTAGTCGTTATGTGCCTGAAGGCTGTAGTCGCTATGTGCCTAAAGACTGTAGTCGCTATGTGCCAGAAGGCTGTAGTCGTTATGTGCCTGAAGGCTGTAGTTATGTGCCAGAGGGCTGTAGTTGCTATGTGCTAGAATGCTGCAGTCATTATGTGCCAGAAGGCTTTAGTCGTTGTGCCAGAAGGCTGTAGTCGTTATGTGCCAGAAGGCTGTAGTCGTTATGTGCCAGAAGGCTGTAGTCGCTATGTGCCAGAAGGCTGTAGTCACTATGTGCCAGAAGGCTGTAGTTATGTGCCAGAAGGTTGTAGTTATGTGCCAGAGGGCTGTAGTTGCTATGTGCTAGAATGCTGCAGTTGTTATGTGCTAGAAGTGCCCTGGTATTCTTTCAGGTTAAGTAGTTAAACCATTTGGGAATGGTTTGACCATGTACCAGTGGTCCACCAGTTTCCTCCTCCTGTGCCCCTGGAAGCTGCAGTACTAAGTTAGCCCTGGCAGTGCACGACTTAGCTCATTGGCTGAGATCACTCAGCTGAATCACTGAGCCAATGAAGTTGGGTCATTGAAGTTAAAGCAGAACTGTCACCTCAACACTTTTTTAATATAATGATCTTTTGATCAAGTTTTGAAAGGAAATGGATATTTTGTTAAATGAATTATATGGAAAAACTAAATGAGAAAAACGTATCCCTATCTTTTAGTATCTGACAGGATCCTTCTGCCACATACATACACTTTGGGTCAGACATTGTTTGACGTTGACAGTTCGTTAGTCAGTCTGATGATGTCACTGCAGTGTGCGGGGAGTGAAGCAGGAAAAACCATAGAGACTAACTGTCAGTTTTCAAACATTGACCAACCCAAGGTGTGTGCATATGGCTGTCTGACCCAAGGTGTGTGCATATGGCTGTCTGACCCAAGGTGTATGCATATGGCTGTCTGACCCAAGGTGTGTGCATATGGCTGTCTGACCCAAGGTGTATGCATATAGCTGTCTGACCCAAGGTGTGTGCATGTGGCTGTCTGACCCAAGGTGTGTGCATGTGGCTGTCTGACCCAAGGTGTGCGCATATGACTGTCTGACCCAAGGTGTGTGCATATGGTTGTCGGACTCAAGGTGTGTGCATGTGGCTGTCTGACCCAAGGTGTGTGCATGTGGCTGTCTGACCCAAGGTGTGTGCATGTGGCTCAGCATTTGGCTGTCTGACCCAAGGTGTGTGCATGTGGCAGTCTGACCCAAGGTGTGTGCATATGGCTGTCTGACCCAAGATGTGTGCATATGGTTGTCTGACCCAAGGTGTATGCATATGGCTGTCTGACCCAAGATGTCTGCATATGGCTGTCTGACCCAAGATGTCTGCATATGGCTGTCTGACCCAAGGTGTATGCATATGGCTGTCTGACCCAAGGTGTATGCATATGGCTGTCTGACCCAAGGTGTGTGCATGTGGCTGTCTGGCCCAAGGTGTGTGCATATGGCTGTCTGACCCAAGGTGTATGCATGTGGCTGTCTGACCCAAGGTGTGTGCATATGGCAGTCTGACCCAAGGTGTATGCATATGGCTGTCTGACCCAAGGTGTATGCATATGGCTGTCTAACCCAAGGTGTGTGCATATGGCTGTCTGACCTAAGGTGTATGCATATGGCTGTCTGACTCAAGGTGTGTGCATGTGGCTGTCTGACCCAAGGTGTGTGCATGTGGCTGTCTGACCCAAGGTGTATGCATATGGCTGTCTGACCCAAGATGTGTGCATATGGCTGTCTGACCCAAGGTGTATGCATATGGCTGTCTGACCCAAGATGTGTGCATATGGCTGTCTGACCCAAGGTGTATGCATGTGGCTGTCTGACCCAAGGTGTATGCATATGGCTGTCTGACCCAAGGTGTGTGCATATGGCTGTCTGACCCAAGGTGTGTGCATGTGGCTGTCTGGCCCAAGGTGTATGCATGTGGCTGTCTGGCCCAAGGTGTGTGCATATGGCTGCAGGATCCTGTGATATAGTAACAGTGTGGATGAGTATTTCTCCTTATTTTTTATTTTTTTTTACTTCATTTAACAAATTTTCCATTTCGTTTGAAAACTTGATTTAAGGATCGTTATATTAATAATTAGTGTTGATGTGACAGTTGTCCTTGCAGCAGGTTCCAACTCCCAGTGCACTTCCCAGCTCCAAGTGAGAATAGTGAGTATTGGGTCATATATCTGACAATCTGACCAAAGGTGCGTTAATACGGCTGTCAAAATACGGGAAAGGTAAGTAAGAGTTTTCTTTAAAAATTTCAACATATGTGACTTAAAAACATAATTAGATAGTGTATTATAACATTAATATTATGTTTAGGTATTAAATGTTGACGTCACTGTTCCTTTAGTGTTTTTTGATCTCAATCATACTCCACTACACATTTTACTTGGGTTTACCCAGAACAGTGTGGTAGAAATTGTTAATACTTTATAAATGAATTTACAGTATAATTATCATAATGAATTGTTGCAGAATGGCTGGTGTCCTTTGCATTTTGCTGCAAAATCTGGCTTCCTGGAAACTGTTCGATTTCTCATAGAATGCAGCGCAAACCCAGCTTTGGAATGTAAAAATGGAAAGACAGCAATTCAGTATGCTGCGGCCGAAAATCACCAGGAGGTGGTAAGCTTCCTGCTAAAGAAGACTCATAATACGTTAAGGCTGCTCGAGGACAGGAAGGTAATTAATGTCATGTAAAGGTGCTCATAGCATGTGACACTCTTCCTTAACTACATCATATGATGGGAAATGTAGTTCACAACATGTAGGCACATTCAGAATAATCTGTTCTCTCAGCTACTCTAACATCAAAGTCATGCCACAGCCCTTAAAGGAACACTCTGGGCTCCATGATAACTTCATAAAAATCAGAACAGTTATTGAACAGTTTAGCCCTAAATTCTTGAATCCAGAACTTTTGCATCTTCCTATACTTTTCTCTGATTTTTGAAACAAGAAGCCTTGGACATCCTCTGACAGGGGCACAGCTGATTGGCTTAGAGCGCCAACTAAGGTTCTAAGCCAATCAGTAGCTATCCATTCACAAAACAGCTTGAGAAACATACATATTTTTCTCAAGCCGTTTTGTGAATTAGTGGCGCTCCTGTCAGAGGCTTCCCGTTTCAAGAATTGTAGTATAGCGGACGTGGTGGGGACAGAGCAAAGCGGCATTGGATTCATATTTGTTACAGGAATTAAACCATTCATTAATGTTTTAACCTCTAAAGGTTAGCTGGTGCTCAAGGTGTTCCTATCAAATCTTTCTGAAACTATTCTTCTCTACGTACGATGTCATGCAGCGATGTTCGACTGGTAAAATACTGACAAAGATGTTTGTGAATTCGTCAGTACATCAAATTACTTTGATCTGATACAGGCAAGAACTGTGTGTAACTAGGCACTTTGCATGTTGTGAATTCACAGGATGGAGCCCAGGTATTCTGTATAAAACCTAGGGCATTTTATATTACGCACAGATTATAGTTATATATAGAATGTTATTAAAATAATAAAATTTTAAAAAACTCAAATTACCTCAATTCCAATTGTTTGCGTGTTTCCACTGTCAATAACTGCAATAACATCAATGGGAAAAATTAACATGATCACTTAATACTAAACCCTAAATCAGTAATGCTTTGCATGGTTTAATTGCATAGTATATAACGTAGTAAATCAATATGTAAAAGCTAGATTTTTTTTTCTGCTACATCTATTTCTTGTTTGCTGTGTGTTGCCTTTTGCTGAGAACCTTTTAATTTTGTAAAATAACTCATATAATATTTTCCAGTTCGTTTTCGACCTCATGGTCTGTGGGAAGTTAAATGACAACAGGATCCTAGAGGAATATGTTCTTAATTCCACTGCCCCTTTGGATATGGCTGTCAAGCTTTCTAGAGCCTTCAGCATTGCTGGCCTCAAGGAGAAAGAAAGGGCAGTGGACCTTCTGAATGCTGCTAAGTACAGTGAGAGCATGGCCACCGAACTCCTCACTATAGCCTCTGGAAGTAAAAATGCTGGGTACATTCTGAGGGCGGTAGACCACAGAGGCACCACTATATTGGATTGTTTAATAGAATGTGAACAGAAAGATGTAGTGGCACACCCAGCTGTCCAGAAATATCTGACAGATGTTTGGTACGGCAATTTGGACTGGGCAGCTTGGAAACTAGTCCTCCTGTTTTTTAGTTTTTTAGCATGCCCACCGGTATGGCTTGTGTTTTCTCTACCTCTCAAACACCAATTTAACAAAATCCCTATCATCAAATTCATGAGTTATTTGGCCTCTCATATATTCCTGCTCGTATTGTTCATCCTAACCATTGTCTACCCACCACTTAGCCCAATTTATGAAGGACGCACCATACCCTACTGGAATGAATGGTTGTTGCTCATTTGGCTATTAGGTACCCTGGTTTCTGAGCTCACCCACCAAGGAGAAAGAGCAGGTCTTGCCTGGATACGTGTTTTTGTTATAGGATTTTCTGCAGCTGCCTTTTTCTGCCATTTGCTTGCTTTTTTCTTTACAGACATTGATCGTTTACACTGCCTTTTTGCCAGAAATATATTCCTTGGTGTTGCTATGACCCTCTCGTTTGTCCAGTTCCTGGAGTTCCTTACCTTCCACCATCTCTTTGGACCTTGGGCAATTATCATAAGAGATTTGATAAAAGACTTGACTAGGTTTGCTGTCATTCTAGGATTGTTTCACATAGCTTTCACCATGCAACTTTCAGCCGTTTACCAACCCGTATATCCAGCATTTAAGACAAATCAGTCAGATAATGGAACTGTGTCAGATGATTTTAGCATTCAAGATCCCATTGATATAACAGTCCTTTTGTTTTTCTCTTTGTTTGGTCTTGTTGAACCAGGGTGCCTTCCACCCATCAACCGGACTCCTCAATTCACTTTTGTAATTGTCCGCTTTGTGTTTGGAGTTTACCTTATGGTTACATTGATTGTTCTGATCAATCTCCTGATTGCTATGATGAGTGACACTTACCAGAGGATACAAGCTCAATCGGACACGGAGTGGAAATTTGGGAGAGCCACACTGATTCGAGATATGACCAGAAAGCCAGCAACGCCTTCTCCCTTCAACTTGTTCACCAACTTGTTTTACTACTTAAAATTGCTATGTAAATACAAAGGTATGACCTAAAATAAAATAAAATAGTCTTTTACACTAAAGTTATATAAATTATAAGGCAGAGTATAGTCACACTTAAGAAATGTTTTCTTAATATTATATCTCTTACAAGTAACCATCAGACATGTATTTACTACACAAGGAAATTTGAAGGACTGACAGTAATAGACATGGGGAATGTGAAAATGTATGAGTTGGAGAATGTTTCCATTATGGCTGTTTTAGACTAAAATGTACTAATCTCCATTTTCGTGAATATACCCCATTCATCAGCCTTTAATTTAGTCGTTAATGCTCAGTATTTTTACTTTTGTTTTTGTTTTATAAACTTTTATTGAAAAGTTGAGCAGTAAAAAGTTTATCCAAAAGTTGTTACCGCAAGGCAGGTATCAGGGCATTAGCTTCCCCTAAAAATATCCAGAGGAGGGTTTGTTTATAACTCTCTGGAAATGTTTTTGGCCACGCCAAGAGGATTTGTGATGGGTTTAATCTATTGTCGAAGTTTAGCACTTCCTGTACAAATTGAATTACTTTATTCCAAAATGGTTGTATGTCTGCACAACTCCACCAAATGTGATTTTGAATGTCCATCTCTCGGTGGCATCTCCAACAGGTATTGTTTGTTCACAGCATGAAAGATGGAGTGTAAGAAGGCAGGAGTCCTATATCATCTAGTGATCCTTTTGTAAAATGTACTATTACCTGTAATGTACAGATCTGCCAAGGTAGGGTATTCAAGGGCACCATGGCAATGTTTTATTCCAGGTCTAGCCACAATTTGTTCCTGCCAGCACCAGTCCACTCACCAGTATCACTGGGTGCCTGCCTACCCAACTAAATGTCAATCTGGTGAAAAAAAGATAGGGTTTGCAGTAAATAGAGGCTTTTGGTGAAGTAATCAGTTTTAGAATATTACTATCAATAGAGAAAACTGAGAATTGTTCTCTCCTTAAATCGGTGTTAGTAGTGCCCAGGACCGGAGGACAGTTAAATCCATATAAAGCCTGGTATTGTCTGGGTCTCCCAAGTATTTGATCCATAGATTCACCCAGCGAAATCCAGAGGAGCAGAATTTGGTGGTGCTCAAAGATCCGAGCACAGCTAATCTCAAAATCTCACACTTGTCATAGTTGACTTTGAAATTGAACGAGGCACTAAACCTATTCATCTCTTGGCAATACTTGGCAATGACTGGCTTGGATTCATAAATATTTTACTCCCGCTATACCCGGGTTCTTCCTAACAACATACCAGACCCATAATGTACAATGTAGATAATGAGAATAAAATAACACAATAATACTTGTTACTAAGTTTTTAGTTACAATGATTGCAATTTGTTTTAGGGGACATTTGCTCTGCTAATGCCAGAAATCTCATGAATGAAGAAGAGATGGATGGGTTTTCCGATACCAGATCTATTGACCTGCTTGCACATACATCGATTGGATGGATAAGGAACACAGCTAAAAGAACAATGCAAGTATCACCAGAAGGTAACCACTTCATGACTATCTCTCCTCCAGGCCCTTTAATTGCACATGAAAACATATGCAAGTAATATACAGTCAAAGGGCATAATAAACTTGGTGCAGGTATGCCAGAGATCCTTAGAGGTACATTTTACGTATCATGGAACAGTCTGCAAAGTGCTAAACATTCCTGTTAAGAGATTTGCATTAAAGGTCAATATTGTCAAGTAAGAGACCACTAAAAGAAAACTCCACATTGTCTTTAGGCCTTCAGTCTTAGACCAGGTATAAGCATTAGACCAGAAAAAATCTTTTTTTTTTGTTTCTGGTGATTCGAGGAAAAGCAATTCAGGCAAACCAGAAAGGTGGAAAATTTGGCCAGTCAGTGTACTACAAAATAATAAATATTCTGTATATATTTAGCAGTACACTGATAGGTGCGTTTTCTAACCATATGGTTCACAGACCAAGTGAGAGAAAGAAAAGGTGAAAAGAGGAGCAGAAGAAAAAAGAGAAGGAGCAGTGAAAAAAACTCTGTTATGAATATCTACAAAAACAATTAAAATATATTTTATTTTATTCTAAATCCAATATATGGTAGGTTGCAGAAGGAACTGATTTACCAAGCCAGATTCTAAAAGTTTAACATTATTAGGACTAAAAACACAATGATTGAAATCCTGAATATCTGAGTTGTTTCCAATACCGCACGGTTAAAGAACCACTATGGGCACCCACATCGCTTCATCACAGTATTTCGGATCTGGACTGCATATGGGTGGGGTTCCCTTTGTAATGGCACAAGTGAGCAAAAACATGTTTGAGGCCTGGGTGGAGACTAACTGCAGGGCAAGCTGCTGAGCTTCTCTAAGATTTTGCCTGTGTTCAGACTTCTAATATTTTCAGTTAAAGTTGTTATGATGCCTGGAGTGTTCCTTTAAAGAGTGGAGCAATATGGGTATGCTACTTATAAAAAGAATATGACATGACCCACAGAATCTCTGTAGAGCTCACACATTGCATTGTAACTATAATACAGTCCTATTTGTTATAATTATTTGGGAATAAGCATTCCCTAAACAAATATTAAAAAAGAGACATGAAATAGCCAAGGTAATTTATCAAACACCAGAATGACCTTAAATTGTCCCTACATTTGCCAGTGAAATACCAGTATTAAGTACAATTTGCGGACTGAATATCTATTTAATTCAGGAGCATTCATTTGGAAATTTATTTGGGGTTTCACTCTCATTCTATTTCTGTAATAAATTTAGTGGATGTCATTTGCAATTTTGCCTCCAAATTGTTTACATTTGTTTTCCCTTAATTTGTATTTTAACCCGGATTTGAGAAGCAATGAGACACTTGTTTTTTTATGTTTTATTTTTTGCCTCAGGTGGATTACAACACGATCCGTTCTTAACTGGCCCGGTGCATGTGGATGAAATTATAAACTGGAACTCTGTTATTCTCCGATATCTGGCCCTGAAAGGACAGTCTGATGTAACGTTACTTGGAAGGGAAGTTTCTCCAAGCAGAGAGATATCTAACAAACTGCTTCCTCTTCACACTGCTAGCACAAAACTACAAAATGGGCTGATGTAACGCCTCTTGCATAGCAGACACAGGCGCCAGAACTAACCTTTGGGCACAGAGTGGACATGTCCCCCAAACAAAACTTTACGTTAATCAGTAGAACATAACAAATGGTCCAAATATTGGGAAAACATTTTCATAATGTATGTTTACTCCTTGTCTTGGAGCTCTCTCTGATACCATACTTCGCACACTCTCTACAGACCACGAATACCATGTCACCATGCACCCACGTCTACGTTTTGACGGATTGCACATTTAAATAGTTCTACCTTATATATAACCAGTGCAGGACTCAGACTAGAGGAAACCTTTTCAAACACGAGAGTGTTATTTGGATTTGTTTCACTTAAGCCACACGATTTAGCTCCAAGGCAAGTTAGTTGAGTAATATAAATAAATATTGTGAAATCTGCTGAATTTATAAATAAAAAATAAAAACAACACATCCGTTTTTATGGTGTCATTTTGAAAAAAAAAGTTTTTTTAGGCAAAGCGTTCATTTTGTCCCAGTTTTGACTAGTGGTATGCTATGACCATTCATAAGGCATCAAAAATATCCCAATTTAATTTAAAGGTTTTGCTGCTTGTAAGTAACAAATGACTTCACTGAGTGGGGTCTGAGTGGAGTGCTAGCCCTGTGCCACGCACAGCGTGAATATTATACTAGAGTAAGTCTCACAGTTACAATCATTGGCAGCCCACCACTCAGTCTTCAATGTAGCTTGGCAGGAGGTAGAGTTACTGTTGGCATTTCCAAACTCTTCTTAGTAACACGAAGACATACAGCAGGTTCCCGCACTTGATATCATGTCATTGCACCCGTTGCCTGTCTAATGTGAGACTTCATGTGAAGGGGGAATGAGACATGGGATAGCTGCACCACAACACTAGACACCAGAAAGTCAGGACTTTGCAGCCCCTTTACACCCTGAGAAAGGTGAGAAAAGGGAGCAAAAATTAAATTATAAAGTGTATTTGTGCGTCTGTATGCAAAACTCGCAACATTGTGAGGTATCAATCTGTACGGGGGACAGGTCCCGCGGAAGACCTTGCCAATAATTCACACCACTTGCAACTCCTTCAATGGGCACCAGAAATGGGGCGGGTTTCCCACTGAAGGGACATATCTGACCTTCCTCTTACTGACAGGACGATGCAGGGAGCACTGCTGAAGCTCTCTCGGCATGGTGCTAGTATCCACTGTACACTCATGCAGTTGAGCGAGGGGATACTTCCATTGTGTCCTCAGATGTGGAATATCAGATAACTAAAGCAGAACAACAGGACATTGAAATTGGGATTGTCCCACCATAAGTTGGACTGTTGGGAGGCATTCTGTATATGCGCCCATATAGCAGGATTACCAGGATGCCAATGGGTGAGGTAAAAGGGTGCGACGATAACACTAACCATATCACTTTACTGGTGTTGGTTAAAGGGGGCAGACCCACCCAAGAATAGGCAGGTCAGCTTGGTGTGATACATGTCATGCTGACTGCCAATCACGCAGAATAGCCTTCGAAAGGTAGACCATGCAGAGAGGGCTGTTACATGGTCATAGTGCCCTTAGTGTGGTGCAAGCACATCTAATGATCTCACTACACTGTCTGGGGACAAGTCACGCATGGATCTTGGGATGGTGGGACAGTACCCGGAAATACGGACAGTCCTGCCAAAATCGATACAGTTGGGAGAGGTCTGTATGTGAGTGTTAGTGAATGTTGCTCTAGTGCTCACATTTGAAGAACTTCCAACTATTATTGTCATTCCGCCCATCATTCTTATCCTGCCAATCGCAGCTGCCATGAAAGGGGTAGAAATAAGTGAATAATCATGAAAATCAATGAATACAGCTGCTTGCATTAAATCTTTAGCAGTCCGTTTGATGGGTCGACTTTATATTAACTCAGTTAGATTTAATCATCTTGGCTCTAAAAATGAAAGAATCATTCCTGAAATACAACCAAAAAAACTTATTTTAACACCAAAAAAGTTTGTCTGTCTGTTGATTGATGATTCAGTGTTTTTTTTTCAGACTTGTTCATTATTTTGGGACGTCTACAGTTGATGTTTTTTGAGGCTTATTGAGGGTATTCCCAAATGCTTTGTTCTGCCGTATTAATGATCTGTACTAACGCAGTTAAACATGTCTGATGACATTGCTATTTCTGATTGTGAAACAATAAGCTACGCTGTTTTATTTGGCAATTTGAAAAATGCATTTTTTGACATGATGTGAAAGGCAAAGACCTTGAAGCTATGGGGTTATTTATGGTCACATTGAATCATGAGCAAAGATTTTTTTATTTTTTTTATTTTTTTAAGTCAAAGTGCTAAATGGAAATACCAATTTTAATGAGTGATTTGTTTATAAAATTAAAAAGCCCAGAGTCTAAGTACGTGCATTAGACAAAAAAATACCTTCTGGGGACATGGCTGGTTATGGAAGCGAAGGACTGACCCATTTTCTGCCAAACTGATCTCAAACAACTTGCCAAAAGCATGGGAGTGTACCCATAGACTTTAAGCAGCAAACATGCTACACTGAGCTGTAGTGGTTATGGTGCTTAGAGAGTCTTTTTAAAGCAGCAGTGTTACTTAACAGGTTTTTGTTTTTAATGAATCCCTTTTTTATTCCACTATTTCCCCATGTGTTTATTTTTTAAATTTTGGTTTTTTATGCATAAGGTAAAGGCCTTGTTAACTTTATCATATGTAGAATGTGAGAATGTGTAGTAAGCAAGGTTCTGTTTCCTACAACAATTTTTTTTTACCCACAAAACTTCAGTCAGAAGTGTTAGATGGATTTACTAACCTCTATCCTGGATGTCCCCTTGTGAGGTCTGACTCTGGCAATTATATCTTAGAAATTGCAGCCGCGGTGTTCTTTATAACCCATAACATAATATAAACCAAACTGAAAATAAAGTCGTGTTTCTAATTAAATAATATTTTAAATTCAAACTTTTATTAATCGTACTGACACTGGACACATGACAAAATGGATTATTTACGGGTATGGTATTGCACAATGTTTTTTTAAATTAATGGAGGCTGTATAGGTAGTTAATTGAGTGGATCACTTGGAGAATTGCAATACACACATGCACGCTACACATTACTGTGAATTTTATTACTGTGGAGCTCTGTGATACACTCCTAAACACTATGACTGAGAGATTTTTTTTGCTGTGGAGCTTTGTGATACACTGATAGACACTACACATTACTGTGAATTGTATTGTTGCGGAGCTCTGTGATACACTCATAAACACTACACGTTACTGTGAATTGTATTGTTGCGGAGCTCTGTGATACACTCATACACACTAAACATTACTGTGAGTTGTATTGTTGTGGAGCTCTGTGATAAACTCATAAACACTACACGTTACTGTGAGTTGTATTGTTGTGGAGCTCTGTGATACACTGTATTATTGTGAGTGTGACTGCTGTGGAACTCAATAGTTGCACATCATCGATTAATCGTTCTACAGACTCTAATACAAATGTCAGATCCGCCTAATTTTATGGTTAAAACACAATGGATAGGTGGGGAAGGCTGAGGAAATTTCATTTGCAGAATTAATTATATTATTCTATCTTCAATGGTATATTTTCTTATACTTGGCTGATTTATTTGGTCTGCATGTTGTACTTCTGTTTTATAATTTTAAAAAAAATTTAACCTCCAAGCATGACATGCCTCGGAACGGACTTTCTGTCATATTTATGCCTGTTTTCAGAAACAAACGTCACTGAGCATGCACTATTTGAGTTTTACAGCTTGAGTTCTGCCATACCGCTTGTAACTTCGAACATCCGAGTGCAAATAGAATGCATAAAATGTCAGTATATTTATTATATACCTTTGTCCTCTCCATTTATATGGAGTAACGTGTTAGTATGTTTTTTTTTTTATTGGAAATATTTTTTTAAACCTTTACACTATTTCTTTTTTTTTAATTGTATTTATTTATTTACAAATTGTTCCCCCACATAATCTAAACTCTAATTATGTAAGCGTATGCTTTATATGGTATTCTACATATTTTCCACAAATATTTCACGTAATTGTACTGATAATGCATGTTTGTTGATTATTTTTCATGTAACTATTTTCACTGTTTGTAATGGGTACCATCTTGCTATTTGACCCTTTCGAGTTCACCGATAGAGTAACAACTTCCCGATTTGTATTTCATTACAATGAGGGAAACAAATACTTGATTTTTAAATTAACAAGACGGGAGTTGATCTATGCTTTCCCACCATTTAACACAATTTAACAATGGTTAAGAAGTGCCGCCTGGCATTAAAAAATGCCCAATCTTTGGGAAGAAAAATAATAAAAAGCAATTACTACCAGTGGGCCCAGCACATGCTAAGACAAGAATAAATAGGGTGTGAAATCAACTTAACCTCATTACCAGGGCCAGATTAACAGCCCAGTGTGCCTGGTGCTGACAATCATGACGGGCCTAATTAAAGAATCATATCGACCAAAAACACTCCCAAGCGTCATGTATCTGATGGAGATGGTGCTGGAGAGAAAGAAAACAGCAGCTATAAAAAAACACATACCCTAGGCTAATCTCTCTAATTTATGTTTTCATCTTTCAAGTAAATCCATAACCCCTAACAGCAGTGTCCAGTCAAGCAGGAAGTCAATGGGCACGGTAAAAGGGTGTGCCACTGACACAAATCACGTAACCTGCCAAAAGGGACGAAAACATGCCCAAAAAAAGGACGTCTGCCCAAACAATTAGAAGGCCAGCCTGGCATGAATGCATGTCAGGCTGCCTGCCAATCATGCAACTGGCCAACTAAGAGCATACTATGCAGACAGCACCCTGAGCTTGGCATAAATGCATCTAATGATGTGCTCGCTCAACGCTTTCTAAGGACTGTCCCCTAGCACTCTCTGGTCCACTTGTCTCCTTACCTTCTTACTAGCAGGCAGAAGCTCCTGGTATATAGTCTGGGACAGAGAAAAGCTGTATGTAGTGAGTGTAGAAGAAAGGGAACATGCCACAGTGTTAGAGAGACCAAAGTCAGCATAACCTTAAAGGACATAGTGCCAGGAAAACATACTGTTTTCCTGGCATAGCAAGTGCCCTGAGGGTGCCCCCACCCTCAGGTACCCCTTCCCGCCTCGCTCTGGAAGGCAGGGCTTAAAACTTACCTTTTCCAGCTGGGTGGAGAGCCTCCTTCTCTCCTCCGCTCCTACCGTCGGGCTGAATGCAAAGACGCCGACAAGAGCTGCGCTGCTTCAGCCGTGGGGTCACATAGGAAAGCATTCATAATGCTTTCCTGATCGCTGAGCGTGCTCACTGTGAAAATCACACAGTGAGAAGAGCCTAGCTCTAAT